AGGTTTAAAAAAAAAAAAAAAAAAAAAAAAAAAATGAGTTCAAGAATAAAAAAAATTCAAGAAGATAATTTGGAGTATGGAAATTGGTCATGAGTACTACTCCGTGGAATGTAGGGTGGTGTGTGTGTGTCTATATATATATATATATTATTTCTTTGGCTTTTTGGGTACATCTTTTTAGCCATCTTGACGCAAGTGTTTAAGTGGTCAGAAACACTGAGAGAAACATCATATAGTCGTGTATAGAAATAACAAGAAGTCAAGCATTAACCGAATTAATGGAACAGAAAGTCCGCCATCTTTTTTGCCTTTTCGTAAGCTTTGAAAATCAATCTTTCTGTGCATATCATCTATAAATATCAAAGCAATCTCTCAATCTTTTCAATATACTAAAAGAAAATTATTTGAAAAAAAAAAAAAAAGAAGTCGTGTAGTTCTATGATCATTTTCCTCTTGCCCTTAGCCTTGTTGGTAACAAGATCTGCCTTTGCCGAGCAATGTGGAAGGCAAGCGGGAGGCGCTCTATGTCCCAATAGTTTGTGTTGCAATGAATATGGGTGGTGTGGCTCCACAGACCCCTATTGTGGAAAGAACTACCAAAGCCAATGCGCCGGTTCAACGTCGACGACACCGTCTACACCAACCCTTAGTAGCGGCGACGTCGGCAATATCATCACAAGATCATTGTTTGATCAAGTGTTGAAATACCGGAATGACACTACAACAAATATCATTATCAATAGCTGACTAAAAACGCTATTTAGCACTACCAATAGCGTTTTGTGGAGCGCTAGGACATCGGACGCTATTAAAAATTCTACGAAAACATAACGCTCTGAGAGAGATATGAGAAACACTATAGAATTGTGGTCTTATAGCATTTGAGACATGTTATTTTCAACCTCTTACAGCTATTTGGTGTTGCTACAGTACAGATCAATAGCTTTTTTTCCTTGTTATGTTCATACTCCTGTAGCTTTCTAAGTCAATCACAATCTATTTTGCCAATAGTAAAAGTAATACATACTAAAGTTTTATCTACTTTTATCATATTAATATCATTTTGAATTCATTCAAATAGATGGTGATTCTGAGCAACATCTTACATTCAAATAGGAACATTCAAATTAAAACATAAAAACAATCAATGCTTCAATTGTTATCAGCATCTACCAAGTTGGCAATAAGATCATGTTTACAACATAAGTCACACAATTTGTCCAAAACCTTAACATTCAAAACAAATAAAGATAACGGATGAATAGCTAGAGATATCAAAGTATCCAAAACGTCTAGCTAAATGAAATGGTGAAGTAAATCCTTCCATCATGACAAAATCCTTCCATCTGTGTTTGAATTTTGTGGTTTTTTGTTATTTTCAAGTGTTCTAACGATGACAATATGGCCATCGGTATTGGCTATTTTCAGCCGATATCGACTTATATACCTTGATATTAGTGCCCAATACCAGTATCTAGGTGGATGCTGGCAAGTATTGCCAATATCACAACAGTCATCAGTTACGTCTGTCGGTTATTGCCGCCAACACCGGTGGTTGTTCGTTGGATACCAGCGGATATCTTAGTTGGATACTGGTATCGTGGTGAGATATTAGTATCATGGCCGTATACTAACTGAATACTAGTGTAATTGCCATTGTAGCACGTGTGTGGCCCAGCCCATAAGGGCCATGCGGACTTGACGTCATCCCCACCTTCCTCCAGTATATCACCGACAGTCCCTCGTGAGTGCGGCACGCACCTTTTTGTTTGTTTCGGAGCCGTTTTGGCGGGGCACCCACTACGTACCACACCACCGGGCGGCTCGCCTGAAGGCCGAGTCTTTCTCCGCCGCCAACTCGACGTCGTCGTCACCTGCAAAATAAGGCCAAACGTCTCTGTCGAGGAGGCATTAAATTGGTTTAATAACAGCTTATCGCAGATCTGTAATTATCCTATCGTGTTCGCTCGGGAGGCTAAACGCCCCTTTCAGTTCCTCGCCAATATGGTTTCCATCACATCTAACAAATTGAACGTTATTAAGAGCATCCCTATTACCCAAGACGCGTCAGCGAGTGCATATCAGATCATGAGTTACTTTTTGTTGGATGAAACCATGGCTAAGAGAACGAATCTCATTGGTATCGTGGTGAGATATTAGTATCATGGCCGTATACTAACTGAATACTAGTACTGTAATCGAATGTTTTACCTTTTATTATTGATTCATAATTTTTTAGTCAAATAATTACACTAAAGTATTTATTAAGAATAAAAAGTAAAAGTTTAAATTCATACACGTTTAAAAATAAATTCTTCTTTTCTTCTCGCATGGCACCATATGTCAATCCAACCCTCAACCTTAAAACCTGTGGCAGCTCCTTTTAAAGCCAGTTTATTATTTGTTGGGCTCTTTGCTCGCCAATACCCGAAAGTTTTGTGAGTCTATCCATGTTGCCTTTGTTGAGGATTAACAGGAAAAAGTTTATGTTCTGAGCTCCAATGCCGTCCATTCCATATATTAAGACTGGATAAATTAAAGCAGTTATTATATATAAATTATATATAAGCTAAGACTGGATAAATTAAAGCAGTTATTATAAATAAATAATGTATAAGCTAAGACATTCAAAAAAAAAAAAAACAGGAGAAAACTGAACGAGAAATTTAGCAAACTGTGAATTGTGAAAACTGAAAAATAACTTGCACCGAAAGAAAGAAAAACGACGTCGGCAAATCTGAGAGAAATGAAGACAAAAAAATACGACTAATTTTTAGAGAGCAATTTTAAAAATTTAAAAAAAAAAATACAAGAATGATATCATTATAAACGACGAAAAAATAGAAACAGAGACGATGAATGAGAAAACCAAAGAACCATAGCATTTAACACGACATCAAAGGAATAAGAAGAAAGACAATGAGTAGAAATAAACAGTAATCTTAAAAACGACATCAACTGGACAAAGAAAGAACAGACAAAATCTAAAATCGACTGTAAATAGAAGACACATCAAATGGAGAAACATGGAACGACAACAACTAAAAATGACAGCAACCCAAAAACAACTACAATTTCTGTAGTTTGTTTCTCAAGACATGCAGAGAGAGAGAGAGAGAGAGAGAGAGAGAGAATAGGCAACTAAAGACGAAGGAAAGAAAAAATAAAACTGAACAAGAAAGAGCAAGGGTAGCAGTTGTTGATTTTTCCAGAAGAGCATGCATGCATACATACATACATACATACATATATAAATATAAACACAAAAACAAAAAATAAAATGTACGAAAGAAAAGAAAACATAGAAATCTAAGAGAAGTACTCCAGTACCTGATCAGAAGAGAGACTGAAGGCCCGGAGAATGCTGAGGAAAACGGAGGACAGGAATCGGTGAGAAGAGATGAGAAGAGAAAAGAGTGCTTCCGTGAATACTTGGCTGGTGAGTACAGAGGGTATTTATATATAGGTAGATTCATATAATACCTTAAAATAATATATATATATATATATTTTTTTTTTTTTCTTTTGATCACTTAAAATAAATTCCACGTACCAAACAAATTAAATTTGATGCTTCGGTGGTTGTTGAGTTTTCCTGTCAAAATAAATTTTAAGCAGAGAGCACTGATTGTAATATTTGATGCTTTGGTGGTGACTAGCGTATTATCACCGACATAATCAATTTTGGCGTTGAATGTGGAAGTGTTGTGGCATGTTGGGAGTCAACTATTCATTTGTATAAAGATTATAGAATATTTGATTATAATATTTTAATTAATGCAGTTTATATTCAAAGACTGCTCATAAGTTTTTTTTTATTTTTTATTTCTCGTCTTAAATTTATATTTGTTTTAAAAAAAGAATATATATATATATATATAATACATACATATATATATATATATGAGAACTATATGAATACTTTTACTGAAAATGACAATGTTAACTTGAAAACGAAAATGAAGAAATTTAAGAATGAAAAAATAGCTAGAAGCACGGAAATTTTAGCGGCCACATGTTGTCATCACGAAATTTTGCTGTTAAAGACTCTTTTTCGAGATTGAGAAAGTCGTGATGTCAATGGCTTTTCATTAAAAGAGATATCTGTAACTTAGATTACTTGCAGCATTTTCAACTGATCAGGTCCGTTGTATTCTTTGATTGTACTTATAAGAAACTCTAATTAAGGTCTGAGAGGACTTGAGAGAGTGTAAAATTAGAACATCGACAAAATCTTAAAAGAAATATTTCCAAGAATTGATGGAGGGAAACACATAGTCTTCTTTTATAAGAAAAGAACGTATATGGACATTTTACCCTTTGTTTTCTTTTCTTTTCTTTTTTTTTTTTTTTCCCCGCAGTTCAATCAACAAGCAGAAGTTATTCCAGTCAATGAAAATAAACTCTTACATGTGATTTTGCAGTTTTAGATACCTCTGAGCTTTTAGACAATCCCATGTACGTCGAAGTATTTTTTATCTAGGTTGAAAATATATTTAGCTTTTTTTTTTTTGGCCATATATGGAGAATTTCCTTAAGAGAATATCGATTCACAAGTAGCCTAATGGACTTTGGTGTTTTGGTCACTAGCACAACATTTTGCTTTTCTTTTTTTGCTGAACAATATGAATTCGTTATTATCTAGACGAAGGAAATGTGTGGTGAATAGCATGGTTACTTTTTTTAATAACCCTATACAACAAAGTATATATGTGTGTATAAATAGTAATAAAAAAAAGTCCTGTTATGTTTTTCTTAGTGGAAAACATCCTGCGATCATTAAAACGTGGAACATGTCGTTTGTTCTAGAAATACAAGCAACAAGTCGTCTCCCTCAAACGACCCAATTCCATGACTTGAACCAACATGTCGTTTTATCACCTTTGCAATTAGCTGCCAAATCGACATGTTTTCTCATATACATCTCCTTTAAAACGATTCCATAACTTAAAACAACATCTTTTCTCAGATATAAACGACAATTCGTATCCCCAAAAGGACACAATAAGCTACCCGAGCCCAACAAACAAACCAACCAATTTTTCCACTCATTTGCAAAATCCCCAAATATCCCAATCCCAAATTCTGCAAAACCCTAAAAAACAAAAAAAAAACAAAAAACCTCACTTTACCAGGAAAAAAAAAGGGGAAGATGAAGAAGATGAAAATGGGAAAATTTCCAAAACCAGCTTCAATCCCACAACCAAAAACTCCATCTTCTCTGATTCCTTCTCAAAAACCCAGCAAAACCCCATTAATCCCTTCCTCCAAGTTCAACTTCAAATCTCCAGACCTCTCAGCTGCCAAATCCCTCTTCAACTCCATAAGCTCCACCGTCAATCCCGATCTCAATCACACCAACTCCTTTCTCAAATCCTACGCCTCAATCTCCACCGTCGACGATTCCATCTCCCTCCTCCGCCACATGATCAAAACCCACCCCGCCTTCTCCCCCGACCGATCCACTTACCACATCTTGCTCACCCACTCCTGCGCCGCACCCGATCCCTCCCTCTCCCCCGTCCACGGCGTTCTCAACCTCATGTCCTCCGCCGGCTTCTCCCCCGACAAAGTTACCGCCGACATCGCCGTGCGGGCGCTATGTTACGCTGGAAAAATTGATCATGCGGTCCAACTGTTCGACGAAATGTCTCTGAGACATTCCGTCCCGGATTCGTACACCTACAACTTCCTCGTCAAGTGTTTGTGTAAATGCCGGCCGTTGAGTACTATTTACGAGTTTATCGACAAAACCCGGAGCTCTTTTGGGTTGAAACCCGATCTTGTTACGTATACCATTATCATTGACAATGTTTGTAACAGCAAGAACCTCCGCGAGATCACACGGTTGGTGGCGGTTCTCGGGGAAGAAGGGTTTAAGCCCGATTGTTTTCTTTACAACACGATCATGAAAGGATATTGTATGCTGAGTCGGGGGAGCGAGGCGATCGAGGTTTATAACAAGATGAAGGAGAATGGGGTTGAACCCGATACGGTGACGTACAACACTTTGATCTTTGGGTTGGCGAAATCGGGGCGGGCAAAGGAGGCCAGGAAGTACTTGAAGATCATGGCAGAAAAGGGTCATTCGCCCGATGTTGTGACGTATACGTCGCTGATGAATGGGCTGTGTCGGGAACGGGATGTGTTGGGGGCGTACGCGTTGTTGGAGGAGATGAAGGAGCGGGGTTGCGAGCCAAATGAGTGCACTTACAACACTTTGCTTCACGGGTTTTGCAAGGCGAAGATGGTGGAGAGAGGGGTTGAGTTGTATCGGGTGATGAAAGAACGTGGGATGGAGCTTGACACGGCGGCTTATGCCACATTGGTGAGGGTGTTTTGTAGGCGGGGTGAGGTTGCGGAGGCTTATGAGGTTTTTGATTACGCGGTCGAGAGCAAGAGCTTGACCAATGTTGCTGCTTACTCGACTTTAGAGAGTGCACTCAAGGAGGTCAATAAAGCCAGAGAACAGGGCCGAATTGCCTAGCCTTTTTTATTTGGTTAATTTATTGGAAATTCTTTGTTATTCTCTATTATAAACTTCACTACTTGGTTACTTGTAACACAAGAAATGCCCTAACGCTTCTTTATTCTGTTTTTTTAAGTATATTGAGTTGCAAAAGGATTTAAAGGGGGTGTTGGGAAAAATGGATAGTGGAGAATAGATCCTCAATGGATGTCATTTAAAGTTTGCACAAGGAAAGATCAACGGTTCCTCCTTTCACTTCAATAGCAGGTCATCTCCTTTGTGTTGCCGGTAAAACCATGTTAATTTCGGTTTATCATCTCAATAACTGTTGTGTTATATGTATAATATATATCCTGATTCTCTCTCTGTGAGAGGATTTACGACGAGAACATAAAAACGACAATAAAATGGAAAACCGACAACAACATTGGAACTGCATCCTAAACAATAAACGTCATCAAATGTGGACGGGCACACTTTTCGAAGCATACTGAATAATGGGCAAAAAATAACTAGACGCTGAGAAACGATAACAATTAACAAAATGAAAGGAGAACATCCAGAAACATTACAACGACATCCAATAACTCGAGCATGCTGAAAGAATGGCAGAAAAACAACTAAAGTCTGGATAACGACGACAAAGAAAATGAAACGATAAGTTGAAGACCAAATGACAAGATAAACGACCACAAATGGTAAAACGACACCAAAAAGAGAGGCAACAATTCAAATTACGACAAGAAAATGAAAAAGGGGCTTAAACAATGAAAATGAAAACGAAACAAAAATAATAAAAGACAACAAAGAAAACGAAATGGTATTGAAATTCATTAATTATTTATTAACCTACAATCAATTTTCACGTTCAATCCCGATTTTCTGTTTTTTTTTTTTTTGCCTCGGCTTTTTTTGCGGCCACATTTGTGTTCCTTGTGGCCTTTTCCGAGAATTTCGACTAAAGACTATTAGAATCTCGATTCCAAGCCACAGTGTACTAGAAAGACTTCACTCTCTTGACAAAAAGTTGTAATTTCCATCACATGTTAAGAGGTAAATCCGACCATTCACACAATTAATTACAAGTTGTAACGTCGTGAAAGATTCAAATTGCTAATGTGTTTATTGAAGATTTTATGGTTATTTTCTTTTGTCGTTTAGCTATGGCATTTTTCATGAATCGTATCAAGATTTGATACGAAGGAAAGTGTGGCAGGTCAACTTTACAGGTCGAAAGATATTCTGGTACCTAAATACATTGTCTTGACAAACAAAAAATGATTAGCTTGGAATAAACATGAGTAAGATCACTACCGTACAAGAAGCATTTGAATAAATAATATTGGTGTGTTTATGAGGACAAATGGGTACAAGGCACGAAAGAATGCCATATTTCTTGTACTCCACTTGGTTTTCCCAAACAACGCATCAAACAGACAATTTGTGTTGAGAAAATAAATTGTAATATCTTTAGGGAATCAAGTTTGCTGTCTTATTTTCCCGTTTCATTGATTACCCTTCCAATTAAATCTTGATACCTTATAAATTATTTAAATATTTTTAGTATTTCATTCTTATTCATGTGGACAAGTTATTAAATTTAGATGACATGACAGATAAGTAGTTAAGAGATAGTCAATGAGACAGAAAAATATGAACATTAGATCTAGACTCGCATTTAGATAGCTAGGTGCAATGCCCCACTAATTTATGACCAAGATTCATGTGGGAAATGGGCATGTGATGTAAATCAGTACAATTTGAGAATTCCTTGGGATTAAACTTTATTATTGTGATACAAACTGCCAACAAGCTGCCGGGCCTCTCCCCACAAACATTATAAGATGTTTTACTATAATCTTTGATTTGGGATTACAACGTTTTCCAAGAGATTCAAACTATATAAAACAAAGTGTTGTTTCCCTGTCTTTAAACAAACAATTTCTCTCCACCATATGGGTTAAATATTCAAAGGAGGGAAGAATTAAAAAACAAAAAACAAAAAGCTCTTTTGTCATTGCTAAATTGCCATATGGTACGTAGTGATACGGAATTCATTGCGGTGCTATATTTTATATATACATATATGTATAAATATATATATATATGTAATATCTAGAAATAGGGGAATGAATTTGAAAAAGAGCCATCTTGGTTAGTTGAACCCTAATTATTTTTCATATGAATCCTATATTTTTAGACATGAGGTCTAGATTATATGCTAAATCTTGTCTCAACTTTGTCCCTATTTATCTACTTTGTCTAACATTATTTTCCCCTTTCCTCTTAGCCATTTTCCTCAGTACTTTGCTCTTGCTTTTTAAAATTCTTGCAATTATTAATTGCCAGCCTATTAGTGGACATAAACAATTCAAAGGAAATGATTGAGTTTTGGTTTTGAGGTTAATGATTGTGGGGCAAGAAGGCATACGGCTAGTACCACCTGTACATTTATGTTCCTTAACGAACATTAAAGAAATGAGCAACTTAAGCTACTAGTTGGCCATCTCATAACCATAGAGACCAATTATAGATTTTGATGGTTCAAATTGTTGGCCAGAATTGTAACAAAGTATCTTCAACAAAGGCAGTGTGGGTCACACTGCTACCTTTATGTGCACCGTACAGAATTGGCATGAAAAGGACCAATAATGGAGGTCTCTTACAAAGGTTTGTTTATTTGATATAGAAGAAAATTACTAAATTCTCCCCGAGTTCGAGTGAAATACAATGTGAATTATAAAAAGTAATCTTTTATTTATCGTTCATTTCACCGATTTGAGTTTAAAATTTGAGTTTTGCTATCGTAAAAAACTTTCAGAAACAGTCACATTTAACTTTTTTACTACAGTAAAAAGCTCTCACATAAAGTCATATCTCAACTCGAATTAAAAACTTGAATCAGCGAACTAAATGGGCCCTTAGATTGTCGATCCCTTGAAACTTTCAATCCAAATGTGGATTTGGTCGAAATTGAATACCAAGAAGTCCTAAACTTAGCAACGAAGGAAAAAAGAATTGTCATAAAAAAACTTGATATTCTGTCCAATTTCTATGAAACTAAAAAATTAGCTAAAAAGTATCAAAAGGGAAAAGGAATTTTTAGGAGTCGACAATATGTCTGAGGACATCTCTGTAATTCTCGAGTATTGATAATTTTCTCTTGTATATATAACATAGACCGAGAGTGTTGTGGTGAGTCAAACTTCTCTTTCAAAAGAGAGTGACATCTTCAGCAATTTCATACAGATCAGATCATTGAGATGGCAGGCTCATCTGCAAAACCCAAAAGGTCTATTAGCTTGCCAACAAGGCTACACCCCAACTCCCAAAAGATTGAAGCACAATTGAACAAGCTGAAGACTAATTGGGAATATTCATCATTCTCTTCAAGGGAAACTCCTCTAGGAAGTGAGAATATTCAATCAGGCTTGAGCGATCTTGCAGAGTTGTATAATTCTACCAAGGAACTCATCCACTCTCCTTTGACCCAACAAGCCCTTCTCCAACACCATTCAAGACAAATGGTCGAAGAGACACTAGACATGTCGATCGGGTTGCTAGACGCTTGTGGCGCCACGAGAGACTTGCTTTTAAGAATGAAGGAAAGAGTTCATACCCTCCAATCAGCCCTACGAAGGAAGGCTATGGGAGATTCAAGCATCGAAATCGATGTCCAATCTTATATCAACTTCAGGAAAAATGCCAAGAAGGAAGTCTCCAAAAGCCTTAGAGCATTGAAAACCATGCAAATTAGCAACGTCCAAGCTTTCCATGCCTTGGATGTTGTGGATCACCCTCTAAAAATGGTGACCACATTGTTGAGAGAGCTAAGCGCCATTGCCGTCTCCATCTTTAGGTCCCTCTTCGTGTTCTTATCCGTGCCTGCCGCGACGATGTCAAAGGCGAGTAGTGGATGGTCTTTGCTCTCCAAGTTGTTTGTGCCCACGTCATTTGCAGCATTGGAGAGGGAACACAAGATTTTCAACGAAGTGGGCAGTGTTGATATTAGTCTCTGGTCATTGCAAGGCCAATTAAGGAAGAACAATATCAATAATGGTGCTCAGATTGACGTGGGACTGGTGAAGAGAAGATTAAAGAGTCTTGATTGTTGTATTGAGGGACTTGAGGCTGGATTAGACTACTTTTTTAGATGCCTAATTCAACATAGAGTGTTTCTCCTTAATCTTCTCACGCCTTGAGAAGATTGTGTTAATGAGTAATAGCATTATGAATTTTGGAGTAAAAGTTCCTTGTTGAACAATATAATTTTTTTTTTTTTTTTGGTAGTGATCAGTTTGTAAAGTTAAGAAATGTCAGAATGATATTCTTTATTCGGTTTAAATATTTACTTTTTTACAATCTTTCTTTTTTTTCCCCCTTCAAATGAGGGGGTCCAAATTTGTCCCAAATATAGTTTGTTCATAATTAGTCCCATTTATTTTTTGTTAGAAAAAAGACACTGAAGACTGAAATTTAAGCAATTTTATTTTCATAAGTCGAGCCAAACTCCTTTAAGCACCCAACTACAGCTTTTGAAATTTAAAAAATAAAGCAAGTGAATGAGAAATTTTTGTGAGAGAATAAAAATAACAAAGATAGCCGTGTAACGAACAAATAACAAGAATTTATATAGTCTTTCTGATGCAACCGGCAGTAAATATAATTAAAAACCAAACAATCCGTATATTATACGACACATATTGCATAGTTTCAATATTGTAAAACGTTTATATATATATATATACGTATAATTAAAAACCAAACAATCCGTATATTACACAACACATATTGCATTAGTTTCAATATTGTAAAAGGTTTATATATATAAGTTGGAAATTAAAGGCTATATAAGGTTGTTGCCTAAGGTATATATGAGATAAAGCTTAAAAAAAAAGGTTAATTCTAGGTTTACACTCAATTTTATTTTTGTCCTTGACTTTTTAAACGTCACAGAGATAGTCTCTGAAGTTTTATTTTATTTCAGTTTCGATCATTCTATCAACTAGGCATTAAAATTTAATATAATCCTTATAAATTAGATTTTAAAATTAGAAATAGCTAAAATTTTAAGTCTGTCTGTGGAAATTTACTTTTAATTTTTTGTATTGTTTTAGTCTCTAAACTTTATATGTTTCCAATTTTAGTCCATAATTTATACATATTTCGTCAAATATTTAATAACAAATTAACATAAGGATTGAAACTGAAACATAATAAAATCTTAGAGACTAACTGTGCGACGTCTGAAAAGATATTGACTAAAATATACTTCAAGAACCATTTGTGAGATTAAAAAAAAATCAGCACACATGAAAACTTTAATTTGAGAAGAGGGAAATATATACGCAGGGAAGACACTTTTTTTTTTTGTTTACATGGACGAAGAGCTACATTTGGAATTATGTCCGAAAAGAGCCCTTTTGCTTATTTGAGAAGGGAGTTTCAGTAAAATATTGTTGAGAGTTTTTAGGAAATTCTTAAATTGACAAAGATAAATATGGTAATAACGACTCTTTTTCTCCTCAGCTCCATCCCAAACCGTCCACTTATGGGAGGACTAAAATCTGTGGACCTAAGGGATTCACTATCCAATTGCTTCTCTCTCTCCTTTGTCTTTCCACCATCCCAAACAAGGTTATATTTTACTTCTCACACTTTAATTCCTCCACCATTCCATATGAAGCATACCTCCAAGGATGCAACCAAACACGCCTTTAGGCCAATGACGAATTTACCCATGATGAAAAGTCAAATACCAAACGAACAAGCTAGTTCCAATGTGCCTCTTTATAACGAAAAAGTTATTATTGATACAGCCTCTGTAGTAAAAAAGGTACTTGTGAAGATTTATTTTGTTTTGTCATTTGAATAATTTATAGCTTGACTTTAATAAAATTAATATGGTAATTTAAACATACTACTTTTTAACATAAATATTGTATGTGTAGAAAATTTATCATTGAGGTATTATTCATGGAATTGCTTGAGTATTACGGTCAATAAGCATACACACCATCAGTGTAAAGAAAAAAACTCCATTAATGCTAAATTAATTCGAATGAAAACTCAGTTTAAAGCTTACGAATGACAAAGAATATTTAAGTATTCATTACTTTTTAGTATTGTTTTAAAGTTCATGTACAGAATGAACTTTTCTTTTGTTATATAAAAATTTTCACCAACTCAAGGCTCTTTATATAGGTTTTAAACCCTTATCCCTTTTACTTTTTAAGCAATGTGGGATTAGACTCTTTTTATGTTTCCAAAATCTTAACACGTCGTTTGCTAAATACTATTCTTTAAAGATTAATTTTATTTTGATCTTTTACTTTTAAAATGTCTGATAATTGGTATATGACGTTTTACTCTGTTTCAGTTTCAGTACTTTCATTAACTAGATGTTAAATGTTTAGCGGAATATATAGAAATTATATACCAAAATTAAAAATATCTAAAGTTTAGAGGCTAAAACAATACAGAAAACATAAGTTAATTTTCACATAATCCCTAAATTTTAGCCGTTTCCAATTTTGACCCCTAATTTACATAGATTTCTTTAAATATTTAATACCTAGTTAACAGAATGGCCAAAATTGAAACAAAGAAAAACTTTAAGGACCAACTATGAGACATTTTAAATATCACGACCAAAACGGGATTGAAGGTAAACCTTAGAAACTATTTATGGGATCAATCCTTTTGTTTAATTGTTAATAATGTCACTACTAAACATACGAATTAGCGTAAATGACAAGAAAACATAAATGAATAGTGGAGAAAACAAAAAGAAACAATAAAATAAAAATGGTTTTAGTACAATTGCTCTCCTAACTTGTTGTAGTTTAACAAATTGTCCCTCTAAACTTTCAATTTTAGCAATCAACTCCCTGAACTTGTGAAATTATTGCAATATATCTCATTTTACTAAATTTGCTCAAATTTTTTTAAGATTTAAGGGATTAAAAATGAAATAGTTGAAAGATTTGTCTTACATTTAAATTGAGATGTTAGAATTTTTCATTGAACGTGTTTTTCGACACTACTTTAACACAATCATCGCCAATTGGACATATTATAATAATTGTACAAATTGAAGGGAGTAACTTGTTAAAATTAAAAGTTTAGGGGGCAAATTTCTAAAGCCGTATAGTTTAGGGGCAAATGTGTGAAATAATAAATTAAAAAAAAACAAGCTTTAAAAGCTAAACAGCATCAAATGATGGAACGACAAGAAATAACAAATATAGAAGTCGACTACAAATGAAAATTCGAGAACGAGGAATTTAAACGACAAAAAATCAGAAAAAACGCTTATAGTTAGAAATGACAAGAATATAGACATCTACTTCGATCCACGACAACAAATGATGAAAACAACAACTAATAAAACAACAAACCTAAAAACGACATTTAGAAGAAGCAAGGGTATAGAAATAGAATATACAACAACTAAAAAGAGAAATCGACCGCAGCCGGCAGATAACATATCTGAAAACGAGAGGGAAGATAGATGAGCGACAGATAACCTTCAAAACAAATGAGTATAGATAAAACGACAAGAATTTCAAATGCAACAACAACAACTCTGAAAATGACCAGAAAAGGTGTACACAACAACTATAAAGAACGTGACACTAAAATGCAAAAAAAAAAAAAAAAAAAAAAAAAAAAAAAAAAAAAAAAAATGAGAAACAAGTACAACAAAGAAGAAAACAACAAGGATATAAAATACGACAACAAAAAGATAAAATGACATGTCCAAGTGGAAGACTACGACAAAAACATAATAACAGTGAACCATGTACGACAACAAATGGCAAAATTTCACCGAAAATATAAACGACAAATCATCAAGCCAGCTAATCAATATTATACACCAAAATATAACGAGATTCAAGGATAAAACGACAATAAAACTGAATGAACTAAACAACAACATTATAGTTTAACAACAACTATATTATACCACAACATTAGATAAACGACAAAAAATTGACAACGACGGCCACCATAAAAACGACACCAACTATAATTATACAAAAGCGTAGGAAAGGAGAACAAATTATGAAAATACGAAAGAAGGTAAAAGATAAGAAGAGGAATGAAGGACATGAATGAGAAAAAGGGAAAGCCATTGAATGACGACAACAAGTTGAAAAAGAAATAAATGTTACAAACGACAACAATGAAAATAAGGAGAAGCACTTTGCATAGCAATAATAAATGAAACAAACGACATCAACATGAAAACGACTCCAACATGAACAGATGAAAATAAGCTTGGTTCCAAAGGCGGAATCGAGGAGGAAAGTTAGATTCGAAGAAATTAGGTCAAAAAGGGAAAACATTGATAGAAAACGAAATGAAAACATCAATGAAGGAAGGAACAGGTGTGACATGAAAGATGATTGAAGAATGGAAAACGACAGCAAAAGTAGGAATCGCCATCGAACAGAAAACTTTATCAATGTTTGGAAAACGACAGACAAATAAAAGCTGTAAGTACTGCGTTCTTTTTTTTTTTTTTTTTTTTTTTTTGCAGTTTTTACATTTTTCAGTATATATATAGCTTGGAATGGATGTTGGACATGACCTTCTGTTGAACTTGCAGAGGGGCTAAAAAAAAAATTTTGGGCAACAAGTTAAAAAGTACTTCAGATTTACTTATAGCCTTCCTTCAAAAAAGTTTCAACTTTGTATTACATGATACATATTACATGGCAATTACTAATGACGACATTTGAAATTAATTATATATAAAAATAGAAGGGATTGGGGAAAAAAAAAGCTTGAAAAAAAGCAAGCTAGTAGTAGAAAAGAAAGATAGCTAATTATATAGTAAATAGTAATAAAAAAATTTTTGACTTTTTACTTGAGATTCATAATAATACATAAATAGTAAAGGTGTTTTAACATTTGTTTCTTTTAATAACTGAATAAGCTTATGTTTCACATAAATATTCGATCCGCCGGCATATGCTTATTGTCTTCAATGTTCGATATTAAACTATAATTCTTTGCAGGCCCAGAATTAGTTAAGCCAACGAGAACCAATAATTCCAAACCATTTTATAAAATGAAGTACAAGAATGATTGAGATGAATGCATAAATTCTTAATCAAATGGGCAATGATATTTATTTATGTATTTATTTATTTGTTTGTGAAGTCACACATTGCTCCACATGCATGCAACTCACGAAAAAAAAAAAAACAAAAACAAAAAACAAAAATACCCCCCACTTTTAAAACCATATGATCATGTGGTTGTGGCAGAAGAATTAACAAAACGTAGAGTCATCATAAGCCATCTCTTCGGCTGAAGAATAAGATTCTTTCTTGGTTTAATGGGCTCTTGCATATTAGCTATTCACTTAATTAAGACATTGCCGTCCAGTGTGATTATTTGAGTCCGTGGTTTGTCACTTCATGCATGCAAATAATGCACATTCTGTATGTACTTCTATATATATATATATATATATATATATATATAATATAAATGCTTCAAAAAAAAAATATATATATATATATATATATATATATAAATTCGAGAACAGAGATGAATAATCGAGTTGGATATGAGTATTATGTCTCTACTAATTATATGTGTGCATCACCTAAATTGTCTCCTTTGATAACGATGGAAGGCCAAACGCCGTCCATTGTAAGCACTAGATTGAAATTTTCAGCCAAAAAAAAAAAAGCACTAGATTGATATATTATTGAGATGTAATTAAGAGAGGATAGAAAATAAAACGCTTTGGTTTATTATTGTTCCTTGGAGTTGAGATAATCTAGCATAGTTTCACCATCCCTAATTCCTTTTATTTTTTAAATGAGTTATAGTACCCTAGATTACCATTACAAGAATCTTTCTTGATTTTTAACAATAGTTCTTAATTGTTTGTGTACGCGTCTGTCTTTGACTCGATAGAGATTTTTTTTTTTTTCTCTTTTCTGATCATGAGTTGATATGAGAAATTTTTTACGTTCTTTTTAGCATTTGTTCCTCTCTCTCGCAATTTGGTCTTTCAATTATACGTAATAGCTAGCAATTAACTCAAATTGTTAGTGAAATTTAAATACTTTAGTTTTTTTAGCACTTGCGCCCCTTGAATTTCTTATAGTTTGGCAATTTTATCTCTAAAAGCTCATAATTCTTCACAACTAAATCCCTAAATCAATCCAAAATTTCCCTAAACTTGGATTAATTGACGTTGTTTCTTTTCGTAGAATTTAGAGATCACTAAATTGAAAATAAAAATCTTAAGAGACAAAAGTATCAAATCACAAATATGAATTCAAGAGACACAAATGGTATTAATAATAATAATAATAAAAACCCAATGTTTTAATCAACTTTTGGTTGAAATCAATTGAACTTTTGCTTCAAAAAAATAATAATAAAAGAAAATAAATAAAAAAAAATCAGTTGAACTTTCGAAAATTTGGACGTGGTATCTGCTCAGTCTTGGGGTCCTCAGCAGCACAAGTTTAAATTGATAGATTGACTAAGCGGAAGTGTTTCACATGTTGGGCTCATCGTCAGCATGGATTGTTAGCCATGTGCATGACTTCAACCCTTTAACATGTTTCTCTCTATATATATGAACCACAATGCGTTCTAATTTTGTCCCTAGAATATACATTGAATTTTAGGACTAATTACAAGATTAATACTCATTTTGGACCCCTTGTGACTTCCTGTACTTTGTTCTGTTTAGGAAGATAATCACATGAGCATGTTGCTATATACATATTCTAGTTAATTTTGTCTCTTAGGCTGAACAAACTCTTATGTTACCTTGCAATTTGCAAAGTTTGTAGTGTGTTAATTCTCCAATGAACCAAGACAACATGAAGGAACTGTATTTGGGACAAGAATAATCATGTCGCCATACATACACACACACACACACATATACGTATATATATATATATATATATATATATATATGTGTGTGTATGTATGCATCTATATGTATATGTACATTGAATTTGTTGTATCAAGCCCATCCCAGAATTCTGCCCACTCCCTCACATTTTCAACACTTCATATATTTTAGTGTTTTCATTGGGTTAATAAGTTCAATTTCCAAGGTATACATAGGAATATCTACTGTCTCATGTCTTCTTGTCCCCAATAGGGACCCTAACCAAGATAACATTTGGGTTTACATAATTCGATGCAACTTGGAACTAAATTAATCAACATTTAAATAATTAGTTATCATGCCCCCCATGAACTTGTCCTTGTAAGCCTTGATACATGGCCTATACTTCATATTCAATGCTAATATGTCTTATATATATTGAGCTACACAAAAACATTAAACTTCAAATAGTCCTGTAGTTTTTTAATAATGCTGTAGGACACCAGTAATACTGAGTACCACACACCATTAATAGGCAGCTCCCATATTATATAGAGCCTACATATAATTCAAGATGATACCAAATTTGTTATTGAACCTATAACAAATTGGGATTAAAGAAAAAGACTAAAGGTGGCAGTTTGTTGGCCAAAAATGATACAAGAGGTATCAGAGATGGTTGGGGGCGCTTCTTGCCTTGGCCCTTGGGCATCAAAGAAACCAACTTAGTCTCCTATATATTCAAATTGAACAAAATTCTTGTTTTCCAAGCATAACTTGTGAGAAATCTTGAGAAGTACTTACAAAGTTAAGAACACAAAAAATATGGCAAATCAACCTGTTAGATCCATTAGTTTGCCCTCCCGGGAACACCCGTGTTCGGTTCGGATAGAGGCCTTGTTGAACCATCTAAAATCCTTCCAATTTTCACCATCAGATGTTCCTCATGAATCAGAGATCGTCCAAAGCAGCCTAGTTGGTTTGGCAGAGTTGTACAATTGTGTTGAGGAGTTTATGAACTCTCCAAGCACACAAGCAGCCCTAACGCCCACCAATATTACCAAGCATGGGAAGATTGTGGAACAAGCCCTTGAGGGCTCCATCACATTGCTTGACACATGCAACATGGCAAGAGAAGTATTGATGACCATGAAGGAACATGTTCAAGCCCTTCAATCCGCTCTACGCATAAAGGGCCACGGTGGGGACACGAGCCTCGAGAGTTGTATCCGTGCTTATCTCAGCTTCCGAAAGAAGGCCAAGAAGGAGATTGCCAAATGCCTTGGAGGGCTCAAGAGAATGGAAACCAACAACATCACTTACTCACTTCCCTTGGATACTCTCAGCCAAGATTTATCCACAATAGTCAAGATCCTATGGGAAACAAGCTCCATTACCATCTCGGTTTTTCGGTCTCTTCTCAAGTTTCTCTCCATGCCAACATCATGCGCTACAAAGGCTAATGGATGGTCACTGATCTCCAAACTAATGAGAACGAGATTGTTGTCGTTTGAGAAGGAAGAGAAGAAGAATATTTTGAATTTGGTTGGGAATGTTGACGTTTCCCTCCAAACTCTTGTAGGAAACCTGCAAGGCAATGAGGGAAGAGCTCATGAGGTGATCAAAATGGCTCATAAACTGTTGGAAACAGTGAATTTGAGCACTGAAAACCTTGTGGCTGGATTAGATTGCTTGTTTAGATGTCTGGTTCAGAATAGAGTGTCTTTGCTTAATATCCTCACTAAGTGAAAATTGTTATTAATTGCCCTTAATTTGTATATCCCACTTTATTGTTTCTTGGTCATGTCATGGCATCCAAATTTTATAGGATTTGCTATGGTTTTTAAACTTGTAGTTGTATGAGAGTTGAATTGGAATTCACTTTTATTACAATTTTGATCTCCCATCATTTCAATTTTCAAGCGCTTATTAAATTTGTTTCACCTTTCTTTCTTAGTTGAAAGAGAAAAAAAAAAAAAAAACACACACACAAGAGACATACATATAATGTTACCCCTGTATGTTGAAAATCAATAGTGATGAGATTTAACAGTTCTTTTATTGAGATGATGGTGTATTTATTACTTTGTTATTTTAAGAAAGAATTTAACTTCAAGGGAACTGTCTGTGTGCTCTTCAGAAGTTCTTGGAAAGGTAACAAACATGACAAAATACATTAAAAAAAGTGTGTGTGTATATATATACACACGCACACACACACACACACACACACACACACACACACACACACACTTATGCATAGGTGCAAAATTAGCCAATGGTAGTGTGAAATCAGTCAGAGACAGATCATGGTTCATTGAATAACTCCTTCCATGTCTCCTATAGTCCTGGGGTTGACCAGCTGATGATATAATTAAGCTTTAATATATATATATATATATATATATATATGTATGTATGTATATATGTATTTCTCATCATCATCTGTTACATTAATATCTGAGTAGAGATGTCATGTACCTATATGTAACGTTGTCACCATTAATAAGCATGAGTGATGTGAATTTGACAAGTATGGCCAAGTTATTACATTTTTAATTGTAACATAAATAGTTTTGTGAAAAATGCTATGGATAACATATGACTCAAAAACGACAAAACAACTCAATTGGAGCAGACTTTGGGCCATAGGCAGGCCCCCAGGCCCAAAGGCTCCTCATGCTTGAGATAAGAAGGCAAAGTAGAAAAATAAATGACAGAAATTCCGGATAAATTAGTAAATAGTAATAAATTCAGAATCCACCGCATGACTAAATGCGTAGCCAGTAATCAAAAACGTTAAATTCGAGACTCACCTGCTAAATTTCAAATTTACCCAATAATTAAATTTAGTAAACTGGAATTTATCGGATTTAGTCCATAAAACCCTAAATCATATACATTTTTTAATTAATATTACTAATCTTTTATTTACACTATTTTAACTAAATTTTTAGCTGATAAATTCATATTTTACTCTTACAAATCTTTTTTTATAATAAAAAAAATGTTAATTTATCAATAATTATGGGAAATGCCCAACTTAGTGCCATAGAGATTTAACACACGATCAAAATAATTGCAAAGCTTAACTTTTCGTTGCAGTACTTTTTTCTGTAAGGATCAAGAGCATAGCACGTGTTCCTCAGGCCTCGATCATAATGCAACTTGAGAATTCTAACACGTAGATTAAAACTAGCATCAAGATCAATATATTATTGATGTTGATAAATCTACTCCAACACTTTTTACCAACAATACTAGCAAATCGGTGTTGAGCACCAACGAAAATATATAATATATACGGTTATATATTTATATTCTTTCCTAATCGAACTATATATAGCACTTCTCTATACAAAATATTTTCACCGTAAATTTTCAACTGAAGTTCATTGAAAAAGTTCGCTCTTCATTTTCTCAGTTCTATTCTTAATTATCTTATCTTATTCTTAAAAAAAGAGAGGCATCCAAGTAATTAGTTGTTGAATATGATGAAACATTCTCTCCTGTAATATTTAGCAGATCATTTATCACTCTCTTTGATTGTTACTTCTAACGGTGCTAGAGAAAATAATAGTTTTGAAATAAATAAATAACTTTTTTGTTTTCTATTTTTATCTAAATGAGATGGAGATCATTGGTGTTATCATATCTCTCATTCTTTTTGTCATTTTAGAAATTTTAACTCTTAAAACGTAAAAGACTTGACTAAATTTTACTATTCAATTTTCACTCAAATAACCACACACTCAGCTCTACACAAGACTTTAACGGGATAAAATATCATGAACGTAGTAGTACGTTTTTAAAATTTAAAAAAGACGATTCAAACATAGAGTTAAACTTTAAAATTACCATTGTGTTACACCTACAATAAACTACAAATAACATTTATACGTAGATTAAACATTACTAAATTTCATATTATTCCTAAAATGAAAAAGAAGTTGAGTTGCTGAATGATTGATACTCCTGCTTTTGCTTTCCTGTAATATATTGCATTAAAGTTTGTTCAAAAAGTAGTAGCAAAATTTGTAATACAAAGTCAGTGAATGGAAAAGCACCACCTGTCTAAGACCACCAACTGCCACATTTACTACCAAATCCTAATGGCTAATTCCATTGACTCGTTTTTCATTCCCCTGACATCTCAGCAACACGCGTCAACCCACCACAAACAAACGTGTCATACTTCCTTTGCTTTAGCCTAGAGAATCAATAAAAAAAAATTAAATTAAATTAATTGATTAATTTTGTGCTCATCTTTGGATAACGTAAACCAACAAATAGCATATATATTAGAGACCTTGTCACTAAGTTCGATGTTTCACCGTTAAATCTATTTAAGATCACATTAAATTATAAAAATATGTATAATAAATAATTTTTGATATAAATTTAATAGTTAAAAATAAAAAATTACTGGTGGATTATTTTTTTCAATTCACTATAGAAATTCTCTATATATTAAGCCAAAAAAATAAAAAAATAAAAAATAAGTATCTAGAGACACAACTAGTACAACCCATTCGTGCACATAATATGATATTTGTATCATCACTCTTAATAAACACCGTTGATCTTGGTCTTGGCTTTCTAACCACTATGAAAGAATCCTAATATTATTATACACATATACATACACTTCTTTATATGTACATATATGTGTATACAGATCTAGATCTCAAATCTCTTAGAAAATCCTATTTTTTTCTTTGTCCAACTCCAAGGGACATCCCAGAGAGGCCACGTATTGCATAAACAGGCAACCAAATATTAATATTTCAAAATTGGAGGGCAATGTGGCAACAAGGGAGGCAAAGATGGGTGAATACTACTCCTTCATATATCTCCTTGGGCTCTATTTGCATTACAAATCCACAAAACGACAAGAAAACCGGTCTGTTGTATTGCCCAAACCCTAGAGAGTATTATGCCCTAAACAAATATCAAATGATTGCAATAATGCCTGCCAAAGATGTGACAAGTTAGCCGAACTTGCAGGAACCTCCCATACAACCATCACATGGTCTCCACATTGACGTGAATATTATTGTACTACATTATATATATATATATATCAATATATGTATATATTATATATTGTACCCTTTTTTTCTCTTACATGTGTTGGTGTTACCTATATATAAAGAGGGTCATACCAATTGGGAAACCAAGCAATTCAAGAACAAATTTTTCTTTGAAAGATTAACATCAAAGATATTATAATGGCTTCAAATAAGCACCATGTTAGATCCATTAGCTTGCCTTCAAGGTCTCATCCAAGCACAGCTAGGGTTGAAGAACAGCTCAACAAGCTCAAAGCAATGGAGGAGGGAGCTAGTACTTCTTCAAGTTCTCTTTCTCTTGGTCTATTTGGACTTGGAGAGCTCTATGAATGTGTGGATGAACTTCTCAACATGGGGTCAACCCAACAAGTCCTAAGCCAAAGCCAACGTGAGAAATGGGTGGAAGACTTGTTGGAAGGATCAGTCAAGCTTTTGGACGTGTGTGGGATCACAAGGGATGTTTTGATGCAAACCAATGAGCGTGTTCAAGCCCTTCAATCCTCCCTCAGGAGGAGAAAGGGATCGGATTATTCGGGCGTCGAAAACAACATCACAAGCAACACTTGCTTCAGAAAGAAGATGAAGAAGGATGTCAAGAAGTTCACTTCTACATTGAAGCAAGTGGACAAGAAGTTTGAGGCTTCAATATTAGAGCAAGACAACAATGACCATCTCTATGCTGTTGTAAGAGTTCTTAGACAAGTGTGTACAATGAACATCTCTATCTTCCAATCCCTCTTGTTATTCTTGACTTTTCAAGGGTCAAAACCAAAATCAAAGTGGTCTCTTGTTGCAAAGTTGATGCACAAGGGTGTCATAGCATGTGAAGATCAAGAGAAGCAAATTTGTGTGATTAATGAGTTGGAAAATGTTGATGTTGCTCTTTGCAAACCAACAATACTACTTGGTGATGCTGAAATGATTCAAACAACTCAGAAGAGATTAAAGGCTTTGGAAAATAGCATTCATGGCCTTGAGAGTGGTTTGGAGAGTGTGTTTAGAAAGTTGATTAAGACAAGAACCTCTCTTTTGAACATAATCTCTCAATAGGGGATGAGGGTCTCAAGGCATATTCCACAATTGTAAGGATGTGCTTTGTGATTTCAATTTTCAATTCAACCCCATATATGTATATGTATTCAAGTACATACAAAGAGTTCAACTAATATAGTACATTCAAAATTTTGTCTCTCACATGCATGCGTGATGGCTGCTATTTTTGTCTTCTTATAAAGTTATGTTGTTTCTATGTAATGATTAAAAAGACTGTTATTTTTATCTGTTATTTTTATATGTTGTTTTTATAAAATATATAATAAAAGTTAATTTTATTGACGTTAAATGTAATCATAGATTATAAAAAGTCGGGGATTAATAAACTTAATCGTAGTAACCAAAAGTGGTCGAGTTTTCATAGTCGGTTGTCGTACTCTTAACATTGCGAGAAGAAAGTAAGTATTTGTTAATAATTTATTCAATATAAATGTTAATTTGATAATCGATTACACTATATTCATATACATTTAAACTACTATACAGTCTACCACAGGGACTCAACAGCCGATGTCCGTCATCGATAACTGGGGGGACATGCATCGTCGTAGGGATACTTGGGTTAATCCCCAAGCTTAACAGAATTTTGTAAGTATACTCGTAATGTTTAATTATATTTTTTTATTTAAATCGCATTATGTATTTAATTATTTTTCTTATAATATTTGTAGCATCGGATGGAGGGAGAAAGAGAAACGCAGATCTAGACGCAGTCTGCTACTTCTGGATCATCCCCAGTAGGAACAGTTAACGATGAGGATATTATGGAGTAGTTTCTGGGCACCCGCAGAGGACACAAGACTGGAGTGGGTCGTACACTTCCACAAAAAGTTTATCGAGGGGATGCATCGTCATCTAACTCACGCTTGGTAAGATCTTCTACGACACGTTCTAACCCACACGTAGAAGAATACTTACAATAGAGTTACCAGTAAAACCTCCAACTGTACGAGAGCGTCAGAATGATGTAGGATTTCATCACTCAAATGCACCCCAACATGACTTTTCCAGCGGTTACTCCTCTTGTGCCGTATGTCCGTCCATGTCATCCGCCTCCAAATCCTTCTGATGATAACAACGATAATTCTAGTGATGCTGTTAATTTAGGAGATTAGATTTTTATTAATGTAACAATTTGTATTTCCACACGTTTCTACTACAATTACATTTTTATTTTATTTTATTAATTCCTTTTTACAATAATAATTTTTATTTATATTTTTTATTATTTATTTCCTTTTATTTAATTTTTTTATTATTATAATATCATGAATTATATTTAATATTGGGTTTAAATATGCAATAATATACAACATTGATTATTAAAATGAGAAAAAATAAATAAAAAATTAAAATATTATTTACGACGATAAATGTGGTCGTAAAAAATATAAGCCACGTCAGCTAAGTTTGCATCTTTTGCGACGACTTAATTCAAAAAATGTCGTCGTAAATTCTCAATGTCATGTCATCTTAACGATGTAACCGACGAAATAATTGCAGCAACTCATTTGCGACGATTGTCGTCACAAATATAATTGCGACGACAATCTGTCATCGCAAAAATTATTTTTACGACAATTCAATTGTAGTGACAAGTTTGTGACGATAAGTGGTCGCTAAAAATTCATTTGTGATGACTTTCTATTTTTGGCAACGACTTTTTATCATCACTAATAGCCCTTTTTCTTGTAGTGTTAATATTCAAAAATTTTCGAGAAAAAGAAATTCTATGTCAAGAAAGAAAAAAGAAATATTGCTAATTAAAGTGCAACTTTTATCCATAATTAAGATTAAAGCAAGATATTTGTGAAGTAACATACATAATTTGCACTATGTTAATTTAGGGAGATATTCATATATGCATATATATATATATATATGCATTATATGTTTACTTGTCTATGTGCATGTATCTGACCTGTATTTATTCATCAACAAAAAAAGGCCCGCACACCCGCAAGTAAATACCTCATGCAGATCCTTTACTAGTTAACAGGAAATTAAAATGATTGCTTTTGTTATGTTCGAAGAAAAATCCATTTTCTACGTTTTGGACCTTTAATAATCTTGTACTCTTAATTAAGAAAAAGATGTAAAATTGAAATCCAAATCTCTTCATTGCTCTAGATAATTCACTACGTACTGATCAGTCACTCTGGGCTTCATGGCGGCTGGAAGCTTCTCATCATGATCATGTATATGCGCCAAGTGAAACTTCAGTGATCACATAAAAGGCCAACCATATATGAAATAAGTGTTGATTGTTACCTTAATTAATTGCCCATTAATTTACTTTTAGGAACTAATGATCAAAACAAATTAAGAAGCTCAGAATTTTGGTTTTAAGCACTCAAAAATAATAATAAACTATCACAAAAAAGTGACAAGGTTGGCTGATCTGACCCCTTTTTTGGATTCATTTGTGCATGTCTCCTAATATCATTATTATCAAGATAACAGTATTCCCTTTGTCATTTTTTTTTTATAATTATGACATGTAAAAACAACTTACAAGTTGTTTTTACCTCCTACAAAATCATTATGAGGAGTTAAAATGTCTTATAAGTTTCACCTTGGAAGCTTCAATCACCCATGAGATACATGCTAAATTCATGTACAATGATCTTTGCACAAACTTTCTCTTAAGAACTTCTGAGCAAAGAAAAGAAATATATCAATAATTAATATGGTAATTAAATAGTCCACATGTAAAGTGGCTAATGAAACAGGATATATTAGACGTATAACACGTGTGTGTACGGAAAAATTAATTTGTTTAGCACTATTTCTATCTTCTTTTTCACACTACCATTTTTAAAGTTAAAAGAGTTTATCTAATAGAATTAAAAAAATAAATTATTGGTTTTTTTTTTAACCGTTAGATTTAAATTAAAAATTATTTATTTTGTATAATTTTTTAATATGATATAATTTTAATCAGATTTAATTGTCAAAAATTATTCTACTAGATTAATCAGAGAAAGTTTCAAATCTGATAAATCCCGGATGTAGTAAGTTATTGAGACACGTAATATCTCTTAATTCTTTGTATCTTTTACCTTTGTTTCCTTGCCAAGCAAAGGCACCTCATAGAAAGTTGAAATGTTTTGTCTGAAAGCAACCAAGTTTCCCAACTTTTTTTCTTTCTCGTTCAAGGAATTGTTGGCCCCTTTTCATTATTAACTTTTATTCCTTGAAAGCAACTTCAATTACATTTGGACAAATATACAGCAGAAAACTTCATTTTCTAAAGACCAAATCATGACCAGGTCTTAACTGGGTCTTTTTTTCTAAAGTGGTACTTCTATCTTTAATTGTTGTTTAAAAAATATTTGGGAACTTACGAACAATAGTCACACACATTTGTTGCTTCAACGACAATTAATTTAAATGCAACCCACGCGTCCACATTACCGTAGATATTGGATTATTATTTATGAGCTTCACGTGGTCTGATAGAAATGTTCATTTTCACTTATTAAACTAGCTAGTTACCAAGAATGTTTAGACCAAAAATCAATAAGGGAAAAATAAATAGAGAAAAAAGTCAATAACTCAACAAGTATGTACATAACTAAAAGGATTGGCATTTATAAATCCTCATCATTCACAAAATGGTGGGGGTTCTATTACTTACCTAATAGAACTCAAATTATTTGAGTAGTGAGGTTTTAATTTTATGAGGATGAATAGGAATATTGTAAACAAAAATCATTCTTTTTATCTTGTGATTTTAATGCGTGGTTGGAGGTTTAATCTAGTGAAAATTTCACATTCATCATGTATAGATTTCAAATTCTCAACGCCAAAAAAATTGAAAAAAAAAAAAAAATCAGTCCTTGAAGTCAACTCCAAAAGTAGGATTAATGAAACCAAATGAACAAGAAGCTAGGAGTAGGAAGGCTCTAAACTCTCAACTTTATAAGTTGACACTTGGCAGGTGAACATTGCAAGACTTGGTGTAAACATAGCCAAAACATGCCACTCATGCGACCTTAAACAAATGTTTCCTAAGTTATAAATCTCAACCCCATTTCCCATACTCTTCATTTGAAAATTAATATAATGAATTAATTAAAAAAAAAAAAAAACTACTAGGTGATCTTTCAAGATCTTTTGATTTCTAGAGACTCAAGGTTGATCTCCATATATCCATAGAACTTCGGAATTAGGCCGTCCTTTGATTACTAAATTGGTAACCAACTTCCAATGAAATTGATTGGAAATTGACCTTTGGATGCGTGTATAAGGTGGCGGTGGCGTCGGCGGCAATGCATGGAAGCAAGAGAAATTTGGGCAAATGAATCTAGCTTTTTTTTTTTTTGGGTGCAAAAAAAAAAAAAAAAAAAAAAAAAAAAAAAAAACCCCCCCCCCCCCCATTTTTGAGTTTCACCCAAATGGCAATCCTTTTGCCATATCAAATCAATGGGTGAAGACGTGACAACATAACTTACCAAAAGAAGCCAAAAAAAAAAAAAAAGCCATCATCCCCACACTCCATTCACATGTTTATCACATTGACACGAGGACCTAAAGATTCTTTTGGTCCCCCTCCAAAATCCCTTGGTATAAATGTCTCATATTTCCATAATAATATCCTACACCTCATTTAGTCCAAATTATATCCCAAACGATCAAAAATGCCTTCCTTCTCCCAAAAGCCATCTTCCCGTAATTACAAAATTAGGTCCATTACTTTGCCTGTCAGATCCCATCCCACCACGCAAAGAACAGACCAAGAACTTCACAAGCTTAAAGCTAGTGAGGCCGTAACATTATCTTCCCCAAAAGCATCACAAATACGCAACGCACTTTATGGTCTTGGAGACTTGTACAAGTGCCTTGAGGACCTCCTTAGCTTGCCGTTGACAAGACAAGCTCTAGCCCAACACCAACAAGAGGAGTTGCTAGATGACTCCCTCGGCTACTTGGACTTCTGTGGCAGCACAAGGGAAGCCGTTTCGGTAATGAAAGAAGGCGTTAGGGAACTCAAGTCGGCGATTCGACGGCGGAAGGTCGGAGACTCAAGCATCGAGAGCAATGTCACAACTTACATGTCCTTGAGAAAAAGGATGAAGAAGGGAATTGAGCAATCTTTCAAGCAAATATTGGATCACAAGCATGGAGGGTTTCCCCTACATCATCTTGATACCCACTTGTGTGCCGTGGTTAGGGTGCTAAGAGAGGCAAGTTTTATAACCAACTCAATTTTTAGGTCGCTATCTTTGTTCCTCTCAACTCCGCTTTTGAAAGCAAGGCCCGCTAGTAGATGGTCTTTGGTTTCTATAATGGTCCAAAAAGGAGTAGCACTAGGATATCATGACCATGTCAATAATATTCAAGAGAAAATCAATGTAAATGAATTGGAAAGTGTTGATATTGCACTTGGTAACTTGTTATTAATTATGCAAAGTTCTTCAAGTGATACTGAGGACTTTGAGGATGAAAAGGTTCAAATTGCACAGAAAAAGTTGGATGATTTGGAGGGTGTCATTGATGGACTTGAGAATGGGTTGGAGTGCTTGTTTAGGCTTTTGATCAAAAATAGAGTCTGCCTCTTAAATGTAATTTCACAATAGGATATGATTGGTCCACCATGTTTGTTATTGTACCAAATTTATTCCCTTGATGAGCATCCGCATTAATTTAGAGGATATACGTAATGCTGTGATGTTTAACTTTATGCAAATTTTGCAACTTATGTACATGGATCAAATATACATTATATGTTTATTCCTTCAAAAAAAAATGTATATTTATATTGTATGTTTACCTCTTCTATGTTTTTATTCCTTCTTGTATGTTCAACATATGAACAGTTCTGGGTTAAACCCCAATTCGATTGTCCGGCCCAGTTGAGAAGTGAGAAAACAATTAAAAAAAAGTGTAATCTTGATAAATACCCGTGCATAAATCAAAATTTTTATTTTTTATTCTTAATTCATAACCTTTTTAGTTAAATAATTACACTAACAAAAGAGTATTTATCAAGAGTGAGGGGTAAAGATCCAGACTCATGCACTCTCAAAAGTAAATTCTCTATTTTTTCTTTAAAAAAAAAAAGGTTAGGTCCAATAGCAAAGTTTGGGCTACCCAGCCTATCTCTGCTCAAACCCAACAACCTGAATGAAAATTTCGTGCCTAATCGGGCCGGCCATAAATGGGAGAGGGACAGCCCGGTCTGAAATTTTATAAGGTATTTTAAAAAAAAATATGTGAAAAAGGGTGTTTGTGGTGTCCCACCCAAATAAACTTTTGAGTCGGGACAGGCCCAACCAACAATGGCTGATCTCGGTTCGGCCCGTTTAGCCTAACTCAAACTTATAATTTCTTTCTTTGTCGCTCTATTAAGTTAAAAACCCCGCATTACCCTTGTGTTAATAATTTCAGTAAGTAATTATTAATCCATTTCTCAGGACACTAGTAGTAATAAGGGGGAAAAAAGAAAACATATCGAATACAAACACAAAATTAAAGTAAGCCATTGATCAACTTTTGTGACCAGTGTTTTGAAAAGATAAATTCTCCATGAAAACATAGAATAAAACTAGTCACTGATTTAATTTTAAATATATCATGAAAGAAAGAAGAAGAAGAAGAAGAAAAAAGAAATTTTTCCACACAAACAAATTTTATAGTAAACCGTTGGTCTACTTTGGGGTAAACCCGTGGCATCAGCATCACGGAGGGAGAGGGGATTGGGTGGTGACGTCGCGAAAGAGAAATTCATTGACCGGTTGACTCATAACCGACGTGGCAGCAAGAGATTACAATTGTAAGCAGTTGCAAACAGCCACTTCAGCATAGGATTCCTCCTCTTTCCTCACACGCTCCTGCTCAATCACACGCGTTAAATCACATAACGGCTATTTTTTCCACTTTCGGCACAAAACACAGAGAAAAAAAACAGATATAATAAGTAAATAGCAGTAGTAGTCCCCAATCCAAACCCCATTACCAGATTCCAAAGAGATCCGTATTCCACCGTCGGATCAAAGTCTCTCTCCCTTTTCCAACCGTCCGATCGCCATGACGGTGGCCACCGCAGCGACATCCCAGACAAAGAAGCTGGTGAAGCTTGGCCTCTCGCTTTTCCGCAGAGGCTTCAACTCTCCAAAATGGTATTACTTTCTGTTTTCTTTTCTTCTGTTTGGTTGCCGAGAAAATCTGGGTTTTTGTTCTTTTTTTTCATATGTGGAAAATGGTGGAAACTTGGCAGTAAAACGGCGGCGAAGATGGCGGTGGCTCGGATAAAGCTGCTGAGGAACAAGAGGGAGGTGGTGGTGAAGCAGATGAGGCGTGACATTGCGTTGCTTCTCCAGTCTGGTCAAGACTCCACTGCTCGTATTCGGGTTCTTACACATTCCATTTTCTCTTTACTACATTCCGTCTTAACCCTTTTTATTAGAATTTCCGTTGAAAAACAATAGACAAAAGGAGGGAAATGAGTCCCACTTAACATTTCCTTATTAGAATTTATGTTGAAAACAAACGGAAAAAAACACTTGGTGGCCTCATTTAACCCTCCCTAACTTCGTCTATTTTCAAACGAAGTCCAAAAGAGAGGGGATTAAGTACTTCGATATTTGAAGGCAAATGGAAGTTTTTAAAGTTTAGAGGACAAAGTAGTCGAATGACTCTAAAATTAAGGAGACATAGTTAAGAATAATACCAAATATTATTACCAAATGAGGAAAATTTGCCCAATGTTATCATCTCAAGTCCTTCCCAAACTCATTGCTTTTCCATGTTATTGCTTGGCTTGTAATTGCCCATGCACTTAGTCTGACATCTAGTTCAAATTTCTTACCAGTTATTTGTTTATTGTTTTTTATGTTCGCCAAAAAAAAAGAGGTTCTTTTTATGTTCTGCTGGAATGATTAGGCCCATTTAGTAGTCAAAAGGTTGCATAACTTACTACAAGTGTTTCGTGGTGCGGTCTAGGTTGAACATGTGATAAGAGAACAGAATGTATTGGCTGCAAACGAGTTCATCGAGCTCTTCTGCGAACTAATTGTGAGCAGACTTTCAATCATCGCAAAGCGAAGGTGAAAGAAAGAAATTTGTGTTGTGTTTTTGGTAGCATTTGCGCAACTTTTACAGAGAAGTTTTGTCTAATATTGTTCAATTCACAGAGAATGTCCGGCTGATCTAAAAGAAGGCATTGCTAGTTTGATATTCGCAGCCCCAAGGTGCTCGGAAATCCCAGAACTGGTAGCAATTAGGGATGTTTTTGAGAAGAAATATGGAAAAGATTTTGTCTCTGCTGCCACTGATCTGAGGCCCAACTGTGGCGTGAATCGCATGGTAAGATTCCCCTTGTTTAGCAATATTTGTGTGAAAAATTCCGAGATTCATCCTGTTTGAACATATTTCAGTTTCTGCGAGTGAATCCTGAATTGATGATTGTGTTTTGTTGTAGCTTATTGACAAGCTCTCTGTTAGAACCCCCACCGGCGAATTTAAATTGAAAATCATGAAGGAAATTGCCAAGGAATACCAGGTCGACTGGGACACAACGGAAACTGAGAAGGAACTTCTCAAGCCTCCTGAAGAACTTATAGTATGTTCCTCTCTCTCTGTCTTCCAATTCAAGATCATTTGTGTGTTCTAAAATCGATTTTCTCATTGATCAGGAAGGACCACGAACTTTTGTTAGTGCGACCAGCTTACCGGTAAAGCCTGTGCCAAACCAATCTTTTGACCTTAACACAAATAAGTTAACTACAAGGTAACTTTGCCATTGAATTCATCACTTTCATAATAAATCATCAAAAGGCTTATAATTACTCATCAGAAGGCTTTTTCATACTGTCCTTGACGTCTCATTTCGCTGTCTTTGTAGTTCTTCTTTACCCAGAACAACAACCAGCGGTGATGATGGCAGCCACATGTATTTCCAAGACTCAGCCGGGGCTGCCAAAGCGGCTGCAAAATGTGCAAACGAAGCAATTGCAGCCGCTAAAGCTGCTGCTTTTCTCGCCAACAAAGACTTGAACCGCACCTCTTCTCAACCACCACCATCTTTTGATAACAACAATTCAAACAACAATCCAAGCATCAATATTGGATATGAAGAAATTAATCATCAGTATAACAAAGCTTCAGGAAGGGCATTTGAGTCTCAGAACTTTAATGGGCCCCACACTCCAAGCAATATGGAGACACTGATGAACAACAACAACAAGCACAGTGGAAGAACGCATAGGAGGCACAGCTACAATGCCCCATCTGCACATTCAGACATAAAGTTTGATGAATCAGACTGTGATGAAGAAGATGAAGAAATTGAAGCAGAGACACCACCTAATGGCAGCACCTGTTTTCAGCCGCCTCAGCGAGCCCCGCCTCCAGTACCATTGAAGCAGGATTCACCTCATTCTGTTCATCCAAAATTACCCGATTACGATTCACTTGCTGCTCGCTTTGAAGCCCTCAAGCACCGCCGCAACTCACAGCCCTGAAGAACTTGCTTGACTTGTTCCGCTTCAGTTCTTCTGCATTATATGTCATGGTATTATATACGTCGTATTATATTATTCATATACATACGTAGATACTAAATAATTCATAACACATAATAGGGGATGTTTTTTTTTTTTTTTTTTTCCTTAAATCTTTTTGCTTTATAAGTTGTAATATTCTTGCAAAGTACGTTACCAATGTCATTTTCTTCAACGTTTACTATTGATTTGTATTATTATATTCAAATTTACTGTAATTCAACATTTAGAAAAACAAAGTCCATAGATATGGCATGATTTGCTTGTGTATGACTTTTCTGATTGCTTACGAGTATGGGAGTACACCACATTCAGAGGAAAAGAAAAACATAAAGATAGCTTTGAGCACATGGGCTTCAACTTCAACTTGTTCTGCATTTTCAATTGCTTGTTCATACTGCCCTAAATAAATCGAGAATTATTACGGTGGGACCTATCCTTTTTACCTATGAGTAGGTACTGGTTTTTAACCATGCGGAATGATATGTATTTGTAGCAGTTATGGACTGAGCTTTGAAAATTTTTGAAATGGACATTCACTGATAAGACAATTGAAATCTTAATCGAACGTTAAACCAACACAACAATTGTCGCTGCCACAAAAGTTCCTTAGAAAATTACGTTTTATTTTCTTTGAGAAGGTAAAAAGTGTTGGTGATGAAGTTGAGATTATGATTTTGTGTGGCAATTTGTTTTCTGAGAGGGAGAAAATAGCACAACTGAGATGGAAAATTGACAACCTTTTGAAGAGAAAAGCAGCTTGTTTTGGTTGACTTGGGCAGAGGTTACTGCAGATAAAACGACTTTTATAAAGGAGTCGCCAATTGAAAATGTCATACACCATTGTTTTCAAACTTTTGACTGTTCACTGTTTCATACTTTGGTCCTGTTCTTTTCGCAGATTCGAGTTTTGTTACAGTAAAAAGCTCTCAGAAACAGTCACATCTAACTTTTTTGCTACAGTAAAAAACTCTCACACAACATCACATCACATCTCGAATTCCATACGTTAAAAAAGATATTTGGATATACTTTTGTTATCGCCTCTCTAACAAATTATTAGAATTTCATAATTGCCGGAGATATTGGCATAATCCACTTAACAAGGTAAGCGCAATATTTTCCTAACAAGCTGGTTTTGTTAAGTTGAGTTAGGCCTGATATCCTTTGATTTTTATAAAATGGTATCAAAGCAGGCCTAATTTTGCAATGTTGGGTCCCCCAATATCAACTTATTCGCAGCGGTTTGGCATGGTCCACGTTGTGCGTGAATGGACGTATTAGAATCTCATATTGGCTGAAAATATTGGCATGATCCACTTAAGAAGATGAAGGTAATTCTCCCCTAATAAGCCGATTTTGTTAGGTTGTGTTAGGTCTAATATCCTTTAATTTCTGTAAAATAAATAAAAAAAAATATCCATGCATCAATTACAATGTGATATAATGAACTTGAGCCGCCATCCAAGTACGAATACCCTCGTTTAAGCAAATATCTTTAGTGTAAATCAATTAAACATTTTTTTAACTCATTAAAAAAAAATAATTCCTGAATTCTCTCTAAATTGGAAAGGACCGCCTATATTGACTATGTATTAATGTGCACACAAACCTTGGAAAAACGGTTGGCACCACCAATTTGCTATATTTTATAACCACATATTATTTTTTCGCGTCTTTGAAGGAACAATTATTATCTCAAATATTCCAAAATATCACATGGTTGTCGAAGCTGAATCCCGGAATTAAGTATCCTGGCCCAGCGTTGGATTTATCTCTCAGGAGTAATAAGTTGACCAAAATATAACCCTAATATTAATCTCTTTTGAGCCGTTATCCGATAAATGTATAGTAATTCTTTATCTACAACCGTCAGATTACTTGTAAACGGTCAGGATCTTTCTAAGGTAATAGTGTAAAAAGGTTCAAAACGAGGGATGGCAGCCATGTCCATGTCCATGTCCAATCCATCTACAATAAATAATCATCTCATAGACGCACTCTCTTATTAATTAATTAATTAATCCAACAGCGTAGACAACGAAATTAGGGCACTTTCGCTTTCTTTATTCACAATTCAAACACATGATAAGATAATTATAAAGCAGCCAAATTTGTCCTTGACTTCAATATTAATTATTAGTCCATATTGCAACAAAGCAATAATTTATCTCTCTCTCTCTCTCTCTCTCTCTTTCTCTCTCTCTCTCTCTCTCTCTTTTTCTCCTCTTCTCTCTTCCTCCTCTCCCTCCTCTCTCTCTCTCTCTCTCTCTCTCTCTCTCTCTCTCTCTCTCATATCAGCTTCCTGTCATAGTAGCAAAGCTGTCTAAAAAGAATGTGTAAAGTCTCCTATTCCCCACCTGTATTTGTCATTATTTAATCTGTGTTTCCTTGGCAATTTCCTTGAACCAACTCATTACTTGGCACAACTTGTTACCACTATATATAACACATAATTCTGCACGAGTTTTCCCCAAGGCTACAGAATTAAGGTTTTAGCTAAAGAAAGCAAAACCCGAATTCTTGGAGTCTCCTGTAGCTTCTAAGTGCCAGATCCAACGTTTTAAAAAAAAAAAAAACAACCTCGAAATCTTGAGCTTAAAAAAAAAAAGGGTGCTTAAAATGAGCCGTGAAGCGAAAGAGATAAGCTCCGCTCCTATAACGCCGAGGCCATCGTCGCCAAGCAGAGCGACCGGGGCGCCACCCGTTTCGTGCCCCCCGTCGCAGTTCCATTCGCCGTCGTTGTCTCGGTCTCCGCTGCTGAATGGCGAGGGCGCCGAGGGAGGAGGTGCGGCACGCCCTAGAAAGGCCCCGAAGACCCCGGTGAGGACGCCGAGAATGTCTTTGACTCCAAGGTTCATCACTCCCCTTGGTAGCCCCATCAGGAAGGCCCTGAGGGCCACAAAGCTTGACCCTCAAGACGCTTGGTTGCCCATCACCGAGTCCAGAAATGGCAACAAATACTACGCTGCTTTTCATACTCTTTGCTCCGGGATTGGTATTCAAGCCCTTGTCCTTCCTTATGCCTTCACCACTCTTGGCTGGTAAGTCTATACATACATACATACATACATACATACATAGATACATAAATATATATACATACATAAGGGTTGTTTTCAGTCTTTTACGAATGACCGTCTTATACTTTAACATGTAGAATAAAGGATGAAACATGTGATTTTATTTTATGTAACATTAACTTTACAAAGATATAATATTAGTGTGTGATAGATAAATTTCTTATTATTAAAATACCTTTACAAAGTCATTGTTAATTACTAGAATAAATATCATGTAGGAAAATGGTTCATAAATGATTAATCAAATGATGGACTGATTTGTGATTCATCACCGATTAACTTGATGAACTGATTTGTGATTCATCACTGATTAACTTGATGGACCGATCGTATATCAGTGATTAATCATGGTTAAAACCAAGAAAAAAATGAAAGGCCTTCTAACTTTAGAAAAAAAAAAAAAAGGGGAAAAAAAAGAATATGTACACACACATATATATGTATATATAGTATATATTATATAGATTAGTCTCTTTGTACGTAAGTTTGTAATATTATAGTCAAAAGGCATGTATATTGCTGCGAAGCTTCGTTTAGCTGTCAAGTTAATTTTTATTTCATTTTGTTGCATATGAGTTGAAGATTCTTTACATAATAATATATACACCTCTTATCAACTTATTCTGATCATAGTTAGTTTTATATATACTTATATTAATTAATATGCTTTTTTTCTTCCTTAATTAATTGCAGGTCATGGGGAGTAATCTGCTTGACCTTAGCCTTCATATGGCAGCTCTACACCTTATGGATTCTTGTTCAACTCCATGAGTCTGTCGAAACCGGGGTGCGCTACAGCAGATACCTCCAACTCTTTAGTCTCACTTTCGGTACGATTAATTTTTAACCAATCACATATTCACATGAACCAAATATGTCTTTTTGTATGCATAAAAAATTCATCTAGTAATTTAATTGTGTATGTTATGTGTAAAAATGATCTTATCTATTAGTAAATTAAGGTTGGATCAGATTAATTTAAATTTTAGGCCTTATGACATAAAAAGTAAGTGTCGTATTACTGTTGGGCTAAACCTGTAATCATATGCCACAATTAGTAATTTTAACCAATCATAAATTTACTTCGATCCACTAATTACATGTTATAATATATATATATATATATATGCTACAATTAGTTTTTAACCCATCACAAATTTACTTCGACCCACTTACATGTTATGACATACATGAAATTTCCATTTAGCAAATTTGTGGTTGACTTATTTTATGGTGTACATTTTGTATGTCACAGGTGAGAAGCTAACAAAGTTGCTAGCTACATTCCCAATCATGTACCTATCAGCAGGCACATGCTCGACGCTGATCATCATCGGCGCATCCACGGCAAGAAATTTGACCCAGATAATATGCGGGACCGAATGCTCGAGGGAATTGACAACCGTGGAATGGTACTTGGTGGTCACTTGTGCAGCCGTGGTGTTGTCACAATTACCGAACTTGAACTCAATCGCCGGAGTGTCGCTAATTGGTGCAATCACGGCGGTTGGATATTGCACAATTATTTGGGTGGTGTCCGTGGACAAGGGAAGGCTACCGGGGGTATCCTACAACCCAGTTATGGGAGGTAACGATGTAGAACATATGTTCAAGGTGTTCAATGCCCTTGGGCTTATTGCTTTTGCTTTCAGAGGCCACAATCTCATCCTTGAAATTCAGGTGTGTATAATTGTTCTAATTGATCCCCTTCTTGCAAAAGTTTTAATCATATTGGGGTAGTATTCATAAAACCCGAAAAATTAAGAGAGTTAAAAAAAACAAAAAAAAGAAAAGAAAAAGACGAATGCGTATAAAAATCTCATAGTTCAATACTATTACGTATTAACAAGGTAAAAAAAAAAAAAAAAAAAAAAAAAACTTTTGGTACAAAAGCAAAAACATTTTCAACGAATCTAGAAAATACTAGTTCTCTGCAGAAGTGAGAAGAAGGAAAGTTCGAATCTTTCTACCCATTATTTCTTTAACGTTTTGTTGACCAACATATGAAGTGTTTCCACATCATGACGTTGAAATATCAAAACTTTCTTTGATTGAAAGAAAATTTCAAAACTTGGCCTTTGGCCATATTCTACTCAGTCCAAAACAGCACACGGAAAACTTTTTTACTTTTTGTGCTCAACTTTAGACTTGTAACTACATTAGTCAATGACATTAATTTCATAACAAGACAAGAGACACTACTCCATCTCTCCTCTTAGTCATAACCATATAAAGATTCCAAACACTAATTAGCATTAATGATGATATCAATGATGTGTTTACGGTTCAGTTCTTAAATTATATTCAAAAGATACGTCATAAACACGCGGTTTTTCGCTGTTAAAGAATTTCTTTTGCTATGTTACATTTTTTTCTCTGTTCCGATATAAATTTCATCAATAAAGATGATGTGTTTATCTTCATAACTAACTCAAAAGGTACGTCATGAATTTGCAGGCCACAATGCCATCGAATGAGAAGCATCCTTCCCACGTGCCAATGTGGAAGGGAGTTCAGGGCTCCTACACCCTCATCTCAGCGTGCTTGTTTCCCATTGCAATCGGCGGCTACTGGGCTTACGGCCACATGGTAAGCTCTCCAAAAATCAACCCATAATTTCGTATTATTCTAAATGAAATATTGTTTGAGTATCAAAATTGATATGTGAATTTGTGACTGACGAGTTAAAAAAAGTGCTCTTTAAAAATAAAACTTTCTTAATAGTAATGCTTTTTAAAAAATAAAATAAGTATTTGTACGTTTCAAAGTTGAGTACATGTCTATAATTAGCTAAAAATTGATACATAATTGGCACTCTTTTGAATGAAACAAGTTTCACAAGTGAATTTGTGGCAGCTTAAAGTTGACATTTTAATTTTGAAATTGTCTAAAAACTAATAGTATCATGACTAAATTATGCTACATGCCAATGCTCTTTAAATAACATTTTCCCTGGTGAACTTGTTACCAGATCCCATCCGACGGAATGCTGACGGCGCTCTTCATGTTCCACTCGCAAGATGTGTCCGAGTTCGTCTTGGGAACGACTTGCGTCTTCGTGATAGTAAACGCGCTTAGCTCGTTCCAAATCTACGGGATGCCAATGTTTGACGACATCGAGTCCCAGTTCACAAGGAGGTTTAAGAAGCCGCTGCCGTGGTGGTTGAGGGCCGTGAACCGGGTCGTTTTCGGGTTCATTTGCTTCTTTGTGGCCGTTGCAATTCCCTTCTTGTCAAGCTTGGCTGGCTTGATAGGAGGAATATCATTGCCTATTACATTGGCTTTCCCTTGCTTCATGTGGCTCAAGATCAAGAAGCCTAAGATGTATGGCCCCAATTGGTGGATCAATGGGGCACTTGGGGTCCTTGGGATGGTCCTTAGTGTCATTTTGGTCGCTTCTAGTATTTATGTTATCATTGACACTGGTATTGAAATCAGTTTCTTCAATCCTAAATAAAAATCATCCCAAGAAAAAAAAAAAAAAAAAAAAAAAAAAAAAAAATGAATTTAGGGGGGCAATTTTTTTTTTTGTTAAATTAAATTTTGGAGGTGCTGTTTGTGGTTTTAGTACGTGGGGGTGTGTGTTACTGATGTTAAAAGGGAGAAATGTAATATAAATTCAGTTTTTTTTTTTTTTCCTCTTTTGATATTGATTTTGGGGTTGATAATGTAATAACTTGTCGCATTCTAAAATTTTAGGTGTTACACGAAATATTGATCTTGATTATCCCTCTTTCTTTCTTTCTTTTCCTTTCTTTCCTGTCCCTAACATGAAAATAAAACAATAAATAAATTGCTATTCTTCAGTGCAAAATGGCTGCTCAAATATAGACGTTCATATTGAGGCCTTTGTAAAAATAATCTAATAGAAAAACTTTATTCATAAAATGACAATTTAAAAATTTTTATTTACAAAATGACTTTCTGAGAAGAAAGAAAAACGAAAAAAATGAACTCAAAACCCTCCCTGAAGCTAGCTCCGTTTCTCGTCCCTCACGAAGTGCTCAGTCATGGCAAATTTTTTTGATTTCTTCATATTCATTCTCCCCAACTATCAAAGCTCTAGATCCGCAAGATTGAAGAAACTTTTGTCATATTTTGTTTGATTAAGTGCTTTGAAGAATAAGAAATTATTGGAAGAACTTTTTGGAGAACAAAATTTGGAAACTCCAACATAAGGGAAGAGGAGATCTCGGAGGTTCTGAAGGGAGAGAGAGAGGGGGATGAGGATTTTGAGTCGTTCTCTTACCTTCTTGGTCGTGAGGGCTCGAAGAAGGGAGGAGAAGGAAGAGAGCTCAAATTTAGTATTTGGTCTCAAGAAGGAGGCCACCTCTGTTAATAATACCTATTAATTATATAATTAAGAATTTATTCAAATAAAATAAATAAAATTAAAATTAAAAAGTCATTTTCTTAATTTTACTTTTTTACTCGGTTATTTTAGCCAAATTCTCCGTTCATATTAGTCTTTCATAAACAGTGCTATATTAGTCTTTCATAAACAGTGCTTCACCAAGATCACCACCTAAGTCTCGGGCTTTTTTCAGCCAAAACAGAAATAAATAAATAAATACTCGGGACTAAATAGTCTTTTATGGGGACTACCAATAGAAAATAATAGTTGAACATTCTTTCTTTTTGGTCCCTTTTTGTATTTAATTGGCAATTAGCAAACAACTTGGTACAACTTTATCAACTTTTTCTTTTTTTTAAGGCAAAATAGTTTTCATCAAACAGAAGCTAAAAAAACAGGACATTAACCTTAACATAATTACAGAAAAGAACCTTAACAATGCATTAACAGCAAGAGTATGGACCACTACATTGGCATTTGGCCCGCTTATGAGGTCTAATTACTCACTTATACTACCCATATGTGTGTATTTTAATATAATAAGGTTTTCTTATACATTAATATATATTAATAAATATTAACTTTGATCAAGTTTTTCACGTTGTTTTTAGTCTTTCTGGTAAAATTTTCTAGTTCTATCATGAGGAGCCTTACCACTTACCAAATGAGTATGACCGGGAGTAACCGGTAGTCAAACATTCTCTATCTAATAATGCTAAAGAGTACCATGCCAACTACTGCACAACATTAAAAGGTGGGTTTATAAAGTCCATTGATGAGTCCTACATTTTATTTGTAGTACCGGTGTTCCGAAACGTTTTTTTTTTTTTTTTTTTTGGACTAAATGAACATTAACCCCCATTGCTTGCCAGTAAATTTGTTCTAATAGACCACGATGCTTATTTTACGACTCACAATATATGAAGCGTTGACTTGACCATAATTAGGAATACAAGACTTCATTCTTTAATTACCACATCATTTAAAAAATGAATTCACGTAAGAGAAAACACTACAATAAAAACATGGCTTAATTAATTACAAAAATTCCATCGAAACGCTAAGCTTAGCCTTAGGACATTGGTTCTTGGCTTAAAGGATGTGAAACTAGATTACACTAATTGAATATTGAGGATTGTCCCAACCTTACAGCATTACCACAATGGCTGCCTAATACAACCTCACTTGTGAAGATGGAAATACATAAATGCCGAAAACTTGTTTTCTAAAAGAATTGAGGGTTTCTGATGTTCCGAGTTGGGAGGAATTTGTTTCAGCAATGAATGAAAGATTGGCTCCAGAACACTTGTTTTCTAGATGACGAATGAAGTTATTAACTTTTTCTTCTCTCTCTTTGTAAAATCATGCCACTATGTACCTGATTATCAAACTCTTGACAATGAGGTACATGGTGGCATGACATTCCGATGTCAACATCGATGACCTGAATGTTGATGTTCGTGATCAGAACACGGAGCTAGAATTTTATCAAAACTTGGAATCGCCATACGCGGAAATAGAGTGGTTGTTTTCGTTCTTCACGAAACTATAGTTGGAAGTCCTTGGCTGTCCTGTAATTGTATAAAAGCTCAATATGGGAAGTTTTGCTCAAGATCATGCACTCCTTCGTATTTCTTTTCACATGCAACTCGGGTCCATCTTGTATCTTGGTCGTCTAAAATCTAGTTATTTACCCGTACCCTTTTATGTGTAAATTATGTTTAAGTTCTACAACTTCAGTATTAATAACAAGGTGTCCACGTATACATCGGACCACTCTACAACTCTAGTTAAACTATCGACAAGAAGAAAATCAAACGGCAGAGAGTCAAATCGGGTAATTTCTGAGAAGCCTTGGTGTATATAAATTGTACAAAAACATGATCCAGAATCGCTCATCCGACAAAAAAATTACATGGTAGCAAACCAAGTCTATGACAACAACATAACCTAAATTAAATCTCTATATCCCTAAAATGAGAACCCACAAAACCTTCTCTGATGCCAACAAATAGGACTACAAACACACTTTTCTAAATATGAATCTATGATGCTCCCAATTAATTTTTTGAACACGCAATTAATTCAACAATGCATATATATAATATTAGCAACAACGACAGGTTACACAATCCAAACATGTGTAAGGTCTTGATTTTTCCTCCAGTTCCTGAGCCGTAGGCAGCAGCTCCAACTTGTATATACTAGTTTGCGCGCAGCAGAAACGGTAGAGATTTCTACATATTCCTTCGCTAAAAGGATTCACTCTTGCAGGAAGTCCCCTATAAATTCAAGGTTTGGCATTAATTCCTCAAAAATATTTGCAGCTCAACCTGATTAGACTAGCAAGCCAAAGTCCAATATGAACACATCATAAGAAGAAATAAACTAACCTTAGATACGGGATGCGTCTACGTCTTATTAGTTCAAATGTGGTCTGATTTGTCAGAGCAAGATAGCTGCAGCAAGAATGGATTTAGCTATGCTCTTTGGGTTTTCTAATTAAAGCCACAGTCATAGTAAGAATGAAATAAGCCAACTGCTCGTATAAGCAGGTCCGTCAAATAATTCATCAAAGTGAGATTAGTACAATGGGACAGGGGAGAGGAGGAACTTGTCACAAACAAGATTATCTTTATGTTGAAAGAAAACTGTTAGAAGGTAACAACTTTACCTATGAAAGGTTAGCAGGAGCAGCAGAAAGACCAAGGATATTGACAAAATAATCAACAGCAATATCACGATTGCAACCTTCCACCTAATTGACAAGATCAAATTAGGATGGAAAATTATCCCTCAACATGGATAAATAAAAATTGTTGTTAAAAACCCAAGCACCAACATAATTACAACGCCTTGGGGGCTTTTCCCGTTCATTCTTCTTGTTGGGCTGGCTTTAGTCAAGCAGTCATTAGACTGCCCCTCCATGATGATGAAGTACGATTTTGACCATGCCTAAGAGATTGCATAATAAAAAAAGAAAGAAAGAAAAGAAACTTTCTCATGACACAAGGATATCAGAAAGATCCTTACCAAGCTTTTGCTATATTAGCCTTCAGGTAAGTAATATAAAGAAAGCCAATCCACAAACACAAAGCTGTTTCTTCAAAAATGTACCACCTAGAAAATTTTGCCAACAATCAAGGTTCGTAATTAGGTGATCAAACATTCAGAAGTTCCAATAAATGAGACACTTTCATTAATACGTCAAGCAGTTAGGTCTTATACAGAAGGTATCAATTTCAACAATTCACAATCATGGTAGTTCTGCAATGATGTGAATACTAATGGTTATATACAACAACAACAGCAACAAGCCTTAATCCCAACTTAATTGGGGTCGGCTATATGAATTTTACTTTTTCACACGGCTCTGTTCGAAATTATACTTTCCTGAAGGCCTAGATCTAGAATGTCTTTCCTAACGACTTCGGTCCACGTAATTCTTGGTCTACCCCTCCCTCTCCTAGTATTAGGTATACGAATGTCCTCCCAAGCACGAATTGGTGCTTCTAGCGTCTACGTTAAGAAAGGAAATTTTGAGATAAAACATAAGCATTCTGGAGGCAACTATCGTCCATCTACATATATGTTCCTGAACATCAATAGCCAGATATCTTACTAGCGCATCTTACTGTAAAGAAAATAGAGGATCACCTGCCTCAGATTGACATCAACTTTACGAATGCAATTTATAAGAATCAAAATAGTATATTTAACTCACATATCTCAATTTGGGAGGGACAAAAATATGCTAATGGAAAATGTAGGGGATAATTTCAATTTTGGCCGTGGAATTAGGTACCCTGTCCCGCAATGGGATAACGAGCACAGTTTAGGGGGCCAAAATTAAAATTAACCCAAAATGTAAAGCATGATCCTCATACTCACCAAAATTTACAATGGTTACCCTGGCCAACACATGTTCCAAGCCAAACACAATGATGATCAAACTGAAGGACGCATCTATCACAATCATGACAGTGTCTTGCTCGTGGAGGCTGCATATAGAAACAAATAGAAATATAACCATATTGTCCTACGGGAAACAAACAAATTATCAGAGTAACAACTTAGATTTTATATAATGTAACGGAAAGATGACATTATTAGTTATAACGCAATACAGGCCTGTACAGCAGGAACGAAAAAAAAAATTGGAAAGAACAATGCAAATAGCTCTATGGCTAAACCTTAACTTAAGACAATGTATTACTCTGGCTGCTCCTATCCTCTCCTAAAACTAAAACAGAGCCTGATGTAAGATTAGTTGAAATTTATCGAGATATTATTACTTAAGCATAGAGAAACAAGGATTGTGGCGAATCATGTAACAAGGTTTAGCATAAGAGATAGAAGATGCAAGCATAAGATATAAGTACCTGTTCAACGTTACAGTAGGAGCAAGTAAACGTTCTGCAAGGATTGAAAGGAGCTATTGAGTATAATATGAAACCTGATATGGTGTCCTTTCCAAAAGGTTTAGTAACATAGAACAGAAATAAACTTTTCTTTTTTTCGTTTGTTTTTCCATTTTTATTTTTGTTTTTCAATTTTTGTTTTGTTTTCTGCACTTTTTTTTTTTTTTTTGCCCCCTCAAAAAGAACACAAGTGAATACATAATACATAAGCTACAAACTTGATCCTAAATTCTTTTTTTTTTTCTTTTTTGCTAGCCACAAGATTCTAACTTGTGAGGAAAAAAACAATCCGTTAGAATTCCAAACAGGGAGCTAAGAAGTAAGGCAGTAAGAGAACACAGAACTAAATCGGCAACATTGACTTCCATATATGTACCATAGTGTTAGTGTGTTACTACAAAATAGTACAAATAGGTCAAAAAAAAAAATGAACAAGTATATATAAGACAAGCAACTTGAACCCCGTCTGAAAAGTAAAGGTTTGCATGGTACCCCCACTGGTTGACATATCGATCCCTTTTCAAGTCATTCTATTATTTTTCCCCGGTAGAAGGTGATTCTATTATTTAATCTAACAGCTAATGAGCAATTTAGGTAAGCACATATCAATATGCTAAGAGTAATAACTGCCAAAAAAAAAGCCAAAAGGATGCCATTAAGAGAACTTAATAAACAGTTACCTACCTAATGGAGGTTCCAGGTGGATACATGTCCATCACTAGCTTAGTCCAAGATGTTAAATTATTTCCTGAAAAAGCCGACTGACTTGAGTCGGTAATCACAACCGTATTTCCACTTTTGCTTGGAGCAGGCTGTCTTTGATCAAACATCATGGATTTAGAAAATTAGAGAGTGAAACATACTCGATCACGAAGCTGAATCTCACAATGACTAGAAGGAAAATATAATACTTACTTTGAGGCCACAGATAAACTCTTACAAATTGCATTTGACTCGTTGACAGCCCTAATCGCATCAATTACATATCTACAAATAAAAATTAAGGAGAAAAATTACATTCGGCTTAAAATGGAAGAAAAAAATTAATGGCTTTTATTAGTTGCACATAAATCTATGTAAGCAGTGTATCTGATAAATTACAAAGGGACTTTGCACAGCCACAAGATCTGGGGCTCGAATCACCTCATGGCACCTACTTGACAAAAGAAGTTATAGTTCCGTTCCTTTCAAAGATTGTAGGGCTCCAATTTTAAACTCGGGCTCACAAAGTGAGTTCGGAGGATTTCTGAGATCAAAAAGACTTTTAGAGTCGTTTTATAAAGCTAGATTTTTGGGATTCTAACTTTTACTTCTACTTTTCCTTTCACTAAAGATAAGAGTCGTGCTTCTTTCAAAAACACAACAATCCCAAACTGAGCCGATGTGACCAATGATCGATATTAAAGATTGGAATTTACCCGGGTGATGAACTGGAGGTAATAAAGTATTGAACCAATGTGGCAACAAAGAGCAGCAAGTATATAGAAGTATACCTGAAAAGATGAATGAAAACAAAGAACAAAAAAAAACAACTTAGGACAGTAAGAAAAATACCTGAAAACAAGAACATAATGTTCATATATGCACTCATAAGCTGCAATTCTTCAGAAACTTCACATCATATTTTTGCCATAACGAAAAGGAATTCTTTAGAAATGAAATACTGAGGAAACTTGAACATACCAAGGTTCTCTCTTAGTTTTCTCTATCAAATCTCCATCAAATAGAAAAAGAATACCCACATATATCACATGAAGAATCACCAACGAAACTTTCAAACCCAGGGCAGATCTCCGAGCTGAAACCCACTCAACATGAAACCAAAATCCATCAAACGAAAAAATAAAATAAAATAATAAAAAAAAAAGATGAAGAATAAGACGAAGAAGTCAAACACTTTTTGGCTGCTAGGAGGCAAAAATCCAAAAGAAAAAATCCAACATTTTTTATGAAAAAAAAATCCAACATTTTTTATGAAAAAAAAATCCAATCTTCGCATACCAAAATTGAAAAAACCAACAGATTTCTGGTTTCTTCACCTCTGAAAATAATAAAAGAGCATTCCAAAAGGACATAAATTATATTAAATCGACACACTTTTCAGTCCTCCGTATAATTTCTTCCAATTTCGTCACATTTCTCGGCAACCAAACAGATGATAACTTAAAACAGCAGGAATTTAAAAAAAAAATTGTAGAAATTAAGCATACCGGGATCGGAAAGACAGGGAAAAAAGCGAGAAAACCGGTCCATTGATTGATCAATCAAGTCTCGAGAGGGCTGGCATATATGTACGATCGTCATTTAGCTCAAGAACATCCGGAACTCGAGACTCGTTTCTTCCCTTTTTCTCTCGGTGGTTTGACGAGAAAAACTTTTCTCGAGAAAGTGACAGAATCGGAATCGGAATCAGAAATTCCCGCAATGAATTAACAAAACGAACTTGCAGATATAGAAGCTAAAATTGAACTCCTCTCTTCTCTCTCTCTCTCTCTCTCTCTCTCTCTCTCCTCTATCGAAACTCCGTGGACTTCTGATTTGAACTCGAAAGAAAATCTACTCTCTCTCTCTCTCAGTATTTTTTTTTTTTTTTTTTTTTTGCTCTGCTGATGGCGACAGATTATGATCCAACGCTTGAAAATGCATGCACGAGTGCAAAGTGTATGCTTCTACATTATGGGCAAAATTGTACATAGCCGTCCGAATGTCCGATCTCGATGATGACAGATATTTGATTCATCTATTAAAATTGTAAAATTGTGTGATTAAAATTATTTTTAATTTATGTATATTTTTTATAAAAAAAATATTATAATTATAATTTAAATTAAAAAATAAATTTAAGTACCAAAGCTCTCTTCAAATCTGGACCCACTTTAACATAAGTGGTCTATTTATTTTACGGCCTGGCCCAATTATTAATTGAGAGAAAGTTGAGCTCACATTACAAAAGTCTTTATGTTTTTCTTTTTTTTTTAATTCTTTTTGAGAATAAATTCTGGATAAGTTGATAAATTGAAGCAAATTTGAGATTTATCTGATTCGCCCATGATCAGATTTAATTGCGAAAAAAAATTTGCTAAATCCAGAATTTATCTGGATTTACTCATGATTAAATTTAATAAATCTATAACTCATCGAATTTACTCTTATGAAGCTCTAAATTATATACATTTTTATCCATACGTTTATTTCACCGATTCGAGTTTTCAGTTTTAGATTTCAACAGTAAAAAGCTCTCAAAAAATGTCACATTAAAATTTTCTACTACAGTGAAAAGCTCTCAGAAAATATCACATCTGCTCAAATTGAAAACTCGAATCCGCAAAGTGAACGAGCATGGTACGTACTTTGTTCTGAAACTAAAAATATAATTTATTAACAATCGTAGTAAATATGCTGGTTATTAACATAAAAATTTGAATGTAGATAAATTAGGGTTCATTTAATTCGTTAATTCGAGTTTTTAATTTGAGTTGAGATGTGACTTTATGTGAGAGTTTTTTATTGTAGTAAAAAAATTAAATGTGACTGTTTCTGAAAACTTTTTACTGTAATAAAATTCGAATTATAAACTCAAATCGGTGAAATAAATGAAGTCAATTACACTTTTCCTTTTTCCCCTCAATCTGATGGATGCTTTCGTCTTTTCACCCATTCTTTTTCCTTTTGAATTTTATGCATATTAATATTATTATAAAAAAAGTAAACAAAAAAGGCACTCTAGAAAAAGATATTTGTCTTCCTTTGTTGCATTCAGTTGGGTGGGATCAAAGGATGAGTCTCGGAAACGAATGATAGTTCTTTATAGGACACATTATATTATTTGGTTGGATATATAGTACACGTTACATGTTTTATTCACTTAACCCGTCCCTCATGCATTAATCCGAATATTAAATTTAATACAACTACTTATTCATACACAACATGTGCATATATTCTTACTTTTTTATGATTGTTTATGTTGTTTTTGATAAGTAGTTATGCATAAGATTACTCGGTGGACGTTTAGTTTATGAATTCATAATTATAATTTTCAATTTACGTGTATTTTTTATGAGAAAAAATATTATAACAAATCACGAACTATAATTCGAATCATGGCACGAATTCTCATCGTAAACACCCTTATCACAATTTCATCAAGATCCATGGTCAAAATTTTAGGTCAAAGCATGGCCATCACATGTACCAAATTCTCAAAATAAGTGTCAATTGCGCCTTAAACGGTTGAATTGAATCACATAGTACTGAAAAATGTACCTTAATGGTTTAGCTCTATAGTCTCCAAGTAATCACCAAAAAGAATATATGAAGAGCCGACTTTGGAGGATTTAAAAAAGAACAACTCTTTATTTGAGGACAAGAATGATTTTAGGGAAAGGAATTTTGTTGTTTATGTTCTTAAAAAAAAATAATAATGAAAACTTTGTGGGCCTATATAAAAGTAAATAATGAGTGTATATCATCAAATTATATTTAACGACCACAAGTACTATTTTTTTGTGTGCTATTTTCTTCAGGTAGGAAATTCGACCGCAGATTTATTGGGATTGTGTCCCTATTTGTTTGCTGAGAGTAGCGGAATTATTAGTTACTATATATATATATATATGCATATATATAAAAAGAGGATTTTGCCATAGATCAGATGAGATTAGAGAAAAACTCAATCAACTTGCTTTTGTCCATAACCTCTCCTATATTCCCTTGTCTAATCTATTCCCTTTTTTTAATTCTCAAATTGGTAGTTGAACAGGCAGAAGTCAAAATATATCTGCGAATAAATTAGCCTAACAATAATTTCACACGCTCGTTTCAAGTATTAAAATCGAGACATAAATATGGGGTCGGAGAGATGGGCATGGATGGTTTGGTTTTGGGTGATTTTAAGTATTGGAAATATGGTTGGGATAATGATATTACATGTTTCAGCTAATCCAGCAGTGCCAGCAATCTATGTATTTGGGGACTCAACAGCAGATGTTGGAACCAACAATTACTTGGCTGAGTGTGGAGCCAAAGTCAATTTCCCGCATCATGGCATTGATTATCCAGGCTCCAAACCAACCGGCAGGTTCAGCAATGGCTATAACTCTATTGATTTCCTAGGTAACTGATAATATTTCTTAAGTTTTCCTTTCTGGGATGTTTGGTCGCAGGATTTAAACAATGATTTGAATCATAGTTTATGGTTCGCTACAGTGTTTGCTTTCACAAAAAATATACGTAAATCGAAAATAGTTCTAATCACATGATTCTAATCCATGAACCAAACGTAATTCAAAAAAAAAAAAAAACTGTACAATCCAATCAAAATTGTTGCGATTAATGGTTTATGACGAAATAAGTTCATAATTGATTTATCAAATTATTTGAGTCATGAAAAAGATTCAACTAAAAACCTAAATAAATCATTAGATATCTACGTGCGTGAAGTCACTCCTAACAATTTATCAATTTTCTTTTGCGTAAATTTAGCCCAGTTTCTCGGTTTCGAGGAGAGCCCGCCACCTTTTCTCTATCTACTAAGGAAAGATAAGAAGAATTTCATGAGGAATGTCCTCAACGGAGCCAACTTCGCCTCCGGCGGAGCAGGACTTCTCGGCATTACGGGAAAAAGACCATATGTACGTAAACATAGAAAGTTATTTCTTTTAATTAATATTGGCATGTCTTTTTTTTTTTTTTTTGTGACATATGCCTAAAATGTTTACGTGCAATACAGAAAAGGGTAATCTCAGTTGCAGAACAAGTGCAACAATTTGCAAAGGTTCGCAATGCTTACACGAAATTGCTAGGTAATCAAGCAGAAGATAGGCTCTCTAAGTCTCTCTTCCTCATTAGCGTTGGAAGCAATGACATCTTTGAATATTTTCTTTATAACCAAACACAAATCAAGAGCGAAAATTTCATCTCTACTCTTCTCTATTCTTATGAATATCATCTAAGGGTACGTATATATATCTTTTCTTTATATATGTGTATATATATTGTCTTTTTCCTCTTGTTATAAATGTTTTTTCTTCTAAATATAACAAGCTACATTTGTTATTGCATGGCAGGGGTTGTTACGGCTCGGAGCGAAAAGACTTGGCATCGTCTCCGTCACTCCGATCGGGTGTTGCCCAATCATACGCATTCGAAGCGAGAATGAAGAGTGCTCGGACACAATGAACGCATTTGCTAAGAAATTCAATTTAGGGCTGGAAGCCCTCTTGAAGAAATTGAGCACAGAAGGCGCAAAACCAATGAAATATTCGATTGCCAAGTCATATGACATGACATTAAGTGTTCTTAACGACCCTCTTTCATACAGTAAGCACACATGCATCTCTAATTATATTTACTTCTTTCATGTATTTTTAACCCGTCATATCATATTAAAATATAAATAAATAAATTTACATACACATGCGCATATATGCAATTTTAATTGAAAATTTGATGAAGATTTAACAGTCTAAAATTATGTAATCCTAATGAAAAAAAAAATTCTCGTAAAAAAGAGTGTTTCTTTTTATTTATGACATTCAGGTTTTAATTTTTCGGTTTTATAGATTTCAAGGATGGAAAAAGTGCATGTTGTGGTAACGGAGGAAGACTAAATGCGGAGGAAAGGTGCAAACCAGATTCTAAGGTGTGCAAAGACCGAAATGCCCTTCTCTTCTGGGACCAATTCCATCCAACTGAGGTCGCTTTTAAGCTTGCAGCTATGGCTCTCTATGGCGGTGGCGACCAACATATCGCTCCCATGAATATTAGTCAATTAGCTATACTTAAGTTCTGATTAAGTTTCTAATAATTAAGGTTACCCATGTCCAATATAATTGGATCCATATTCAGGTTTAGTTTTCGTTCTTGTATGTACATACATATCTATAGGGCTCGTAGTTATATATGTTAAGCAAGGATAGCTTAAAGGGCACTAAACAAATGTTAGACTCTTTTTCTTTTGTTGGACCATTTCATAATCTTCTTTAATTGGTAAGGAGAATTGGACGCCATTTAGGGCTCCGTTTTAAACTATGATATTCGTATAAGAAGTTATTAGTTTTGCATACATTCTCTTTTCGTTGTGATTTCAACCTAACATGCATAAACGTGTATTATTGAAAAGAACCCTACTATATAAAATCTTTATAATTGTCGTGTCGTGTTTTACATGTTGAGACTTCAGACCAAAAATTATAGCAAAACTCCATGAAGTAATTAATTTTATACGCTTTGAGTCCTTGCTAAGAACGGTACTTTCATGTAACATAATAAAAATGAGAACCATAACATGACATTTATTCGATGTTGAAGTAATTAATTTTATACGCTTTGAGTCCTTACTAAGAATTGTGCTTTCATGTAACATAATAAAAATGAGAACCATAACATGACATTTATTCAACTAATATTAATGTTGAAGATATGTAACACTAATAAATTTTGTTATTCAAAACTATTATTACACCTCTATAATTTCAATGTTACATTGAAGAAATGACATGTTACAGTTTTTATTTTTGTGTTTTGTAAATACGGAAGGTCCTAGCTTTAAGAGAGTCAAAAACCCAAAAATACAATTTTAAATTACCACACGTGAGTCACACATAATAAATTACGTAACAATTTAAAAATTTAACAATCGTTCAATTTAATAAATTTAACAATCATTATTCAAATAGAGCTAATTGCAATAATTAAGTAAGGGTCTGTTTAGTTCACTGATTTGAGTTTTTAATTTGAATTGAGATGTGATTTTATGTAAGAATTTTTTACTGTAATAAAAATGTTAAATGTGTCTGTTTCTGAGAGTTTTTTATTGAAAAAAACTCAAATTTTAAATTCAAATCGGTGAAATAAATGAGACCTAAATTTAGAAGATTGATTATTAAAATTAAAAATTTAAAGCGTAAATAATAAAATCACGACAAGCTCAGAGATAAATGTGTTAAAAACTCTAAAAAATAAAAATAAAAATAAAAATAAAAACAAAAACAAAATAAGAAGTTAAGAACCACGCGAGTCGTGGGTGAACAAAAATCTGCTTCTTTTAGCAGTTACTATAAAATATCTGCTTCTTCTTCCACATTGGTGGACTGTTCTGTTTGTCAGCAGCTTCGTACTTCACACCAAAAAAATAAATAATAAACAATAAGTAAGAGAGAGAGAAAAAATAAATAATAAACAATAAGTGAGAGAGAGAGAGAGAGAGAGAGAGAGAGAGAGAGAGAGAGAGACGTTGCTCTGCGACTGTTAAGCGTAGATGAAGCAGGGTCAAACAACCAAACCGAACCCAAAATGGTCCAAAACGACACCAAGAAATCAGAAAATGACAGAGACTGGTCCTCTCTCCCGGACGAGATCTGGTCGATGATCAGCACCCACCTGATCGGCCGCCCCCTCGACGTCCTCCGCGTCCGCAGCGTCTGCTCCTTCTTCCGCTCCCTCTTCCTTCTCCCCGCGCCGTCTTTTCTCTCCCCTCATCTTCCCGATCTCCCTCGCTTCTCCTTCGCCGTCCCCACTTTCTCCTCCTCCGCCCGCGCCTTCGTCTCCCGCACCACCCTCTTCCGCCTCGACCGCCCCTTCCAAGACGGCGCCGCCGGTTGGATCATCAAGATCCAACACCCCCTCCCCCTCCTCCGCTACCAGCACAATCCGAAATTCCGCCTCCTCGACCCACTCTCCTGCCACAGCATCAACGAACTCATCGCCTCCAATGGCGGCGCCGCCTCCGGATTCCATCTCAACGACTTTCGGTTGACCGAGTTGACCTCCTCTTACGCCCTCAGGTAAGTCAACAAACTCAAAACCTTCATCAATTTCCCCAATTTCTTCGAATTATAACCCTAATTCTGCGATCGACTGGAAATTATTGTTGATTGGAAATTAATCCTATCGTCGTTGACGACCAAGTCCTCGATTTCATTCAACGACGTAATGGTCCGTTGATGTTGCTGTTGCTCGGTTTATTGTCGTTTATCCGGTTCTTGTCGTTTCCGTTTTCTGGATCGTGTTTTGTTTTTCTTAAGTGGTTGTCGTTTTCTTGTTTCTTCTCAAATTCTCAGGTACGACGGCTTGTCCTCCCCCGTGCCCGGCGTAAACAAGCTGATAATCTCCACCAACTCCTCCTCCGCCATCTTCCTCATCTACGACAACGGAAAACTAGGCTTCGCCAACAATGGCGACGCCAACATAACGCTGATCGACGACAAAATCCTCGACTTCAACGACATTATCGTCCACAGAGACCAACCCTACGTCGTCGACCGCTGGGGCACCGTCTCATGGATCGACAAAACCTTAAAACTTATCCAATACTCACCGCCATTGTTCGGCGAGGGCCACCGGAAGCACCTCGTCGCCGGCGACCCCTTCCTCTTCATTGTCGACCGGTACCTCGACGAGAGCCCCGACGGGCACTATCCGTTGGAGGTTGGTGATCTAAGCTTCAACATCTTTCATCGACACCCTCTCCGGCGACGGAGATTCGACGAGTCGAGGCCGAGGCCGAGGACCGTGGGCTTCAAGGTGTACAGACTGGACGAGGAGTGGGGGAGGTGGGTGGAGGTGAAGAGCTTGGGAGAGAAGGCGTTTTTGCTGGCTTATGATTGTTGTTTTGCTGTTAGGGCAAAAGAGTACGTGGGGTTTAAGGAGAATTGCATTTACTTTACTCAGCAGTTTGACATGGACTTTGCGTTAAGAAGGTTGGGTCGTCTTGGTGGGTGTGTTTTCAGCATGGAAAATGAGACCATAGAGGAGCTCCCATGCACGCCTGGTTACTCCCAGCTGTTTTGGCCTCCACCGATCCCTACTCCCCTCTGTAGTACTGAACCTATGTGATGTGATGTGATGTGAGTACAACATTCGTCCAAGGATACTATAAGACACCACTCATTTTGTGAACATAGATCTCGCAGCTTGAGGCCTTTAGGTATGGGCCGCCTTCTATTAGTGGTAAAACACCGGCACTCATTTATTGAAAACATTACGGAGTCTATAGATATTTGTTTTGCTGAAAAAAACATGAGTATAATATTATAGAATATTACCGTGCTGGCAGGGAGTGAGGTGCATTTTCGTTTACTCTGCAATTGTTTAGATAAGTTCACTTAATGGGGCTCATTTATGGGACATGGTGTTATCTTCTTCTGAAGGTTTTTGTAATTGATACATCCGGAGTTTTCTGTGTTCTAGTTATATGTTTTATCAAAAACTAGTGTATATTTTTTGTGTGTGTGTGCATATGTATATATAAGCTTCTCTCTTTTCGATCAGGAAGTTTTTTTGTTCAGAATGTTGCCTTAAATGATCATGAAGTTTCTGATTTGTTGTTTGTCAACATTAGTGGGCAATAAGCAAATATACTTTTTTCAGCGAATATGATATGATGATGTTTGGGCGTTAATCTTACATAATAAGCATAATAATACATATGGTGTTGATTTCTGGTGTTATTGGTGTCAAAGTTTTTCTTCTTCTTCTTCTTTTTTTTTTTTTTTTTTTTTTTTTTTTTTTTTATTTCTTTCCTAATGAAAGAACTATAATTATAATTTCTGGTGATGGTTGTGTGTGTGTGTGTGTGTTTTTTTTTTTTTTTTGTCAAATGACCAGGATGTTGACGAATTTGGATAATAATCACTCCATGAAAAACTTTAACGCCTTATATATATCAATAAGAATATCAAATTATGCACACACTTTAAAAGGGGAAGAAAATTATATGAGTTTAGATATGATGTGTCTGAGCACCTTGATACACTGGCATTCTAGAAGATAAATATAAGCGCAAAGGTCGCTTTGATAGTGTTAAACTTCGCAAAATTTAGCTAGTTGGAATCTCTAATAAGTCGATAATTTGTTGGAAGAGCCTTAATAATTTAACAATCATTTATCTTTTAATTTTAATTTTACCTTTTAGATTATGCCAAATTATATATAGAGATCAAGTTTATATTTTGTACCTCCCTTGCAATGTTTGCCAAAATACTAAAACCCCTTTTTGTCCATTAATCACTACTAAAACCCTTTTTTATCCATTAATCACTACTAAAACCCCTTTATATCCATTATTACTTGATATAATATTGATAAAAAACGCAGGAGTTTGGGGGGTCCCATTCTCACCAAAAGGGCTTAGGCTGTTTCTATCATGAAGCTCTAATGTCCATGTCTTTTTTTATGATTATTTTAATTGTGATTTGAAATCTTTTGTCCTAATCGATTAAGGTGTGGATGGCGATTAGGGGAAAAAAAAAAAAATGGTGTACATGGCAAAAGGACAGGTTGAGCATTGGAGCCGAATGCTATGTGTGGTGAGCCTGAGATCAAAATGAGAGGGAGGAAAAAAAAAATGTCAAAATGGCATTGTTTTCAATTGGACCAGCTATACAACTAATTTTAGAATTTAAGTCGTCAATTACCAAAGATCGTTCAAGAACTGATTTATCAAACCAGACAAATTCAGGGGTATCCATGCAAAAGAACTTAAAAATTAAGAGTCTAAATGAAACTATTTAAAACATTCTTTATAAATTATAGCTTAGAAAATTTGAGGGGTAAAGTAATAAATTATATATCAAACTTAGGGATACAAATGAAATCTTTTAAAACATTCGGCATCAATTTGTAATTAGAAAGTTTTCAGGGGTAAAAAAAAGAGCAATTTTCTTTTTTTTCAAAAGAATTGGAGGAGTCGGTGTCCTTTCATATTTTCATGTATTTCATTTGACCATTGTTTCATGTTAAGTCGTTTTTCAATGATTGCCGTTTACTTAGTTGATGCCGTTTTCTTGCCATCGTCTTCTTTGGTGGTTGTCGTTGTTACTCGGATATTTTTTTTGTTATTGTCGTTTCTTATTTAGATAGATGTCGTTCACATGTTACTACTATCGTTGTCATTTTTTGTCGTTTCTTAATAGTGTCGGTTTTCGATGATCGTTCTTTTTTTTTTTTTTTCCTTTTTTGTTTTTGAGAATTTCGATGATCGTTCTTCACTATCGCCCAAAAAGAAAAAATAGTCGGAAGTATCATCCCATTTAATGGCTTGTCAGTAACAACTTCATACGGTCTTAAAAAAAGGTAAAGGAAAGGAAAATAAAAGAAAAGAAAAGAAGGGAAAAAAAAAACTCAAAAGTAGATAAAAAAAACAAAAAAGTCTGAGTTATCATCCCATTTAATGGCTTATGAGTAACAACTTCATAGGGTCTTAAAAAAAGGTAAAGGGAAGGGAAAAAAAAAAAAAAAAAAAAAGAAAAGAAGGGGAAAAAAAAACTCAAAAGTAGATTAAAAGAAAATAAAGTAAGCAGGGAGATCCGGAGATGGATTCCGCGTCTACGCGTAAAACCCACGCTATTGTAGATAATACACCCGAAACTTATCTTAATTATCCATTAATTAAATCATTGAAGTAAATTAAAATTTCCATTAAAAAAAGAAGTAATATTAAAATAAAAAAATATATATATCAAAAAACTAAATAAGGAAAAGCCTCTTCAAAAAAAAAATATTTAAATAAGGAAAGTCATTCTTTTCTCCTAATTAAACTCTCTCTCTCTTTCTCGGTTATTTTAGCAAAATTTTCTTTCTACAACATTTATTTATTTTTTGCTAAATTCTCTACAACGTTAAAATTTAAGACACACCTAAATCGTCATTCAAAAAAAAAAAAAACACCTAAATCGCCCAAACCACTCGTCTCCAAAATTAACACCTCTCTCTCTCTCTCTCTTCTTAGGCTCCGTTCACTTCGCTGATTCGAGTTTAGAATTCGAATTTTTCTACAGTAAAAAACTCTCACAAACAATCACATCTAACTTTTTTGCTACAGTAAAAAACTCTCACATAAAGTCACATATCAGCTCGAATTCTAAACTCAAATCAGCGAAGTGAACGAGGCCTTAATTACCACTCCTCAAAAAAAAAAAAAAAAGAAAAAAAAAGCCACCTCTCTCTCTTTCCTCTCTCTTTCCTTCCCCCCTCCTCAGATAGCCCATTAGTACTATATATAATATATATATATATATATATATATATGCTTGTCACAATTGGGCATCTCACGCATTCATATTCTTTTAATCAACAATTCTCAACCTTCAACTCAAACAAATTACAAAAGTGATAGCAATGAAGAAGGGGTGTGCAACAGTTGCATGGTCTGAGCTTCCAAAAGACTTGCTTGAAACCATCGCCAGACGTCTCCAAACCAAAACAGACATCACCCGTTTCCGCTCAGTGTGCAAGTCGTGGCGATCCTCAGTCCCTCCTTACCAAAGCCCCTTCCATTTCCCTCTTCTTCTTCCTTACTTTGGATCCTTTGACCAGCCCAACACTTTCTTGTCCCTCACGCAAACCACACTTTTGTATCTGCACAAATCTCCTTCTTCTTCATCTTCAACTTCAACTTCAACTTTAACTTCATGGGGTTGGTTGATTCGCCTCGGAGAATGCCTTGATCACGATCATCCTCTTCATCAACACTACCACCTCATAAACCCCTTCTCCCCTCTCCGAATCCGCCCTTTGCCGCGCACTTTCCCCAGGACTCTAGACTCGTCTGCTTTTCGTGTCTGTGAAGTGGCTAAAGCCTACTCTCTGCGCTTCTCCGACCGCAAGGTTTGCGACTACAAACTGGCTTTCTACCCGAACCCCAAATGCCCGTCTCTCTTGGTCGTTGCCTGTGGAACTTTGTGGCGCTTGAAACTCCTCGGCCATGATAATAAATGGAGGGTCGTTGATGACGCTCTCTCTCAGCTGAACTACGACGATGTCGTTCTCCATCGTGGGAAATTCTATGCCGTTGATGATTGCGGGAGAATCGTGCTTGTTGATCCTTCTTCTTTGGTGGTCAAAGAGTTTGTGCCTCGGATGAAAACTAGAGGAGGACACGAGATGAGACTGGCAACGTCAAGGAAAGGCCTTCTTTTGGTGGATAAATGCATAACTTGTTACAACAAGCTTGAATTTAGACTTTATAAGCTGGAAATGGAGCGCAAGAGATTGGTCGAGGTCAAAAGCTTGGATGATCATATATTGTTCTTGGGTCATGACTACTCTTTCTCCGTTTCCGCTAGCTACTTTGGCAGCAGATGTAAGGGGAACTGCATCGTTTTCGCTGATCCGGCTTTCAGGGTGTACAGCTTAGGTGATGGAAAGGTATCGCCAATAGAACAGCATCCGGAATACATTGCAATCTTTTACCCGCCCTCCGGGTGAGCAATGCCAATGTGTGTGGTTCTAACACCATCTTCAATGGGAAAATATTTTGTATTCCAACTCAGAATGCTAATTTAAATGCAACATATCTTATTACTCATAAATTTTTAAGCTCCATAAAGGGTTAAAGTTCGAATTTCTTTTCCTTTTTTTATTTTATTTTATTTATAACTTGGTGATCAACGTCAATGTGTATGGGTTCTTCTTACAAGGTCTCCACATTCTTCGGATGCAGTTTGTGGCTTACTAGATGACCCTTTTATTAGTACTTTTTCGGTTTGACTGTGAATGCCTTGATTGATCTGCAAAATGTACGGAAGTAATTCTAGTGATATTATGTGTTCACCGTTATAAAAATTTCTGATATGTTTCTATCATTCTGTGGAAGACTTTGCTGCAGTGAATGATACTGAAGTTATAAAAAAAAGTATCAAAGCACAAGAAAATCAGGCACACAATTATAAAAAAGCTGAGAAATAATAATCAATAACTGTTAGTAATTGAAGCACAAAATATATTTAAAATATTGCGCAATATTAGAACTACAATTCATACTTAATACTCACACCTAGTAGCTAGACTTGAATCGTTTCAAGAGTTAGATTTGGAAGTCATAAATTGAAAATCTTTATTCTTTCGAGCTCCCATCTACGCTTATTTTGAACAGAATCCAAGAGGTTTCTCTAGATTTTTGGTAATCATGTCTATTCATTGAGATAGTGATGATCCAACAGTTCTTTAGGAATTTCTGGACATAGCTTGACAAGGCATGCATGATTATGTTTTCTTTTATCTTCTTGGAATTGACTATGAATGCCCTTAATATTCGAAAAGTACAGATTATTAATACAAAAAGAAGTAATTCCAGTAGTATTATGTGTACACCATCATAAATTTACATATGTTTCTGTTGGAGAATTTGATGCAGTAAAAGATATTGCAGTTTTAGAAAAAAATTTATATGAACTAGGACTTGGAAGCATTCAGATGTTTTAGAACTGCGTTAGCAGATTGCTGGGCAAAATACTTTTGCCTGAGCAATACATATGGGTAGCCAACAAAGGACAGAACACTGGCAGGTTTGGAGAAGGACATTATCTCGTACCACACTTGGTTGTTCTCGTCAAGTCCAATTGAGAAACGTTCTTCCCCAGCCTGCTCGAAACCAAAATAAATTTCCTTCCAGTTTAGTACAAGTCCCAGCTAATCAAACTATGTTGTGTTTAAACAAAAACTTAGGTCTGGCAATTCTTAAAGACTAGATAGTCATAACAAGTAAGAAAGTATCATCGACGCAGGAAGTAAACAAAGAGATAATGTAGAGAAAGAAAGAGAGGGAAAGGAAAAGAAATTAGAATTTAGACAAAGAATAAGAACAGGAGGAAAAAGAATTCCCAATAACTCCTAAAATCATTAATTTTTCATCAAGGGGCTGAGTTGAAATGACTGTCTCTAGGCCTATTTATAGAGAAGAAAGATAATGAGAAAGGAGAACTAGACGAGTAGGAAAGTAAACTAACAAACAACAACGCTACCTGATTATCAGTAAAGGATAACTTGGTGAAATAGTTTTAGGAAACTTATGCAAACTCCAACAAATATTAGGAAACTAGGCTTAAAACTACTTTCAATTGTATTCCTAATATAAGTGTCTGATCTATTATTGCAATCTCCATCAATTACACTCCAACGTAGGTGCAAAAGTATAATGGTTTGATCCAATGAGGATTCGAATCAGCCTTCAGATCTAGAAGTAACTGAATGAAAAGTATAAAGCATAATACCATAGAAAATTTCAGAAAGTAAATTCAGCTAAGTGAAAAGGCACTAACCAGCAAGTGACCTTGAAGGGTACCACTTCCAAAACTAAAAGAGGGCGTAACCCGCTTACTTATTCTCTTCTCATCAACATACACAACCTTTAGGGGCAACATGACCCAAGGCAGAAACTCCTTTACACAAACACAAAACTTGGTCCCAACTTGAGTTGGAGTCTTCGGATGAACAAACGCCCAATTCAGTCCAAAATGCCTGCAAATACGGATTCATTCAAAAGATTACGATGTTTTGCTAAAGAATGCTCATAAACCAAGAAATCACATTAGTATCTCACCTCCAAGCCTGAAGAGCGCTCTTGCCCTTTTCGTAAGTGTCAACTCCAGAACCAACCAATACCCGTGTGTGGTTGAGGAAAAATCCATCTTGTGATAACCCCTTATCTTCTTTGAGGAAAGAAAAGGGCTTGGCACTAGCTCCTCTATGTTTAACATCATAGTTAAAAGTATCTGACCTGATTATTCATCCATAATAGGAGGCTCAAAACGAGAGAGAAAGTAAATGAGAAATGTTCCAATGTGCTAGTGCCACAACAGGAAATGGAAAAATGTACTCACACTCAATGCTAGTTCTTTTTTCTTCCAATTTTATATCTGACATATGATGAAATTTGTAGTTTGCCTCTTGAAATTCTAAAGTTTGTGTTCGTCTCACTATATAATATGTGAAATTTGATGAAATTTTTAGTTTTCTAGCTCCGCCCCTACTCACACTGTGAAGTTTCCATTGATAGTATAGTGCTCTCACAATTTACAACTATTATGTAAAACATACACAAAGAGTCCCACGGAACTAGGGAATGAGTTCATTTTATATACAATCAGAACACGACAGAAAATATTGGAAATCAAATCACAGAACTGAAAATTGAAAAACTCAATTTCAAATCAAATCTCTTATTGATTCTCTATGATCATAAATAAGTTACTAAGCATGAGCAAATATAAGTTGGGTCTAGTTATACTTTACCTTTCAATACAAGACTTCTGGTCTTTTGGAGATGGCCGAGCCCAGCTCAAGAACACCATCTTCTTCAGTTCTCCAAACAGTCCTGTAAAATAAAAGACACCTTTTAAGCCAAGAATCTCATAATTTTTTTTATGGGGTTTCACGAAATTTTCCCGTCTTTAAGGCAACGCAATCTAGTAAGTTTTTATAAGTCAGGAATGAAGTTAAGGAATACCCATCAATGAATTGCAGGTACTGCCATTTTTCATGAAAACAGCAAGCTAAAACAAAGTGAAAGACGCAAATTGAAAAATGAAAATAAAAATAATCTGATCTTTACAAAGAGGAAGATGAAATGAACATACCAAAAGTAACAGCCGAGAGGTTCAATTTTGAGTTTCGAATTTGTTAGTAATGAAGAGCCAGCCAAGTTTAGAACTTTAGAGAGGGAACAAGGGAAGAGAGAAATTGCTCACTCGTGCTAATGGACTTCTTTTTGATAAAATAGTAGGGCCCGCAAATATATCAATGCAGCTTGTGTTTCGGTCTTTGCGCAAAATTAAATGGTAACGTTTGACACGTAAGTCATTCAAATTTCATCAAAACGTCTCAAAATTATCCAATCTATTTGTGTGATAAAATTAGTTTTTGCATACTATTAGAAAAACGACGAAAAACAATACATGAGATGTATTCTGGTAAGCAGTTGGATAATTGAAGGGGGTGTATATTTGATGTTTTACCATACCAAGGCAAAAGAAATATAGTAAAGACCAAAACATGAATCATATACGAACCCTTCGTTTATCAGTTGACCATTCCCTAAAAAGTCACTGAATTGTCCGTTTTACGCTCATTGTACATGAGCGCCGTGATCTATTCCATAAAACTTCGGCCGTGTTTAGAATTAATCTCATTTTTATTTTTTACATTTTTTAGAAAGAAATAATGAAAACGTTTTCAAAACGACATTTGGCGTAATAAAGACAAAAAATAAAAATGAAAATAATTTTTTGATTTAGTGTAAAATGAGAGAAATTAAAAACGACTTTTAGTTGTTTTTCATTTTTTGTTTTTGTTTTCTCCTCTCTCGAGAAGAGAAAAAGAAAGAGAGACATTAATGAATTTTTTTATACCGAAAATAATCTCTTGATAAAACTACCAAACACATTTTTAAAAATGATATTTGTCTGAGATTGAAAACGTTTTCATTTTTATTTTCATACAAAAAATAAAATTATTTTGAAACGAGTTCCAAACGCACTCTTCATGTCGCAGATGTAATGGGATGATTAGTTTTGTCGCACCAACATGGAATGAGTGGTTTTAGGACGTTTTAAACTTGAGGGACCAAAATAAGATTTGGTGTGCAATTAAAGGATTATTTTTAGATTAATCCAAAAAAGAAACTTACTAAGATAAAGATCCCCTTTTTCAGTAATTTCCAACTTTTTATAGGGGAACTTTTTTTTTTTTTTTTAATAATATTGAAGCTCCATAAACTCCTCTCAAAACGAATTAAGCCTAAACCTTTAGGAAATCATTAATAACAAATACTATGTAATTATGTATGTATCTTTAAGTTTAAGTTTAAAAGTGAGATGTGATTTTTTTTCCCTCTGTGCAATAGTACAAGAAAACTTCTCTGCTTCAAGTTGTGTTTGTGGAAGGCCAAACTACATGAGCGCCTCAAGGTTTTTCTGTGGAAGGTGGCTAAAAACGCTTCACCGGTTAGAGACAATTTAAACCGTTGTTTCCTTGTTAGGGATCGAAATTGTCCTTGGTGTCATTGTGAACCCGAATCTGCATTACACTTGTTTTTTAAGTTGTGATTTTGCCTCTTCTCTGTGGTTTGGCTCGCATTTATCTTAGATAGCATCTGGAAGGCTCGAAATGAAATAATTTTAAGTGACTTATTCAAATATGGAGTGGCGGCTTTTCTCATGCAGATACAACAACAACAAGCTTTAATTTCAACTTAATTAGAGTCGGCTATATGATTTCACTTTTTCACACAACTATGTTCGAAATTAAACTTTCTTGAAGACTTAGATCTAGAATGTCATTTCTAACAACTTCAGTCCACGTAATTCTTGATCTACCCCTCCCTCTCCTAGTATTAGGTATAAGAATGTCCTTCTAAGTACAAACTGATACTTCTAACGGTCTACGTTGAACATGCCAGTACCACCTCAAGTGACTTTGCTCATGCAGATATGGTAAAAAAATTTTGATGCTGCTGTCTCAAGGAAAGGAGCATCTGCAGCTTCGGTGGCTAGAGATCGACGGACGTCCGTCGAGATATTCTTTAGTCTTCGGATATTTGGAAGCAAGTGTTCATCAGTAGAGGCTGTTGAAGGGTTGGCTTTATCAAGAGCGGTGAAACTTGCAGTGGAGAAAGGCGGGAACAAAGTTGTTTTTGAAGGAGATTGCCTCAAGATTATCAATGCATATGCAGCTGCTGGAGAGATTGAAGATCTGTCACGGGAAGCTGCTGACTTTATTAAGATTGTTAAGAATTTGTCTTGTGGCTTAATTGTTTGTTAGACAACATTTCTTTTGATGGCACTAGGGTCTCATCAGAGTTACAATTCTGTCTTTGGAGACCCTTATGTGTATATGATTTCTTTGTTAAAAAAAAAAAAAAAAAAAAAAAAAAAAAAAAAATTTATCATAATTTACCTTCACATATCTATTTACCCATTCAAAAAATAAATAAATTATATAAAAAAAATCACATTGAACATTCAATATCAGTTCCAAGTAAGCTTTTACTACTCTTTTCAAACACAAGCACATGACCTTACCCTATTGACCAAAAGAAAAACCAAAAGTGCACCCAAATCCTACCTTCTATATACAAATTTCCAAGTCCAAAAAAAAATTGGGAGCTAAAAACTGTATCTATCATCATGTCTGTAAACCATTCAAAGGCTCAACTCCAACAACCCAACAAAAAAACAAACTGATTTTTATGTTCATCGTTTTTTTTTTTTTTGGGGGGGGCGGGGGCGGATTTTTTATATTTTATTATATTTTCCTAGGAGATACACCTCATTGAGTACATAGAAACGGGGGAGTCTACCGCGGGTGCACCGTAGACTCTAGGGTGATCACTCTCCAAACCGTAATCCATCATCGGACGATGCTCCAAATCATCATCATGATCGTACACGAACTCAGGGATCTCTATCTCGTTTCTCCTCACGTGCTCCCACAGGTAGTCAAGCCTGCTCACGTACCTTAGCTTCCCATACAACCTACCACACACGATAGAAAAAAACCCCTTTGTCGTCAATTCCAAACCAAAGAAAAAAAATTGAATAAACAAAAACAAAACACCACTCACCGGCGCATTTCAGTCATGCCCTATTAAAACTGCTAAAATGCGCACCAAATTATTGTTCCCTTTAAATCCTTTCTTATACACTTTTTCAAAAACAAAAACTTTTTCAAAAACAAAAAGGGGATTGTACAAATTAACTGTTAAATCTTTGTATTTTTTAATTTTTACGTAATTTTATATAAATTTAATGAATAAAAAACTTAACCACTAATCCTCCGATTTTCATTCTCAACCAAAAAAAAAAAAAATTTCTCCAATTATCAAAAGAATAATAATTAATTCTAATTGTTACGAAAAGTTGAAGCTTGTTTAAGAAAAAGAAAATCAAGACTAACTCAGAAATTATTGAATTGAAAAAAAAAAAAAAAACTAAAGATAAACGTATCAAATTTTTAAAAATTCAAAAAAGTAAGCATAAGTATCAAAGGAAATAAAATTATTAATTATTTCCTTTGAAATATTCAAAGACTATGCTATTTCCCCACGAGATTTAAACAATAATCCTAATTAAGAATAAGATTATGAAAAGTAATTACAAATTATTCAGAATTTCTTACCCGCCGCTGAAGAGAAAACGGCCAAAAGTGGCGAGGAAGAGGCGAGATTGCAATCCAGGATGAACAAAATAAACTGCCTCGAGATTCTCCCTCACGCCGATCGGAATCGCGTCGTAGATCGCTCGCAGCGCCGAGATTCCTGGAAAGTTCTCGCTCCTCTGAACTCCGCTGTGCAAATACACCACCGAGAACGGCTTCTTCCCCAGCCTCGGGAAGATCTTCTCTTCCAGAAACTTCTTCAGAACTTCCACGCTCACCATCCGAGCTTCAAACCACCAAACGAAAACAAAATCTCTCAATCTCAGCCAAAATCCGAACAAAAAAAAAACCAAAATAAAAAATTGGAGATCAAAGTAATAGTGATTTACCAGGGAAGAATTTTCCGACGATGCGAAGAATCTTTCTTCCGCGTTTATCCTTGCCTTTGATCTTGAAAACTTCCAGCTTTTCGATGAGCTGTTCTTGTTCAGATTCAGAGATTTGCGAAGACATTTTCTTCTTTTTCTGTTTCTTGAATTCCAAGTTAAGAGAGAGAAAGCTGAATGGTTAGAGGGAGCGAGAAAGAGATTCGAGAATAAGAGGATATATGATTGGGGGAGAAATTATATAGGCTTTATTTGTTTAATTGATTTAATTTTAATTTATTGAAAATAGAAAGAGACAGAATAGTTGTTAGTAGTCAGAGATTTGTCATGGTATATTCTAAGGAATCTTCCATTTTCTGGATAGCGTAGACAGATCCTCTACTCTGTTACTCACGTGCATGGGAAGTTTCCTGTGGCCGCTTTGGGATTGTGATAAGATCAGATCTTGACCGCTCGTTCTTAGAATTTGATTCTTTCTTCTTCTTTTTTTAATTGAAGAATGCTTAGCTATTAGTGGTGATTATTACTGATTTTTAACAAATTAGAAAGGTTGACAGGTAATATTATTTGGAACTTGCTTCGTAATTAATTAGAAATTCCTATAATTTGCATATAAATTTATTATTGACATGTGGAATTTGTCACCTAATTAGTCTGTTTTGGAAGGTTAATTTAATATTGAAATGTAAAATTGGGTAAAAATTGTGTGATAATCAAAATTTCCTAAAATTAATATATAAATGTATAATTAGTTGAAAATAGTTTTTATTACTGTTGATATACAATTTGTCTCTTTTTTATTTGTTGATTTTTGTGGACCAGCCTCTGAATAAATTGCGATAATTATGAGGAAGTTTCTTTTTTTGGGACACGATAATTACAATAAATTTCTTGAGAGATAAAAATTAAAAAGTGTCCTAATGCGGCGAAATGTTTGGTCATAGTTGTCGATATTCTTATGGTACATACATCTTCGAGGAAAACAAAGAACTTTTTATTAAAAAGAAAATAGTTATAAAAGTGGATAAACGGGTGGATATAATTTGTAAGAATGGGCAGTTTATTGGATTATCTGGTATCTACATCTGTTGAAAAAATAAAAAATTTATTTTTAAGAGTGTAAGTCTGCACATTTATTTTTTATTTTTAATAAATATTTTTTTATTAGTGTAATTATATGATTAAAAGATTATGACTTAAAAATAAATGATAAAAATTTTAATTAATACATTTAAAAAAAATATTTATCAGGATTATCCATATATATTTTGTTGATTGGACCATACATAATTGGGCATCAATTGCCGACTTGATTTTTATTTTATTTATTTATTTATTTATTTTTCGCGAGTGTGTCCACTCATTTAATCACACACCAATTCACATATTTGTATTTAAATTAGGTTAGATTAGATTAAATTTTCAGTTATTTTCTTTTAAATTTTTTTGCTGCAAATTTAGTTTCTTTAATTATTATTTGCGCTATTTGGATGCAACACGCACCAAATTTCAAAAGATAAACTTAAAAATCCAACATAAAGAAACCTGGAAAAAAGTCCAACGTAAACCACGAAAATACACTCATCTTGCCCACAAATGTTTGTAAATGATTTGTGTAAGATATTTCTATGGAAACATTAAACTAAAAACAAAATGGTATGTATACATGGCATTGTCGTGCACCATAATTTTACGTTATGAAAATCCATAGATTTTTTTTTTAAAGGAAGAACATATTCTAATGGATAAAGATGCAATAAACCACCTATTCACACTCACAAAGATATCGATTACAAGAAAACATTGCACTTGATAGATAATTAGTTCCACAGATAAACTCATACGAAATGCTCAAAAGAATTTTTAGGCTTCACAAATACACCTAAAAGGGGCATTAAAAATCGATCATATAACTAGAGAGGCAAACGACAGTGCTAATGATCCATTATGGATTTCACGTATCACCTTTAGATATCTCAATCTTCAAACTCATATAGAACGATAATTCAATATGTTGACGGTAAAAATTCATTAATTCGGAATTTACCTCACTACATATTATTCATATGCAGAATGAATAATAATGATTGCAAGAAAAATAAAAGAAGACGTGAAATTTATAAAAATTTGACTGATGTAATGTCTACGTCCTGAAATTCTCTGAGAGTGTAAAATATTATGTAAAAACTAAATGAGGAGGGTTTCTCTAGATAACCCTCTTGGTATTTATATTTATATCAACTAATGATAGTTGCTTCTCCTTAGATTCATGAGATTCTTAGTGGGTCTTAGAGTTATCTCTCTCGTGATCATTCTCCGTTACATAAGCATATTTTTTTAGTTGTCGTTGTTTCTCTCTTATTTGGCTAATTAGGCATCAAAGTCGTGGCTGTAAGTTCCCTCGACTACGGTGCTACACAACTCTTGACTTTTTATCTCTAACACGATATCGATCTGTCTCTTTTTTTACCTGGTGACACACATTACCACGTTTAAATTCACAAATCATGCAAGTTTGTGGTCAAGTTTTTAGAGTTAGAAGCTGAATAACGCATCAAGAAGTGAAGTGGTGTCAAAACTCAAAACATCCATCTATCACTTATTTATTTATTTTTTTTTTTTTTTTGCACCTTACTTTGCGCTCCTCTCTTTAAGAAATATAAAACATAGTAACTAAAATGGGTCATGGGAAATGACCCAGGTCCATGCCCAAAAATGGGCAATTGGGCACACGTTGGAGCCACACAAGCGTAAAGTGTTGAACTTGATGACAATCCCAAGAAGAACAAAGCCAGTAAGTCCAGGGACATTATTTGTGACGCATCAACACCTAGTTGAGAAGGAAAATAGATAAAAATATGCAAGAGTTGTGAAACTAAATACTCGATAATAACGAATAAAAAAATCTCATTATATATTCAGGATGAAGTGTTTTTGCTCACAAAACGATTTATTAGACATTTGTAAATCATTGTTTTTTTTTTAAGAGAAGTATTTATTTTTACTTTTGTTTTTTTCTTTTTTTTTTTGTGGTAAGTTGCATAGTAAGACTAATTCCAAGCGAATTTTAATGGCTGTCAAATAGAATTAGATAGTTCTTTTTTTTCTGCTAATGAAACAAATCAGATAGTTTAAAACATCATTTAGCAATATCAGTTATAGTCTAGGCTCTAGCAATATATCTCATTAAGGGCCGTTCAGTTCGCTGATTCAAGTTTTTAATTCGAGTTGAGATGTAACTTTATGTGAGAATTTTTTACTGTAGCAAAAAAGTTAGATGTGATTAATTTTGAGAGCTTTTTACTGTAGTAAAATTCGAATTCTAAACTCGAATCGGTGAAATAAACGAGGTTTAAGATTCTAAAGACAAAATTGGGTAGAAAGAAGAATAGTATAAGTAATGTATTTGGGAAAAATAAAATAGTCCCACATCGAAAAAGCAGCGAAACATGAGCAGACAAAGTAGGTTATAAAACAATTGAGAAACGGAGGAGAGAAGCATCTTTGCGCTTGGGGCAATGACGCAGCTAGTGAGGTTATAACCGAGGCGCGTCTATTGCTGGTTGAAAACTATTTCCAAACCCCCTCTTGGGCCTGGGTTTGGCCCAGGCCCTTGAGAATTTCTGGAAGGGCTCCCTTCGGGGTAAAGCCCTACAATACTCGGTCTAAATTTTTTTTTATTTTAAATGAAAAATTATCCTAAATTTAGGATAAAAAAAATTAACTAATTTAACAAGTGCAAATTGGGATTAGCTTGTGGATTAATAGTGAAGTTATTAGTATGATTTTGTATTTTTGTTTTTAATTTTTGCTTTTTCTATAGGATCTTAATTGTTTTTCTAAACAAGCCTACACACTTTTTGGCAGATTGGCTTAATTGAGACATAAGTTATTTTTGTGGAGTGTTTAGTTTAAGTCTCGTTTTTATCAATTCAAATTTTTAACTTTAATTTTATTATAGTTAAAAATTATCATAAAAAGTTAAAAATTAATTTTATTATAATTAATTTTTTTTATAAAAAGTCATTTCTAATTTTTTTTTATTATAATTAAAAATTAACATAAAGTCACATCTTAATTTAAATTAACTAATTTAACAAGTGCAAATTGGGATTAGCTTGTGAATTAATAGTTAAGTTATTAGTTTTTAGTGTGATTTTGTATTTTTGTTTTTGATTTTTGCTTTTTCTATAGGATCTTGATTGTTTTTCGAAACAAGCCTACACACTTTTTGGCAGATTGGCTTAAATGTCTATAAGCTATTTTTGTGGGTGTTAAGTTTAGGTTGTTCATTTTATCAATTTAAATTTTTAACTTATTATAGTTAAAAATTCTTATAAAAAATTAAAAATTAATTTTATTATAATTAAAAGTTTTCGTAAAAAATCATTTCTAACTTTTTTTAGTACGGTTAATAACCCACATAAAATTACATCTCAATTCGAATTAAAAATTTTAATTAAAAAACTGAACGATGACTAACAAAAAAATTCTTTATTCGCATAATTCTTACTAGGAATATCACTCCATTATTAGGAATATCAAAAACATGTTTCATTCACCGTTAATTTGTATACCCCACTATTCTACAACTTCTCTTGACCACTAAAAAAAATAGTTACAAAATTTAAATAAATTAAGGTATCTAAATCAGGAGAAAGTTGTCAACAATCTATACACGTAAAAAATCCCTATTTCATTGGACAACCTCCGTTGACTGAGTAACTTCATCAGATGTAAAACCAGATGACTCTGCAAGCTCCGAAAACTTTAATTCTCCACTCTTTTTCTGCAAGAAATGGCAAAGCTTCTATTAGGATTAATTGAAATTTAAAGAAAAGAGCTAAAAATAAAAATTGCAGAGGTCTAATTGCTATAATTTTAGCATGACCCACCTCCCCTTTAATCACCCATGTTGGAAAACCTTCGATTCCAACGTCTAAACATTCCTTCTCCATTTTTGTTCCTTTACTGAATCCATTAGGGAAGCATTCCACATAATTTAACAGCTTTGCTGCCTCTTGTCCAAACTTCTGTTACATTTATAACATATCTGTTAAAAGAGTGATTTTTTTTTTCTCTCTCTAAACTAAATGAGCATCAGAAACAATTGGTGAAAATTCTTGGGGCCTTAGTATGTCGGACATGCGATTAAGCAACTATTTAAACCCAAGAAATTTTGTCCTGCCGCGAAATATAATATAACAAGCTAACACAAACAGTGAATGTTCATCATAGCCCATGCAGAAAAGAAAGGTCCTATTTTAGTTTGGTGTATATCACGCAGAGCATGGGAGCCGCCCTTAGAGCGTTTTGCCAAGGCGCAGACAGGACTGGCTAAAATAAGAACAAACATATGAGATAACATCTGTAATAATATTAGAATGACACTAAATCTGTGAACATCAGAGAAAACAATCTAAGCGTTGATCAACTTGTAACACAACTTAAAGAAAAAAGTACCTCTTTTTGTTCCACGCAGTGTGAACACCAGAATGCCCCATACATTTTAGCACCTATGGTATTCAGATGCTTTGCAAGAGAAAGAGCATAAGGACTTGATGGTGTTGTTATCTCAGTTGTAAAATACGGAAGGTTAACATCATCCATGTTTCTGCCAAAAAAAAAATAAAAGCAGGGAAAATGTCATCAAAGTTTTTCTCAAGGTCAAGGGTGTAGCATCATATTAGATTAGGATATAAAAATATTAAAGAGCTCCTCAGCAACCAAGATGAAATTTGGAATGTTAATAATTTTTCTTTTTCATTTTTTCTTTTTGATAAAATGTTCATTTCTGAACATAATCCAACTAAAGTTATGAGTCACAATCAAACGATGGATAAGCCTCAACAAAGGTTTTAGGAGCTGTAATTAACTCGAGCTGTTTGAGACCTATACAATATGTTAAAAAAATGAGAATGTATAATAAACCTAGAATCTAGCTTAACTTCACGAAATGACAGTGAAAGGCTACAGCATCAAATCCAGTCATACTTTGCAAATTGTCCCTGCACGGAATTTTGACATTATTTATTGTTGATGTGTTTTGGCCGACAATAACTTTGCTTATCCATGTTGTATGCTGTTTTTGCTACCTCTAAACAACTACTGATGAATAAAGACATGAATGTGATTCCATATGCAAAAATTGAAAACCAGTTTTGCTGGAGAGAAAAAGACAAAGGTGTGGATGTCAAAACAAAAAGATAGATGTCAACAAGAAGAAACACTATATGATGCACAGGTCGAAAAGCAAAGGTCGGTGAAAAAGACGAATCACCTAGGGGGCACAGGTCGAAAAGCACTATACGATGAGTTTAGAGTAAGAACCACCAAGCTGGCTATACATAGCTGTAAGCTGACCTCCTTTTGAACATTTTGCAATCCGAAATCCTATAACGCAAGCCCCAAGAACAATTCCCAGTCATTCTCATTTCAAAACAAACGGTTTGTTAAGTAGCGTATTAAAATAAAGCAAAAAAATTAACAAATAATTAGAATATCACCTTTAAAGTGATGAGAAATAAGCTGAAGGATAGCAGAACTGATAAGAGACAGTAGGAGCAAGATGTTCCTGAAAACTTGGTGGTTAGAATGTAGAGGAAGTAGGCACTGGCAGCTGCCATTGAAGTGGTACTCCAAAGTAGAATTTGACGACCATCGGATTCAACCAATCCAAAAGGCAAGCTTTTTCGGGTCAACTGTACACCAAGTGCCGCAACCAGACCATATGAAATCATTCCAATCAATGGAAGAGGAACACCTGGCCAAAAATGGCAAAAGGGCTTTCAATAGAAACCTTTTCTCAAACAAATTTTCCAACAAAGTAAATACAAAAAGCCATAAAGGCGTTTCCTTGATTCATTTACGAGTACAATTAGATCAATGGAAGAGAAAAACCAAGTAAAAAGAGGCAAAACGGCTTTCGTAGAAACCTTTTGTCAAACAAATTTCCTACAAAGTAAGTTCTTTCGCAGCCTAAAAGCCACAAAGGCGTTTCCTTTCCTTCATTCATATTGTTTCAATTTCGATTTCAATTTTTATTTTTGTAGTATCCTTCATCATTTTAAGAGGAATACCTCGCAAAAAAAGGCAAAAGTGCTTTCACAGAAACATTTTATCAAACACATTTAGTACGATGTAATTTCTTTGTAGTTTACATTCACAACAGCATTTCCTTTCCATAACTCATACACGAATCGAATCAGATCAATCATTCCAACTTCAGTTTCCAATCTCAATTTTCAATTTTCTCATCAGAAACCAAGCAACGAAATTGAACGCGAAAAAAAAAATGGAAGACGAAAGAGAATTACCGAAAACGACGGCGTAATCGCTGTCGAGAACATCGCCGCAAGTTCCGCCGCCGATAGGGCAAAAGGCGGCCGAATTTGTGAGCTTGAGGTATGTCAGATATGTCGTCTCCAGAAACCCGATTCCTCCGAGCCCCGCGCACAACCTATACGCCCAGTCTCCCGGAGAAGACAACGGCGACGGTGGCGGCGGCGGAGGTGTCGAAGACGACGTCGTTTTAGGTTCCGAATCCGCGTTTTGAGTTGGGTCGGAGGAGGAGCATCTGATCGGAGGAGGAAAAAGAAGCCTTTTCCGATCAAGAAGTGGAAGTGTAGGAGAAGAAGAAGAAGGAAAATATTTCTTCTTGAGAATGGAGAATGTCGAGAGAGAGTGAAGAAGAAGAAGAGACTTCCGACATGATAATGGAGGAGGAGTAGAAAGGCTGGCCAAGCTCGCCATTGTCTCCTCAATCTGGAGCTTCTTCTTCTTCTCCTGCAACTCTCACTTTCTTCGGTTCTCAGGCCACCCACAGTTGCCAATTTGGTTTTCATGGGCCTTGCTGAAGCCCATGTTTAGGCCTTTTGTTTCGGGCCCAAACGATAAACGACAACTAATATCAGATTCATTTTTATTTTTATTTTTTTTATAAGGGGTGGGAGAAATGGTACCACTTTTAAGTGGAGCTACTTAAACGTCAACCTATAGTGGGATGGAGGGACTTATAATTAATTAGGCTGCTCTCGTTCATCTTTTTTCATTTTGATAATAAATATATATTTTTATTTTTTTTTTCATAAAATCACAGAAACATGACATAAAATTCAAGTAGATAGGGGTGTGCAACACACCATTCAAACCAAATCAAACAAAAAAAATTGGTTTGGTTCGGTTTAATTTGGGGTTTTACTCTTAAAAAAACCAAACTAAACAAAACTAAACCAATTTTTATTTATATTCTTAAACTGATATGTATTTCGTATATCTATAACATATTTATATTTAAAAAAACTATTTTGTTCTAAAATTAAATGATCATAATTCTAAAAGTTTCTATCATAATCTATATATACAGTACTAATATTATTTCCGCAGTCTACCCTCAAGCTCTCTTCACTCCTCTCCTCTCATTCTTCATGATTGTGATTATCTTTAAAGTCTTGTTTCTTTGTTAACGTGAATATAGCCTATGTAATAATATTTGTCTATGATTTGCCTATATTTGTTTTATTTCATATATTTAAAAAAGCTTAACATCATATTTAATTATAAATCACAACTAATATTATATAAATATATATATAATTTAATTGCTTTGACTTCATTTTATTTTTAAAAGAAAGAGAGAAAAAGATAAAAGAGCACACAAAGTTATGGTTGAGACTTACTAGAAGTTGTAAAATATTAGTTTAAAACCAATTAGAAAAACCAAATTAAACCAATTACTATTAGTTTGGTTTGGATTCTATTAGGTTCCTTAATTGGTTTGGTTTGATTTGAAAATCTCTAAACTAATTTATAATTGATTTGATTTGTATTTTACCTCAAATAAACGGGTTGGTTAGCTAATAAAAATAATGTCAAACGAATAAAAAGGTGACGACAACAACAAAGGCGAAATGACTAACGTAAACGACAATAAGTATGAAACGACATCAACGGGACCAAAAACATGCGACGATAAAGAGAAGCGAAGACAACGGGTAAACTTCATGAATCACGAAAATGAAATAAGAAAGGCATCTATCGAATCAGAGACAACAAGAACAAGATATGAAAAACGACATTATCCGTGTAATCAAACAATAACAAGAAAGACGTCGTCAACTAATTACAATCATATTCCAATACGATTAGACGACTTCAAACGTTAAGCGAGACCAGCAGTAACAATTAACAATTAACTCAAAACAACATCAATCAGAAAAAAACGAATTAACGACATCAATTGACAGTAAAATAAAAAAAAACATCAATTAGATAACGACAAACAACAAATTCAAATGATGTCAAATGAAAAAACGACAAAAATTTGACGATGAAAGTTACGAAGGTAAACAACAAAACGAATAAAAGTCATCAACTAAAAAAACATATTCTGATATCTGAAATTAGTTATAAAAATTAAAACGAAAAAATACAGTAAATAAAAAGCAACATCAACCACAAAACGACATCAAATATTAACTACATGATCCAGAGTAGACGACATTGAGAGAAAAATAAAACATCCAAAATATGAAAATTTACATTTGCAAGGTAAATAACAACAGCAACAAAAACGACATGGTCTAGAACAATATTCTGACACACTGCATACCATGTGAACCACAGAAACCATAAAAAACTACAAACGACAATAATTTAAAACGACACGTTCCAAACGACATTTATTACAATAAACAAGAAGCGACATCTACCAGAAAATTCTGTACTACGTTTGGCTGGAAACATCTTCTTTTAAAAAAAAAAAAAAAAAAGAAATTATAAGAAACTTATGTGCTATATTTCTTTGCCAAGAACGAGAAGAAGTCTTTTTCTTTTTCCAAAGATTACAAGACATAGACGTTAGAGACAGGAGAACCACTAACTAAGAAGAATCCAATCAAGAACAGAATGCTTTATTGGCCACTGACCCACTACTACTACTACTAATATCACAGTCTTATCCCGTTTTAAATGAATGAGAGAAAAAATAAAGGAAACAAGAAGAAAAAAAGTTACAATAAATAAATAAGTGAGAATTTTTTATTATAATAAAAAAATTAAATGTAATTATTTTTAAAAATTTTTTACTGTAATAATATTTAAATTTTAAATTTAAATCGATAAAATAAATGAAATTTAAGTATATATCGTCAGAGAAAAAAAAAAGCATATATGGGCAGAGAAAAAAATAAATAAATAAACAATCATGGACAAAACCTTATACACCAAGAAAAGAAGATATCTTTGTTTCGAGTTATGACCACAGCCGCAATAATTTATTCCTTCGTCTTGTACTGTTTAGTCTTTTTTCTTCAACTTTCCGTTCTGTCTCTTCACTTCAAACTTCATCACTAAATTTTATTTGTTGGTATATTTGGATAATCATTAATGTAGCTAATATGTTGAAATGAAGATTCAGAAATGGAAAATTGAAGAAGAAGACTTTCCGAAGTGCACCATCCTTGTCCTCAAGGCTTGCGGATTAGATTTTTGGTTTAGAGGAGTTTATATATATATAAAATATAGAAGTGCCCATTTCTTGTTTATCACGCTAATTCATTACCATTTAGAAGTAGGAATAATGCTAATGTTATTTATTAGTGGATTAGGAAGTGTTTTCCAACGAGGACACAAAATGACTACAAGAGCAAACCAAAAGCGATGGCAATTGGTAAACTTTTAAGAATCATGGTAGACGACAACGAAATAAAAAGGCAGCTGTCTAAAAAATAGAAAAAAGAAATTAAAACGACATCAAATGGAAGATTACGAGATATGAGACACGACATGACCCACGTAATTGACAATATAACAACAAAGAAAAAAACATCGGTAATATTCTGATATTCGACTTGAAAGCGAGATCAATTGGAGACACCACCACGACGACAACAACAAATAACAAGTATTTAAAACGACATGAATCGGAAAAAAATGATTAAACGACATCAACAACAACAAATTACTGAAAAATAATTAAAAGAAAACATCAATCAGAAACACAGCAAATTCAAAAGACATCAAATGAAAAAACAGCAAAAAATATAACAATGAAACATACTAAGGTAAACAACAAAACGAAAAAAACGACATCAACTATAAACAACCTACCCTGATATAAGAAATTAGTCGTAAAAACGCCAACTAGAAACGACAATAAATTAAAAGAGACATGAAGCATAAACTATGTAGTAAACTACATCAATCAGAACAGACGACAATGAAATAAATAAGAAAAAGAGGGAAAAAGATATGACCAACATTACCCACGTTAACGACAACAATCAGAGAAATGACAACCTATAAACGACATCTATTATGATAAACTATAAACGACGTCAATTAAGGAAAGGAACAACAAATAAGAGCTTTAAAATCAATAAAACAACCATAATATGAAAAAAATGAGATTTGCAAAGTAAATAGCAACAGCATAAAAAACGACGTGGTTAGAACAATATTCTAACATACGGTTTGAATCAGAGAGATCATAAAACTACAAAGGACAATAAGGGGGCGTTCGTTTAGGCTATTCAACTTGAGTTGGCCCAGTTCAGAGTCGTTTTTGGGTGTAATGTGGCGTTCGGTAACTCACATTACAATCGCAAACTCGAGTATTAATCCGAGTTTTGAAACATCAACTACCCCCTTGAATTCCATTTACTCGAGTCTGTATGCTACAGTGTCCTCTGCAGAATCACGTTTCAGCACAGTGTTTCTTACCGTTGTGTCCTCTCTTTCCTTTCACATCTGGTTCCTGCCCGGCTCACGAGAAAGGGGAAGCTTTCTCTTCTCCCACCGTCTCCTCCAGCCTGATTTCTCAGTCGGATTCCCTGAGAAAGGTGCTCCATCACAGTCCGCTCGCTGGGCTTCTGCAAATCGAGGGGGCCTAGCTTTTCCCTTCCTCTTTCACCCATAAATCCGTCATTACCACACATGAATTCGTGATTCTGAGCCAAAGAACATACCCAGATCCATTTCACTTTCTTGCCCGTCTTCGTGAGTTTTCAAAACGGCGACAATTGCGCCGAATAGAGTGAGGTTGACTCGACTGGCCGAATTATTCCGTCGATGTAGTGTGAGGCGTCGTTTCCCACCGCGTGGCCGTTGTCTCCGATACAGGTGCTTTCGTTGTCGTTGCCGTCGATGAACTTTTGCAGCAAATCCGTCGGGGTCGCTTTTGGGCTTAATTGAAGCAGAGCAGCCTCTGTCCTCCACAGGATCAAACACGGTAATGACTCTCCAACTGTTGCTTGCCATTTGATTTTTGATGATGCGTACGAATATGTCTTGGCCCCTAATTTTGGGATTGAAAGAGTTTGAATCTTCTGGTTTCCGTTGCGTGGAAGTGATATTATGCATAATAATAGTTTTTGGTTTTTTTATCTGGTTTTTGATAAAAACGCGTTCTTCCTTTCTTACCATATCAGCAGCTCCTTCCAAATTGGTTTGACTAAAATGTTTGGGCCTCCATTTTTTTTTTAAATGCGTTAATTCAGAATGTGGACATATCATTTAGATCGATCCTGCTCTAACAAGGATTAATCAAGTTGATTTGTTAAGGGGAGTAAAAGCCACTGAGGAATAAATTGAGAAATTACGGGAAAAAAAGAAAATATACGCGAAAGGAAGATGAAATGACAACACTGCAAATGGAAATATTTTAAGGAAGGTGTATTGATGATTGTTTTTGTGTATGTGGTGCAGAACATTGACAAAATACCCTTTGTTAATTGTCCGGTTCTGGTGATTCACGTAAGCCCCCTACTCATTAATCTAGTTTATATCGGATTTGTTTCCCTTTTAAGGAGGCTAAAGTGACATGTTTGTGAACACATTCTGGAGTGCTAGTTTGATGTTAACATTTTTTTTCCTGCCGTATTACCAATTGTTCATCTTGTTTGGCTTGAGATAACCTTGGAGAAAAAATGAATACGAGAGTGTAGGAAATGGACAGTGAACATCTAGTATTTTAACTAGATATTGAGGTCAAAAGCTAGTGATTTGTATTGAATGAGTGTGGACTTATTTCCCGACTACATAAGCTAATTTTTGTTTGTTCCATAGTTGGGTTTCAAATGAACTACATAATTGTGGCTCAAAATAGGTGATTTGGATGCCATTACGTTTGTTGTGTTATAGCGTGTTGTGGTATGGCTTTACGTTTTAGCATTATGCATATTTGAGATGCTTGTCTTGCTTTGCTTTCTTCCTTTTGGCAACTGATTTTAACTAGACAGTAGTCCTGGCCTTTTAAAAGTATTCTGCTTGCCTTGGCGAGAGTGCTGGCTATTAAATTATATTCATGTGTCTCCTATTAAATGGTGTGTCGTGGTAGATGTCGAGAGGGGGAAATGATGACGATACTACTCTTCATTGGAATCAAAAGCAGAAGGAGTTGATGCAACTCCTCGCAGAGTATAACCGTAAATACACCGGTAGGAAACCAACCCAAAAAAACTTGGGAAGACTGGGCGACTGCACTACAAAAACATTTTAATGACCCAGTTACGGCGGCCAAGGTTCAACAAATGAAAGTGCGTCTGAAAGTCAAGTTCGATAAGGAGGTTATAATACGTACAACCACAGGCCTTGGTTGGGATCCTGCGACATGCGCTGTTACATGTACGGATGAGTATTGGGACGATTTTGCAAAGGTAAATTTCAAAAGTTCATTTTCCCTTTTTGCATTAGTTAGCATCAGTTAGGATATGTGTTAAACGTGAGTTAGCTTATGTCATTCTTCTTTGTCGCATAGAACAAGAAGTGGGCTAATGCTGCGAAGAAGCAGCCCCTGAAAAACTTTGACCTGTATTACGAAGCCTTTGGTAGTACCCGTGCATGTGGAGAATTTGCAAACGGATTGGAAAACCCGGCCACCGAGCACGTAGACACAACTCCAATCTCGGCTGAAGAAGGTGAATGGGGGGCGATGTCGCATTCGTTAGGCAGCGATGACGTTTTTGTGACCACGATGCGAGCTTGGTTGAACAACGCTAGGAAGGGCTTGAATGTTGCATCCACCTCTAAGGCAATTGGTAAGAAATCTGGACGCAGTCAGAAACGTCCGGTTGGCGATCCAGAAGCAAGAGCACTACTTGGACGACTTGTAGCCTCTATAGAAAGTAAGAATAGTAGCAGGGCTACCAGTTCCAGCGCTTCTCAGAACCCTGCAACCCCTACCACTCTGCGGCAGTGTACAGCGATTGTGAAGGAAATGAATCTTGATGATGACACTGTCATAATATTCTTAGAGGCCATTGGGTGGTTTCCGCACATGCAGCAACTCTTTTTGGATATGACAGAGACGCAAAGGGTTGGTTTCGTGATGAGAACCATTACCTCTAAAACGAATCAAACTACCCAGCCTTGCACCATGGCCCCTCCATCCATGGCCTCCAACTTCATGCAGCCCCCTATATATCAAAACTTCATGCCGACACCCAACTTATTGTTAGCGTTTATGCCCTTAGGAATAAATGTAACAATATTCTTTGAGATATTTTGACTATTAATAAAGATTTGTTTATTTTATATATCTATGTATTGTCCTTTTTATGTTCATAATAGTTGAATGTATGATAAGCAAACTGAAAGTCTGAGACTGTCATTCTAAATCTTTAGGTCATGCATGTAATGTGAAGAACATGCGGAAGACAAGAATCTAAAGATGATAGTCTAAATCTTATGATCCACAATCGAGGGAATAAAGTTAGGCAGTTTATTCATGTTAAGATTGTTATGTTGTCTACTTCCTAACGGAGACGGCTTGTCTTGGTCGTCGGAGGTGGGACTCCATGGGTGGAGACATTGATATAGTATAGTTTCTAAAAATCTATATTGGATCGGACCAAAGTTGAATTGTTTTAATTAATAATTCTGTTTGAATAAAACAATTCACTTCACACGAATTATATGTTGTCATCTTAATCCCGAGATGGATGATGAACCTGTATACTTGACTTGTATCCTTTGATGTACTAAAGGGAGACATCCTAACATTATGTAAAGGTACGCTTGCCGGTACATTGGGGGTATGACTCGTGTATGCGTAGATTCATTATTCATAGATAGTGGAATCCATAGCTCCTATAAAGAGTCAATAATATCCTCTTATGCATTATCAGTGGATTGGAAAATATGAGCGCTCAACCATTGGATAATGGAACATAAGATAAATGTAATCGGGAAGGTAAAACGGAACTTGACCTCAAGTCAATTATGGATATCCTATGGGGATGATGCACTAATATATTGAGTCATGGACTAGAGCTAATCAGAGCTTTGTAAATACGCTATATAAATCGGGAGTGCAGCTCTAGGCTTTTAGTGGAATAGCGCTAGAGTTTTATAATCATGAGACGGACTTGTTGGTTTACAAGTAGCGTTGTGATTATAGGAGCTTGATTTATATATGTCCATCGGGTCCCTTTGCTAGCTCACATATTTTCCTGTAACGATACGGTGTATTTCCTACACATTGGTAACTTGTGTTATTTCCGTAAAAGAGGTTCAAAGTTAATTCAAGGGTGATTTATCGGGTGAATTAATTGATAAATTAATTCTAGATAAATTGGTTGAATTATTGTTTTAAGAGTTGTTTAATATGGGAAGACTATTATATGACTGTTTTGATCAGGCAATTTCTCAATTGGGTTGCTAAATCAAAACTGAGGCTCTATGCAAGTTTCCCGTATTGAAAAAACTAGGAAAAACAACTTTCGTCAGTGCAGACAGGTCGACCGGTTGGGTAGACCGGTCATAGGTCGACCGGTCCGGTCGACCGGTTAGTGAAGACAGGTTGACCGGTGAGTTATAATGTTTCTGTCACCGGTCGACCGGTTGTAACGTAAAATGCATGATGACATGGCAAAATCGACTCTGGATGCGATTAGAACTTTGGGAAACCTAATTGTTACGAAAGTATGACTTCCTAAACACTATAAATAGCCTATTAAGTCACATTACTCATCAGATCACTTGAGAGACTTTTTGGAGGCTATTGATAAAAGATTCCTGAGAGGAAAAATTGTTTAATTCTCAAGAACAATTTTTTCTTTGGTTCTCTTGTGATTGGAAGGAGATCAAGAATACCTAGAGGAGATTAAACGACGTGTGCCCACCCGCACACCGATTGTGGAAACGAGAATAGCAAAGAAGACCAGTTGGTTGAGGCTCTTCCGGTTGCTGTTTGGAACGCTTACATCTGTCAGACGTGCAGTTTCCTGAAATCTCAAAAGGTATGTTTTAGATCTTTAGTATTTATGTTATATAGCATCATGAACATGTTCTTGTTTGGCTTTGACGTTGATTAAAATTTTTAAATTCCGCTGCGCACTCGATGCCATTAATTTTCCAATAATTTTACCAACAACCGCCAATCTATGGCCAACAACCTCCTACCTTTGGCCAACCACAAGTACCCAGTTTCTCTCAACCACCTCACCACGTGCAACCATAACACCCACCAATCCAAAATATGACCCCAAATGTTACTCCCCATCCCCCAAACTTTCAATGTCCACCACCCTATTACATGCCTTTTCCACCTAACTCCGGTCATTTTGGTGGAGGAAGCAATGAGGAGTAGCTACTTGTTAGGCTTTTTATTTATGAGGCTCTTTATGTATGAGTATTTTTATTTATGAGGTTTCTTATTTATGAGGCTTAGACAGTGCCGGACAATTTTCTTAATTATGAGGTTTTTAACTATGTTGTAATCATTTATTGAGTTACGTTGTACTTCGAAACTATTACTTCATTTGCTTTCTCTTTCAATTAGTGTTCTGATGACAGCGATGACGTTTTGCATTAAAGATTTTACTTGTTATGAAATGGGCAGCTCTTTAGTAGTGACTCTTATACTTTGCCATTGCATTATTGCACAATTTCAAAAATAACTATGTTCTACAGGTGACTTGTACTGTAACAGATTTGGCGAACAGGTTGTAATGTGAGGGCCTTCGAATGCGTCGCCCAACAACACAATGGACGATGACTCTGATGATGACTATGAGGTAGCAGGTGTCGCGGCTATTCTTTGGTATTACCAAACCTACGTTGAGAGCCCCCACCTCAACCTAAGCACACCTCCGCGTTCACAGGTATTATGCGTGTTGATTACTTGCTTGATGGTCATGAGGACGTAATTCGGAATAAGATTAGGATGGGCAGTGACTGTTTTAAGCACCTGAGTTCACTCTTAGAACTTAAAGGATATCTGAGACCCATTTGGAATTTGAATGTGGACGAGCAGCTCTTTATCTTCCTATACATTGTGTCCCAAAGCCAAAGCAATAGGGAATCGCAGGATCAATGGCAGCATTCTGGATCCACAATTTTCAAATACTTCGAGGCTGTATTGGAGGCAATATATAACCTGCGGCATGATTTCATAACACCCCCGAATTTTAACATTATTGATCCAGTCATTGCTGCGAATGAAAGCAAGTATTTGCCATGGTTTAAGGTATGTCATTAGTCGTATGTCATATCGTTAGCAACTAACATTATAAGATTGTTAACCTCGTTGTTGTTAATTGATTATAGAATTGTGTTGGAGCTCTCGACGGGACTCATGTCCCTTGTGTTCCACCATTAAGTAACCCCGAAGTATGGAGGAATAGGAAGGGTTTTTACTCCCAAAATGTGTTAGGGGTATGTTCATTTGACATGAAGTTTACCTACATATTAGCTGGATGGGAGGGATTGGCACATGATGCGCGCGTTCTTGCATCCGTAGTGGGGATACGAGAAAAAAATTTCCCAACTCCACCGCCCGGTATGTCAACCCCAATCCTTGCTATATATGTTGATAAACAAGCATCATCGTTGGTTGCTTGACATCACTAAAGAGTTGGCCGTACTTAATTATTGCTTTGTAATGGCGAATGCAGGTAAATACTACCTTGTAGACTCTGGCTACGCGGCCAACGATTGTTTCTTGGCGCCGTACCGGGGGAGCACATATCACCTTCAAGAGTATAGGGCAAGATGTGGGCGTCCTCGAACTCAGCGTGAGTTGTTCAATTACACGCATTCGTCCCTAAGAAATGGTATTGAGCGCACTTTTGGTGTTTGGAAAGTAAGGTTCCGCATACTCAAGTGCATAAATAATTACCCAATAGAGAAACAGATACAAATTCCTATTGCTTGTGCTGTGCTTCACAATTTCATACATATGTACAACAATAACGATGAGCTACTGAACCAGTACACACGAGACGGAGTTCCAGTTTTTGAAATTGATCCAGAGAATGCAGATCAGGATGTTAATCAGAATCACAATCCTGATCGCGGAACGGAACAAAATCAGAACTCCGCAAATCGTAGACAAATGAATATTTTGAGGGACGAGATGGCAGCTAGCATGTGGGCGGCATTGGAAGCATATCGCAATCGGTAGTTACATATTTGTTCCGCAATTTCGACTACCGTATTTATTTTACAATATGTTGTAATGAACTTATGGACGTTTCTGTTATTTATGAGTGTAGGTGTATTAATGTGTAGTCAAAAAATCCATGTCAATACTTGCAAAATTTTGGAGTTATGTTTTTGTCAAAGTGAACACAAAACTCAAGTTCACATCTCACAAATTGTCTAAGTGAACACACAATTCAAATTTCAAACACAATTCCAATTAAACTCACTTTTTTAACTCCAATCTTGAATTTGGAGTTATTGAAAAGAACGCAACCTAAGTTAAAACAACAATTCTAAACGACATTTAACCCAATAAACAATAAACGACAAAAAAAACTTCTGAACTATATTTGGCTAAATTTTTTTCTTTTTCTAAGACAGATTGCAAGAAATTACGTCTTATATTTCTTCAGCCAAGTAAAGATTTAAAAAAACATTTCCTTTTTAAAAAGGCCAAGACATAAATTTAATTTATTTCACTTATTTAAATTTAAAATTATAGTCTTATTATAATAAAAAATTCTCAAAAATAATTATATATAATTTTTTATTATAATAAAAAATTCTTACGTAAAATTACACTTTAATTTAAATTAAAAACTTAAATTAACAAATTAAACACGCCCTATTAGAGATAAGAGAACCCTTACTCATATGATATCAAAGTCTTGAGTGGGGCCAGGTGGGGCCCAATTAAATGGTGATTATGCCGGGAATGGGTAGGAACGCCACGTGTACATGTGGACTACCAGGCATCGAAGACTGTGCCAAGACAAAAACCACTTTTGGCCGTTTTTATTTCAAGTCTCTCTCTCCCTTTGAAAACTTATCCTAATAAAAGATATGCGTGCCCCAATGTAGTTGTGTTGTTTGTCTCTTCTATCTCTGTCCTTGTTTTGGGCTTATCTCAAACTGATAGATATGTCGTGGCATATCTCTACTAAATCCAATTTTATGTAGTTTTATCATATGAAAAGTGATCTCAAACAAAATTTTTTATATCAAATGACCCATTAATATAATTGTCCTCAAATGTATTTCTATCTACACAATCATTCTTAATTATTATCTCATAAATACTTCTTCTCTAATTTATTTTTATTAAAGTAATATTTATTTTAAATGTGTCTCTACTTAATTATTATTTTTTATTGTAACACTCTTAATTATTAATTCTTTTTTCTAATAATTTTGCCACTAAATTGTTTATTACTCATTTTTTTTACGCGTGTCTATACATGTATAATATTAACCAAAAACATATTATAATTAAAAACGTTTATATCATTTATTCTACTAAATTTTTTTATGAACTAAAAAGTTATGAAAATGATGACTTAAACAAAATAGTAAACCCTACACATAATTTTATATTTAAGTAAGAAATTTAATAAACTAAGTACTTTGAGAGTTTTTAATACTTTTTATATTTTTAATTTATGCCCCTTCTTAACTAAATATTGGCTCCCTCCCTGCACCCATGCCTTGCCCCCATCCATCTCTCTCTCTCTCTCTCTCTCTCTCTCTCTCTCTCTCTCTCTCTCTCTCTCTCTCTCTCATCTCTTACCTTCCACTAAAACATTAGAGGCTAATAAGAGAGCACAGAAAAACAACCAAGTAAAGAAAGAAAGAAAGAAAGAAAAGCTCTTCTCTTGATCTTCTGCTTTTTGACATCACAGAAGAAACATGAAAGAAACGATGTCGTTTGCTTCCTCTGCCAATTGCTTCAGTACAGGGTCCATTATACTCCCAAGAGTCAAAGATGTTCATCAGAGATCGTTTGCAAATATTAATAATGTCCCAACCACAATCAGGGCCTTACGTAGTACCTCCAGAACCAGACGCCACCAGGTTTCTAGTTCTGTCCTCTTCAGGTAATCAACAAAAGAAAGTCAAATAAAATTTGATTAATTTTCTAATATATGTCCGTCCCTTTTATTATTATTATTATTATTATTATTTCTTAATTTTTTGATTCGGTCGCTGACTTGGTGTGGTGTTTGGATGGTGAGAAAGTTTAAAGGCCACTCTGAGAGGGAATCTTGAGGCGGTCGGAGTTCCGACTTCGGTGCCGGTTCGTGTCGCCTACGAGCTTTTACTAGCCGGCCACCGCTACTTGGACGTAAGGTTGGTTAGTTAGCCTCTTTTCTTTTTCTTTCTTTTTTTTTTAATTCTTTCATTAAATTTTAGTTTTTTAATTTTGGAATTAAGATGGATATATACATATATATGTATATGTATATGTATATGTTAAAAAGAAAAAACAAGAAAGTGCGTAAAATTGGGTTGTGATTAATTTGTAATATACAGGACACCTGAGGAGTTCAGTGCAGGACATGCCCCAGGAGCTGTTAACATCCCTTACATGTACAAAGTTGGCTCAGGTATACATATATATATATATATATTCTTAATATTTTGATTCATATATAATATATATGTACATATATATATATATATATATGTTAGAAAGTGGCTAAAGAAATTGCTTTCCCATTTCTTGTAACTACTTTCTTAAAAACACCCAAGTTGCGTTTTGGTTTAGATTTTGTTTCTTCTTACTTCAAAACCAAAATTTTTCTTATAATTACTAGAAGAAACATAGGCATGCATGCAATATATTAGAAATGATCGATAAAAGATAGTGTATTATTGATTCACTTATATAGGGACTAAACTTGTTTTTCTCTGTTTTCAAAATTTTGATTCTGTGCAGGGATGACAATAAACCCCCACTTTCTGGCAAAAGTTTCATCCCATTTCAGAAAGGAAGATGAAATTATTGTTGTGAGTATTCCTAAAGAAACAAAAAAAAAAAAAAGTTTCAATGAAGTATTTTCTTATAAATTTGAAATGTTATGGTTTAATTGCTTGATTTTTACACAGGGATGTCAGAGTGGGAAAAGGTCCATGATGGCTGCAACTGATCTTTTAGCTGCTGTAAGATATACTCTTGAAACCTTTTAATTTTTTTCTTTTTTTTTATTGAAACCTAATTTTAGGATCTTAACTTTGTTACTAAGCAAATTGTTCTCTCTGGTTGTTGGATCTAAAAGTGGTACATATATTCATGGTCATTTGGTTGAATATCAACTTCAAAAGTCAACTAGATACTTGTAATGCTTCCAAATTTTTTCAAAAGCTTTATTCCAAAGTCATCTTTTATGAATGTGTTACAAAAAGGGGCACTAATTGGAATCTTTTTTTTCCCCCCCTACATATATCCAATGGCTAAAAATGAGTGTCCTCTTAGACAAGAAAGAGAGAGACACATGATGGAACACGGAAAGAAAAATAGATAAAAAGATAATATATATTATAGAGAAGATAATGTTTTTTCCTTTCATTTGATGTGGTTGCATCGTTTTTTTTCCCCCTCCCCCTACAAAGTGTTTTTAGAGGTTCCAAAAGCAATTTCAACTTGCCATTGTTTGGTACAATAGGAAAGAAAGAAAATGAACAATTGTTCACAAAAGAGAAAAAAAAAAAAAAAAAAAAAAAAAAAAAAAAAAAAATTTAGGCTATTAGTATCTTACCTTTTCTTCTTTTTTTTTTTTTTATGTGTATTATTTAATATTTCATTAAAGAAAAGTAAGGACAAATAAGTAATTGCATCTTCTTTCTACTTGTAAAATCTTTTACGTTCTGAAAACTTTATATCTTCCAATGGAATAAAGTTTGTAGGAAGTTTAATTTAAATACTTTTATTGGTTATGTCAGATATCTTGGATTCAAAATGTGAGTTCTAAAACAGCTTTCATTATTTTATTATTTTATTTTATTTTTTACACAGGGCTTCTCTTGCATTACGGACATAGCTGGTGGACATGCTGCTTGGGCACAGAATTCACTTCCAATGGAGTTGTAGAGTTTGGAATTCCCCCATTGTCGTTTGACCATGTAATAAGGTTGTTATGCAAGAGAGAAATTGATCAAAAGAAAAATGGGAAAATAAATTCAATAACCAAGTAGTCTAATTAGCAATACAATCGTGGCAGAAAAATATTGTACTTGAATAATTATCACTTTGGGGCGTAAATTATAGCAAATGAAACGCCATGTATATAAGAAATAACCAAAAAAAAAAAAAGAATAATTGTCAACTTTATGTGGACGAGTGCTTTGCTTTTCTTTGATATGTTGAACGCTTGAACCGTTAATTAGAGCATGCATATGTACAATATGGTCTTAGTCATTTATAACTCATTAATTCATCATTAATAAATTCTTAGGGCATGTTCATCATTAATCATTACTATTACGTAAATTTTTTTAGTGTATTGTATAACTTTCTAAACTATTTCTTTTTTTTTATGGAAACTTTCTAAACTATTTTCCACATATATGGAATGTGGTTTCTCTCAATAATACTAATAATAACCCTTAACAAATCAGATATTATGATTATTCCTTCAAATTCCACAAATTATGAATTTAAAATATCGGCATGCACGTTGTCCTTTTTATTTACTTTGATTTTAATAAGCAAAGGATTACACAAAGCTCATTATTTTTAATACATGTTAATAGTTGATAGAATTGTTGACCTGCTTGCCCCGTTATTCAATGAGTTTTTTTTTTTTTTTTTTTTCTTCCTCTTTTTTATTCCCCCCTGTCTCTCTCTTTCAGATAAGGCTAAGCTTCGCTATTAAGTCGCACTTGAGATGGAACTAGAACATATATAAGAATAGATTGAAATGGAACTAGAACATGAATAAGAATAGATATATGATATAATTGGAACAGGAATAAAAGAGTGATTTTTATTTTTATTTTCAATTTTAATGTTTGGTTGAACATTGAGATTAACATCGGAATCTTAATTATTATGCTTAGTTGGTTATTTTAATGAAATAGAATAACAATTATTTCGACACAAAAAAAAAAACGCTTTATTTAATCTGTAATGATGTTTTTATATTAAAGTAGTAGGAAGGATAATTTGAAGTAACTATTTTGAGAGGGGTAATTTTGGATATATATATATATATTTAATTGTACTGGTTCCATCTTAAACGTATCAATATTTGGTAATTTAGGCATAAAAATGATCCTAAATTTAAATGTTTATTGCAATTATAGTCCAGTAGCTAGTTCACAGATGTCAATTAAGGGACGAAGTTGCTTAAGCTTTTTACAAAAGTACACCCCAAACTTTTTTTAGCATGTTCTTTTGTTTAAAAAACTCAAAAAAAGACGACTCAAGTTTCAACTTTATTCAAGTTCACGTTCTTTTAAGTTTCAATTTTATTTAATTTTACTCAACTTTATTCAAGTTCTAACTTCAACTCAAGTTATAACTCAAATTCAACTTAAAAACTACACTCAAGTTACACTCTAAAAGAACAACCCTGTTTGTTGGTAGAAGGAACCTTAAACTTTTAAATTTTGTCATCTCAGATCTTAATTGTTGTCTATTTTTTTTTTTTTTAAAGGAATAATTGTTGTCTATTAATTGACAAAGAACTGTAAAAGTTAGGATTATAACTACCAAAATAAAAAATTTAGGATGCAACATGTAAGACGATAAATTCAGCATATGTAAATATAATTTAGTATATATATATATATACACACACAAGTTTGAGACTCTGGTTGGTTGGTTGAGAGTTGAATGCTTCAAACAGATCACTGGAAATTTCATCCTCTCACGTTACACTTTCTGACATTCCACTACTTCAACCAAACATCTCTCTCTCTCTCTCTCTCTCTCTCTCTCTCTCTCCAAACATGGCATCCACATTTCATGCCTTTTACGCGACTACTTCCTAGTTCCTCCTATGAAGAGTGTATTAAAACCTGAAAAGAAAGCTCAAAGTTGGAAACTTTGAAGAAAGAATATTACACAACACACACAGAGTCAAGTTTCAACAATGGGAACCTCACCGAGTAGTTGGTTTAAATTAGTAGCGTTCCGAATTAGAAATTTTGGGAAACGGTCTCCAAGAGATATCATTGTTGTCTACGACAATACCACCCCAGCTTCCCAACAAGATCAAGCCATTGCCAATAATATTCCCACAGAAGATGATGATAATGATGATGATGATGATGATGAAGAAACAGCCAATTTGATAGGCCCCACGTTAACCCAATTACAAGCTTCATCAACATTGCAAGAAAGAATTCTGACTAAGGAAGATACTGCAGCCACCAAGATCCAAGCACTTTTCAGAGCCCATCTTGTACTTGTTCCAACTCATAACAATTACTAATGTGATTTCTGTTCTAGACTAAAAATAATTTTTTTTAAATATATATATATATATCGGCATTGCACGGTTCTCAATAGTACTCGGATTTTCATCACATTCCATTAAATTCACATATTTTCTTTATAATTCTGATATAGTTTTGATGTGATTTGATGATCTGAACCACACAATGTCAATATAGTTGTGGCTACTCACTATGGCTTATGATGGTTTTGAAATTTCAACAGGCAAGACGTGCGTTTCGGGCGCTGAGGAGTCTGGTGAAGCTGCAAGCTATGGTTCGCGGAGCGCATGTGAGGAAACAGGCGCGCATAGCTCTGCATTGCATGCATGCATTAGTCCGGCTGCAGGTCAGTGTTCGTGCACGACAGCTACTTGGCAGGGGTGATGACAACCGGTCTCCCTTGCGGAGCTAGATAGCCAGCTTTATTACAACTTTCCACATGATTAACAATCTAATTTTTGAAGTAAAATTGTACTTTTGTTACTCAAGAAACTTCTGCCTATTTTGTCATCCTTTCTTGCTACTGTTTTCTTTCAATATCTCTGCAATTAAAGAGATCACATAATTTGGAATCTGAAGACAGCAGTCTTACGAATAGGAATTTTGCAGTTGATATAATTCTACCTCCTGTTTTGGCACCCTAGAGCCTTAACCCGACAAACAGCCACTTTCGTCGGAGACTTATTTGGTTCTAGCATTGGCACCTGGTTCTCGCTAAAGTTTTCCCCAACGAGAGCAACTACTAATCAGGGAAGGCTCTATTCTCTGACGAATATTCTTTATCAGGGAAGGTGTCGTCCCCTGGCATCCCAAATGACAAACCTGTCCCGACGAAAACCATAGTCGCGAAGGGAACCGTTATTCACCAATGGAAAATGTTGCATTGGAGAAGTCAATAATAAACTCAAAAGGACTATAAGACACACATTCACCGGTAGTACGAACCGTTATTCACCAATGGAAAATGTTGCATTGGAGAAGTCAATAATAAACTCAAAAGGACTATAAGACACACATTCACCGGTAGTACGAACTGATCAGTGAGGACATTTAGACGTATTAAAAGCAAAATATCACTTTATAATAGGTTTGCCACAAGGGCACAAGTTAGATTGCTGAAAAATGCAGTTTTTGGCCTTATCCCAAAAATATCCATCTCATATCTTTGCATACATTTGAAGAAACTGTGAGAGATAGGAGAAACCTGAGGTACAATAAAGCTTGCTCAAAAGTCGAAACCCATGCACAACAAGATAAACTCGGTACTATAAAGAAAACGACTAGTGTCGTTTGTAAGTAAACGGAACTGTACAACGTGAATTAATACATGCGATGGGAAAAGTAGCACGCTACATTCCGATTTCTCCTTCCAATTATCCAGCAAAACTAGCGATGAGTCCATCTCAGGCCTGAAAAAAAGCTGCTAGATGATCTGTCCTTGCTCCAATCTTGTTTCCCATTCACCTGTTTCAAAATCAGAATTCCTCGGTTACTCGTTGAAATTGAACCAATTTAAAAGCTAAAGCTTAACACGAAATATGATGGTGTGTCTTTAGTCTTTTGAAATGTACCTCCTTTGCTATATGCTGAAGAATCTCTATGATTTCTGAGAAGTCAGGTCTTTGAGTAGGGTCTTGCTGCCAGCACCTCTCAAGCAATTCCGCAAGCCTAGGATGGCTGTTCTTCGGTATCGGAGGTCGGAGACCCTGATATAACCAGGTCAATTACAGATGATTGTTGACAAGAATAATATTTGACGGGAATTCAAGAGAAGAATTTGAAACACCACACACTTTTTGCACCACACCAACCGCTGCTTGTAATGGAGTCAGTGAAGAATATGGGAGCTGAAAGACAAATAAACAGGCTATCACGGCTGCTGGAAGAGAATAGGCACAAAACGATAAAAGAATACAAACATGCATCGACTTGCATTTTCCTTTTAGAAAACCATACTTGTCCTGTAAGAAGCTCCCACATTACTATGCCAAAACTGAAAACGTCTGCCTTGTGATCGTATGGTCTGTGTTCAATCACCTTCATTCAAAAGGCCCTTGTGAAAACATGCTAGGAAAAAGATCATTCGACCAATGAGGAAAGCATACAAAAACAAAGTTGAGTTTCTACGGCATACCTCGGGAGCCATCCAACGGTATGTTCCAGTTTCTGCTGTCATGACTCCAGATTGAGCTTGCACTCTGGCAACCCCAAAATCAGCAACCTTAACAACCTGATTTTATGACAATAACTGAAGCTTTTAGCCTCACCATTTTTTTAATGCAGCCTTCGCACCATATCTACTCGTTCACTTGGAAATTTATAGTGCACTGGCAAATGGGGGACACCCTAAACCAATTATGAAACCAAATGGAAAGGAAAAAAAAAAAATTCTAACCAGTATATGGTTGAGGGTTAGGGGGAAGATCATAGCTATTACATTAACAATGAGACTTTAAAAAGGTTGCTTATAAATATGAATAAGTAATATTCATGATATAAAACAGGATAATGTTTACATAAAATGTAGGACAAATTACACTTGTCCCCCTGAACTATTGGCGAAGTAACAAAATGCCCCTTAAAGTTTAAAAATAAAAAATTTTCCCCTGAACAATTAACCGTTAGCACGCGTCCCCCTTTTCCGCCCCCTCGGTTAAATTTTGAACGTTAAGTGACACGTGGTCGTTGAGGCATTTAATTTTTATTCTATTATAAAATGACGATTTTGCCCATCCAAGCCCAGCTGTTGACCGGTCAAACCTGCCGTTGACCGAAATTGACCGGGATGGTATCTTTGACGATAAGCAAGACTAGACTTGATTTGAAAGTGTAATTAGTTAATTATGAAGATTCCTTCTCTCTACAACAACCGGTCATGATCTCTCACTGTTGAACAGCATTGACCGGCCCAAAACTTAGGGGTATTGTTATCCATGATCTTCTGAGCATTTTTACATCAACATCATGAAGATCCAATAGTTGGATCGTTGGAACCACCTTTCGCCACCACGGCTCACGGCGGCAGCTCCATTCTCCGATGATTCGAGGTCGTGTGATGCAATTGATTGAGGGCTTTTGATCCACATCCCACTCTGAAGCTAACTAGCCCGGTGGTGTCACTCATGGTGGCTGGAATGGCAGAGATCGGTGGGGGCGCAACGGCCAAACTTCGCAGCTGCGGTGTCAGAGCTCCGCCGAGAATCGAGAGGTGTTGCTGGTGTCGTTTTCTTCGTCTCGTCGTTCTAAGTCTATAGAAACCAGACTCACCTCAATCGGAGGTCGAATGAGGAAGTTATCACAACGGAAAAAAATGTTTGGATGGGCAAAATTGTCATTTCATAATAGAATAAAAATTAAATGCCTCAGCGACTTTCACGTGTCACTTAATGTTCAAAATTTAACCGAGGGGGCGGAAAAGGGGGACGCGTGCTAACAGCGAATATTTCAAGGGGAGAATTTGTTATTTTTAAATTTTAGGGGGCATTTTATTACTTCGCCAATAATCCGGGGGGACAAGTGTAATTTGTCCTAAAATGTAAAATAAGAATGCACGATACTTAAGGAGATTGGAAGTTGGAACAATCAAACTAGTGATAAACAACTACTTAATATCATAAACATGAAAAAAGGTGACAAGAGAGTATTTATCCAATAAAGCCACTGTTAAAGAAACATGCATAAGAGATGGCTAATTAAGGTGCTTAATTAAAACAACATATGATTTTCGTTTCAAGTTCACAACTCCTATGATCCAAAAAGGCAAAAAGGCTGTTATTTGGCTGTTGGCAGACAATTTTTTATGACAAAATTTGTAGAATATACTAACCTCATTTTCATCCATCAGAAGATTCGCAGTCTTGAGGTCCCTGTGGATTATGTTATTCTGATGCAAATAGTTCATTCCCTTGGAAACATCAATTGCTACTTTGAGTAGAAAAGGAAGCTTAAACACCCCCTTATGCTTGTGCAAAAAGTCATATAGGCTACCTCTAGACATGAACTCTGGACAAGTAGATATAAGCAAGAAAAAAAATGTCATGAGCTGATGAATTCAATTCACCATAGGATACAGAACTTTTAACATTAAAAAAAAAGAAATCATAAAGTGGGAATTAGCAGATATTTCCAATCACATCTAAAGGAACCCCACAAGCAGCATCACGCTCTTCCACTAACGTGGTGAAAATGATAATTCAAAAATGTGGCAATATACTTAATCAAGATTATTAGGGAACAAATAAGAATGTTGCAAATATGAGAATCACAGTAAAAGTTTTCTATCATTTACCCGTCACAATGCACAAGTTTGGATGTCGTGTGCATGCTCCTATAAATTGCACTACATTTTTATGCCGAATTTTCCTGTCAAAAGTCAAGATAGAAAAGGAGGAATTGCGACAGATTAGTGAGAAAATTTTTCAGAGGTAAGATAAGTCACTACAATAATAATGCTTGCAAGATAAACAGATACAGTGGCGGTAACAAATATTAGCTTTCTAAACATAGGAAGAAAACTAAAAGTGGTAAGACTAATGCATCGCTAACACAAATCATTTCTACGTAGAGTAGATAACAAATAAACTAAAGAAACCTATAAAAGCAACAAATAAATTGATAGATGTACATAACAAAATAGACATGTTGATACGATTTTGAGGGCCTTGGATTGAACAAAAGTGCATGCAAGCCTTCAACGTAGAAAACTAGAATGACTCATATCTATACGATACCCTTTAACAAAAACAAGTTAAGATAACTCCAGTTATTCTGCTAACAACTATTACCAGACACCAAGACAAACCTCATTATATACACTTCTTGTGAAAAATCTCGCACCATCTCTGGATTGATACGCTCAAGTCTGAGGACTTTGATTGCAACTTCCTGACTACAATACGTGCCTCTGTACCTGAAAGTTCAATGGAAAGATCAGCTAATAAATAGTAGCCATCAAGATACATGCACATGGTCATAAATGAGAACTTACAGATCACCGTATGATCCAGATCCAACTTTATTCTCAACTTTTAGCAGCTTAGGATCAATTTCCCAGACATCCGTCTCATCTGCCGGTATTTCTACAGCATTAGGAAATGGTTCAATTTTTATTGGTTTATGCTCCCTTATAGCAGCAACTGGATGCTGTCTTGACCAAGATTGCTCCTGTTAAAGAATTATCATTGATTAAAAAACGCAAAGTACTCTACTACAAACACAATGAAATTTATTAGGATGGCCAGTAATTTACCTCATATTTTAACATTTCCTTCTCCAACAAAACTTTAAGCTCCTCGGTTTCCTTGATGTTTCAAATATTCATGCATATCAATTATTATATCAGTGTGAATGATATTGGCAGAAAAAAAAAAAAAAAAAAAAAAGAAAGAGAAAAAAGTAGCACTAAGCAAGAAAAGGCGATGATTTAAGGAGGGGTATGCATCTATACGGTAATATACAAATTCATACCTCATAAGCCCAACCTTCAACAACGAAAACATCCAGAGAATATCCATCACAAGTTGAAAACGCATGAGCTTCTTGAATGTTTAGTCCAATTTCAGAAAGTAATGAAGTTAACTGAAAATCAATACTGATATATATTATCTAGTATAGGTAGAGCAAGGAGACAAGGGAAGAAAACAAAGGCAAAATTACGAAGAATGCACATGGAGTAGAGATAATTTAACTACCTCGCTAAGGAGCTTAGGCTTGTCAACTGTTGAAAAAGTGATCTCATGCATGGGTCTACAAGATCATAACGAATGTAATGAACACCATTTAAAGAATAATAGAAACGAACACAAATAAACTACTCCATTCATACATGATGAAACTTGCTACAAGTAAAGCCTTATGAATGTAAGCTAATCCAACAAGTAAAACTAATAGAGTACTAAACCAGCGTCATCATAAACTATTGACACATTTTGCAAGCAAGGGAGAAGGAAGCAGAAGAGAGGTAGAGAGAGTATCCAAAACACCGAAAAGAAAAATCCTATAAAATAAATAAAGGAATTTAAAACATAATATTTATCTCATAATCTTGAAGACTCTCATAAATATGTGAGTGGACATGGAAAGTCTCAAGAGCAGCAAGAAGAGGGGAAAAAAAAAAACTTCCCCTATCTCCCTCTAATGGTGCTCAATCTAGTGATAAAACATCCCTAAGCATGAATACAAAAACCCCACTTTGATTGTAAGATAGACCACTGAGATACCTATGAAAGGAGGGCCTCTCACTCATGGCAGCATCTCCATCTTCTTTATTGGCTTGAAGTGAAAATGTTTCAAGAATAGGTGACGAACCAAAGGTGGGCGGTGGATGGATCCTGGTGATGGCACAGTTGAACGACTATCACAAAAAACAAAAATGTACAAGGGACCCCAAAGCAGCAATAAATGGATAAGATACAAATCAGTCACAATAAGCCATACCCTTGTCTGCCAGAATGATAAGAACTCTGTGCATCTTCTTTCATTGAAGCATCTGAATGGACAGAATCAATAGAATTCCCGTTGAATACAGGATGAACCTGCATCGTAGAATAGTTTTTCCACCCTTAAAAGCTATGAATCATTAACTCAGTTTTTACAGCGATAACAACTGCATATAACGTCGAAAACACACACAAATGTTTGGTTTTTAATTTTCCTTTTCCTATATTTTGTTCAACTTCATACTTATCTAAACGAAAAGCATACCACTGAAAAAATTCGTAATTAAAGAGTCCAATAACCGCTACTAGTTTACCTGCACAGTTCGAACGTCAAAGGCGGGATGATCTACAGACTCTTCAGCTAATTTGAGTAATCTCTGATGCGTAAGAACATCTTCTGCTCTCTCAACGTTTACATCCAATGCATATCTACATGCCAAGAATCACATCCTTCATAAGCAAACAAAAGGAAACAAATGGATAATTTACAGGGACCAGAGTGAAGATAAAGAGAAGAGAGAGAAACTGTTTGGTAAGATGCTTGAGAGAGAGAGAGAGAGAGAGAGAGAGAGAACATTTCTGAGAAATGAACAACTCGTTTCATCAATCTGAGAGCTCTTTAATTCATACATAAACACATTTACAAAACTCTTAACAATACCAAATTCTTCGGGAGCTTCAAGAAGCTATGGATTGTTAGAAACTAATCACTAAATCCTCTGGACTAAGTATTACACTTAATAACAACATCACAACTATGAAAACTTGGATCATCCAATCAATCCTATTTTCCTCTCAATATTTTCAAAACAAACCAAAAGGAAAAAACATATAAAAAAAAAATCAAAGATGAAAGCGCAACTAGGAATCTCAAAAAGGCCCTATTTCAGGTACGTTCATAGCACTATCAGTAATAAAGATTCCAACTTTTTTCCTCTCTCCTTTTCCAAATTCCCGAGAAAATCAACAGAAAAGCAGGAAAATTTAGCGGAGAAGAAACAGGATTAGTACCGAGCAGCTAAGCTATTAAAATGAGGCCAAAACCCGTAGAAAAAAGAAAAAAAAAATTGAAATTGAAAGACCGATGAGGAATCTCAAAACGGCCACTATAATAAGTGAGATTCTCAAAAAAAAAAAAAAGATTCTCACTTTTTCCTCTCTCTCCTTTTCCAAATTCCCGAGAAAACGAGCAGGAAAGAAAAAGAAAATTTAGCGAAAAAGAAACAGGCTTAGGATAATATAAACATATACATATATACAATCACAAACACAAACACACACACATGTGTATATATATATAGATATAGATATACCGAGCAGGTAAACGATTGAAATGAAGCCATAGCTGATCTTCGAAATCGGGAAGAGCAGCTTCCTGGTAATTCTTATCCTGGATTCGGCGAAGAACCTCGTTGTAGACCTCGAGCTTCTGCCTCTGATGGCGAGAAGGAGGCTGATGAGCCTGCGATGACGAGAACACCGCTCTGCTCCCGCAGCTCTCCACGTCTTCTTCTTCGATCGCCATTTTTTTACACACAAAATCGAAACGAAAACGAATTTCCTTGCAGATTGATTTCTTCTACAGAAAACACAATTGAAGAAGAAGAAGAAGACGACGAAGAAAAAGACAGCGGTGGGAAATGAGAGGAAAAAAAAAAAAAAAGGATTGAAGAAAAAGAGATTCTCTCTCTCTACTCTCTCGTGGTGGCAGTATTATGAGTGTTCAACCACTATACGGATTTCCGTGTAAATCCGACGTGCCTCTCCACATCATCGTGGGGCCCACTTGATCAGGTGTCCCGCGGCCACCCGCCAATGTTAGAATTAAGTTACTATTTTCTTTTTCGCCGGGAAATGAAAAAAAAGTTTTTTTTTTTTCTCTTTTTTCTTGGACATATAAAATTTAACGAATTAGATATAATAGAATATAATTTATTTGTGCTTTATTGTAATTCTCTTGATTCCTATCAAGGTGGTTTCTTAATTACGTAAATGACTAAATTTAAAAGATTTGACAATATGTTGATTTGGAGAGGTATTTTTATTTAGCAAAGAGTGATACGTAGTGTATCACGGTCTTTACATGTTATATTAGAATAGATATATTGGGAAGGAATAAAAAATATTTTTTTTTGTTTTGTTTAATGAGGTATTTCTAGTTAAATACGCAGAATACAAATTGTTGAGAAGAGAATAAAATGAATAAATTTTATTAGAGAGAAATTTTCAAGAATCTCACCCTCAGACGAGAAGGATTGTCGAAATGTAATATAAAAATAGGGCTTCTTACAGTGAGATTCTTTGTGTTTTATTAAAATTATAGTGATACTTTCTAGACCAAATTTAATAACAGCAACACTCTTTAATCAAAACTATGTTAAAATTCAGTAAAAAATGTCAAAACTACCCTTATATTAAATTTGTTTTCTTTCTTTTTTATTTGATTTTTTAATTAAAAATTGTGTTAGAATGTGTTGTGATATTTTTTAAAGAGTTAATGTAAAAATATGTTAAAAAAAGTTAATGAGTTTAATTTTTTTGTATTATATTTTATTGTCATTAATATTTTAAGTTTAATTTAAACCATTTTTGTTTCATTATTGGGATAAAATTGTCCAATTAAATTTATCCTTTCAATTAAATTAATTTTTATTATAATATAGTTGGTCCTAGTAATGCACCAAATATTAAATGGTTTTTAATTTAATATGCTAGTTTAGTGGATGGAGAACATTACTAAAACAAAGGAATTTTAGAAAAAAAAATCAAAAAAATATTTGTTTTTATTAGAGTGAATATTATAGTTATAAATGTGTAAAAAATAACTAAACTCATTTTTAATGCTAAATAAGGGTATAAACATCTTTTCTAATATTATGTACAACTTAGAAACATTTTCTGAAAAATAGAGGGGCATTTTTGGCATTTTTAAAAATGTAACGATCAAAATTGACAGTCAATTCATTGTCAACTAATGGAGAGGGTGTCCGTGTAATTTTTATAAAAAATTAAAGAATGTTGACGTAATTAGTTTCAGTTAAAGAGATATCTATGTTATTTTAATAAAACACAAGAAGTATCAATGTAATAAGCCCATAAAAATAAGAAGAGAAAAAAAAAAAAAAATCTAGGACCAGCTAATTTTCCACTATGATGTTAATAACTAGGCCTAGCTGTATCTAGTGCTGAAACTTTGGGCCGGCAGGTCTGCTCGAAGCCCAAATTTGTTGAGCTCGGTGAGCATGCCCATATGGCTGCCTGTCCAAGCAGGTTTTCGGCCTTGGGCCGTTCGAGAAAAGTTAGAATCGCCGAAGCTCGCCGCCGACGAAAGCCCTCGACCATCGAAATGTTTTTTATTTTTTTCCCTCCAACCCGAATTTAGGCCCGAATCCCGATCAACGGCTAGTTTTTTGAATGTTGGCGCCCAATCCGACCCGCTGCCCAAAAGCCCGATTACAACGACTCTTTTTTTGATCGTTGCCTGATTTTCGGCCCAAACTCGACCCGTCGAGACAAAAAATGACCGTTGGATCAGAATTTGGGGGGAAAAATCAAATTTTTAACCCCAAAATTTCTCTATAAATACTCCCCATCTCCCACACATTTTTCTCACACAAACTCTCTCAATCTCTCTCAATTTCTCTCAATCTCTTTCAATTTATCTCAATCTCTCACAATTTTTCTAAAAATTATCAGAAAATGATTGCACTCTTTTTTGTTTACTAAGTTTTTATCCCAATTTAGTTTTTCTTGGTAAGAGTTTTAACGAAACAATCATGAATTACAAATTTAAAAATTAATGTACAAAATTAATTTATTAAATTGTGTTAACAATGTGTGTTGATTTTAGTTTTTATATAATTTTAACACAAAATAACTTAATAATTATTTATATACAAATAAAATTACTAAATAATAGTATGTTATATCTAATATATATACAATATTATAAAAATTAAAAAATATATTTTTTTGGCTCATTTGGGTAGGCTCGGGCAGTCAAAACCAGGCCCGCAGCCTGTCCATGGGCCTTCTCGGGCTTGGGCGGGCGGCCTAAAAAATTTGGGCGGCCGGACTCAGGCGTCGGGCTCAAAATCAATTTTTCAGGCGGTCGTAGGTGGTTTGTCCAAAGTTTCAGCACTAACTGTATCTAGTAAATGAAGAATTGTATTTGATAATATTTATAATTTACATATGAAGGCTGATTTGTATATTTTTACTTAAAGCATATGATTGATACAAAATCTATGAAAAACAAAATTTCTATTGGTTGACCGGACATAAAATGGACAACTTTCTCGGACATAATTGATTAAAAAAAATCAATGAAAACAAAATTTTATTGGATAACTTGAAAGAAATGGACACCGATCAGTTAAAGAAACGCATAAATTAAAGGGACAATCAAGTAAATTATAGTATATTTTAAATTAGTTTTTTATAGCATAATTTGATATATTAAGTTTTAAATTTTATTAAAAACTCAAAAATACCCATAAACCTTATTTTCCACCTCACTCTTCCCCCTAAACATTTATTTTTTTAAAAATAGTAAATTATAGTATATTTTCTAAAATAGGTAGATTATAGTCAAGTCCACTGTGGTCAGGACCGGCGACCAGCTCTAGTGACTAGAGTCCATTTTTCAGTAACTTTTGACCGTTTTTGGCGACCAGTGACCGTTTTCCGATGATTGTTTTCCGACGACTGTTTAACGTTGTAATTACAGGTAAATACTGTATTTATCTAAAAAGCCAACCATTAACTCTGACGACCGTTTAACACTATATTTACAGGTAAATATCGTATTTATTAATAAATATCGTATTTACTCGAAAAGCCAACTACCGACTCCGGCGACCATTTAACACTGTATTTACATGTAAATATCGTATTTACAAATAAATAGTGTATTTACCCGAAAACCCAACCACCGATTGCGATGGCCGTTTAACGCTGTATTTACATGTAAATATCATATTCACCAATAAAATATTGATTTACTAATAAATATCATATTTACCCGAAAAATCCGGCCACCGACTTTAGTGACCGTTTAACATTGTATATAATAATAAATATTGTATTTACTAGTAAATACTGTATTTTTCAGTAAATATTATATTTATTCAAAAATCTGACCACCGACTTTGACGACTGTTTGACATTGTATTTACCGGTAAATATCATATTTAATAATAAATATTATATTTACTAGTAAATACCATGTTTATCAAAAAAATCTGACCACCAACTTTGACTACCGTTTGACACTGTATTTACCTGTAAATACTATATTTATCAGTAAATATTGTATTTACTAGTAAATATCATTTTTATCTGAAAATTCAGCCATCAACTCTGATGACCGTTTAACACTATATTTACTAGTAAATCTGACTACCAACTCCGGCGACCGTTTAACACTGTATTTACCAGTTAAATACCATATTTATTAGTAAATACCGTATTTATTAATAAATATCATATTTATCTAAAAATCCGACCACAAACTCCGACTACGATCTAACACTGTATTGACTGGTAAATATTGAATATAACTATCAATTTCGGTGACCATTTAACACTATATTAACCGATAAATACTATATATACTAATAAATACTTCACTTCTAATAAATACAATATTTACTAGATTTAAAACATTTATTAGTAAATATAATATTTACCAAAAATAATAACATAAACGCCAACAAAGAAAGGAACTTTCAGACGAAAAAGACCAAAGACAATCCACGTAAATTCTACAACAATTACCTCGACAAATGCCTAATAGTCGCTTCCTTTTAATAATTCTTCGACTTTTCCTAATCAAAAGGCAAACCCAAGAATAGAACAACATTAACAAGAAACGGCCACCAAAATCCTTATAATAGCCAGCGAATTGAAAATTGTATGTATGGTTTTATTTCTTCTCAAATTAACAATAATGCACTAACAATCAGAAAATAAGCTAATAATTCTTCCCCGGCCAAGTCTTATTCTCTTCTCCATCACTATGCGACGATGAGCTTCGACCTTCGATTCGTGACGACGACGAGCCACACTACAAGCTTCAACCTTCGATTCGTGACGTCGCTGTCGGAGTCCGCCAAGCCCGAGAAGAGAGAGATCGTGAGTAAAGAGATGGCAGCGACGGACTCCTTGTCGCTATGTTCGTCGCGATCTCGGATCGCGAAACTCGGGGATGGCAGCGCCGTGACTCCGATATCCGGCAACAGCCAGACAACAGTCGAACCACGCGATTCCGATGATCTTCGTCGCCGCCGGGATCTTTATCGCGGCTGTCTATCATTCGCCGAGCAGAAAGAGAAAAATCGGAGGAGGATGAGAGAGAGAGAGACAGATCTCCGATCGACCTCCGAGCTTCGACGACATGGCGGCGGATCTCCAAGCTTCAACAAGGATGGCGGCGAATCTCCGAGCGTGGACGGCGATGGCGACAGTCGTGGGAGCAGATCGGCACTGTTATTGCCTCAATGCAGTGAACAGAAGAGGCAGAGGTAGAGAGAGAATGGGGGCTGCTGAGAAAAGAAAAGATAGAAACAGTAGCAAGAGGGGTAAATTGGAAAAACAACGGCCTTGTTCGTCAGAGTAATTTTTGAGTGAAAAACTCAAGA